TATGTCATTGCTGGCTGATATGGGTCAGAAAAATTACAAAGAATATCAGGAACTTTTTTCGTAGAGGACATTAATCACGGCAATCCATCTAGAGGGAAGAAGAAAATAGTAACCTCCAACAGATGTTCATTGGGGCAACTCTTGTCCCAGTCATCATGAGCGACCTCCGGCTTTAAATATCCAGCTTGTCAACGGATCTGCCCTCAACTGATTTGTTATATATATATATGCCTAATCAATTTTTAAATAACGATAGATGTTTCCGGGTAAAACTCAATGTGATCAGGTGAATGCAAGCCCCAGATAAAGGTAGCAGACAGCACACTAAAACTGATTATTATTGAACTAACAAACACACCATGCATTATCTGTCGAAGCTAAGTTGTATTTTTAAGTTTAGGGGACAATAACGAAAGTTATTCGGAGAGAAAGAGATAGATAAATGTTAAGTCCAAAAAAAAAAAAAAAAACGCTAGAGCCTGGATTTATTGTCAACGTTAATGAATCAGTAGGTAGGCATTGATCTGTAATTATTGTCCCAAGAAATCAATTGTAATTGGGGTATGTATTTGTGAAGTTTGTTTTGGGGGTATTGGCATTTCGTGGTGTACTTTTCTTTTTTAAATCTGGAGTTTTTATTTTGTCTTTGGAAGTTTGTATTATTGGAAGTGAAATTCTTAGCTTTTTTAAGCTGTTGTTTCTATACCCGTACACCTATTTTGGAGCTATCTGCCTTTCTCTCTTTTCATACTTTATGAATGACAAAAAGAATGACTCTTTGTAAGGGAAACTGAACTATCAGTAAGAGAGTATGTGTAAAAGTAAGTTGATCGGTCATTGAACTGTGCATTATTTTATTCCAAGTCTCGAGATACTTTGGAAGCACTTGCCTGCCTTAACTACTACTTTGGATTCTCTTAATGAGTTGGGCAAAGCCTGTCTACTTGTGTTTTGACAGCATTTCATGGGCATTCTAGTGTATTTTTGCAGCCCTCGCTTATTAGTGTATATCCGTATCGCAAAATGAGATAAATGAAAAAAGGACTAGTGGCTCCCTCGTCAGTGGCAAGCCATTGATTTCGAAATCTTCATGCCTGGTTCATGCTTCGCGCGAGTTTTGCATCCCGGCATGCGTCACTGTAGTCGAGAGTTGTCATACTCTTTTACGGTGGCCCTTTATATGCAGGCCGGTGGAACCACATGCAATCCTTTGTTTAAAAACCTAAAAGTAGGTTGTAGAAATGTCGCAGGTTATCTTCTGTTAGAATATGTGACTGTTAAACATGTATATATAAATACAGGGTTTATTTTTGGACATTATATAATTTCGTAAACCACAATGTACTTCTTTTTTTCTTTTTTTTTGTTGTTATCTGTGACCCAGGAATAAAGAAGGGGTGACACCCAGAGGTATCAAGGCCTGACTGTGTGTCGCTCCCTTTTTTTATCCTGGTTCCTAAATATTGAAAGTTCCCCAATGTTACTTTTTTTTCTCTGTAATTCTTATTATGAGAAAGGTTTGTGGACAACTGGTAAGCCATTCTCCGACGAGGAGGATAGGCTCGAGCCCCTCCTTGCTTTTCCTGCGTCCGTGTTGTGCTTCTCTGAGCACCTCGAGCCCGATACTGAGTTGGGGGGGGGGAGGGGGAGGGGGAGGAAGGGAGGGAGGGAGGGGGAAGGGGAGGAGGAGAGAGAGAGGGGAGAGAGGGGTTGTCGTCACGGGTTCAGTTTTTAGGGGGGGGGACACTTGCACATGGTGTCCCCCCCTCTTCAAACAGTGGGGACCGGATATCCCCTCCCCCCAGGATTTATGCCGCTGATGTGCTGTCAATATTATTAGTGTTTATGACTCTTTCTTCTTTGACCTTTTCAAGTCACAGAGAAGCGCCAGTCCCATACTGTGTACCGTTTGCGTCCTGTGCCATCTGTGGTCTATCAAAAACGCACTTGAACACAAACTTAGAGCCCTGAGAAGTTGAACACAGACAGTAAAGCAGGTTTTGTGTCGTTGAAAACACAGTGCGTGGTTCGAAAACATTTTGACACAGTTGTGTAATTCTGTAGTATTTTTAAGATCTGTCAAGCTTTTCAATTCGCTTGACAAAGATTCACTGGCCTTCTTTTGTACAAGACAAATTTAATGCTTTTTTGCATCAACTAAAAGGCAAATATATCTACCATGACTTCTTCCAAACAGTGTATAGAGTACAGCTGAAAAATTATATTTTTTTTTACCTTTGAGCTTTTTGTGTTTATTGAGTGTGTGTGAAACATTTTGTAACCATCTTTGATTTTTTTTTTACACTGAATAAGCAACATTGCTCTGCTTCTCTGGTAACCAGTCGAGCGCAAGTTCTTATCGTCGAGCTTGGTAACTAAATGTACCTACAGGTAAATAAAATTCAATACCTTGATTGTCTAAACGGCAGTCCCCAGAGTGCAAAGCATTACTTAGTTATTCATAAGTTTTGGAAGTTTTTCTGTAAAGTGTGACTTATAAAAATATTTGTGTTACCTACTATACTTGTGGTTTACTGCCACTAGTTCCTGCGGGATTATGTTTAATTTTACCCTTGATATGTCCTTTTATTTGTCGAGCATTTTATATCTTAGTATATTTGTGTGTAACAAGGCGTGAAGTTGGTTCATAATGCAAACTTGGAAACAGCGCGAAAAAGACAAGGGACAAGAACGAGAAGTGAACGAACACAACGCTGACTGGCAACTGAAGTTTATTCCTGCGAGGAACAGAAAGGAAAACATAAAAGATGCAAGGTAAAACATAATTCACGCCCTTGAGGCACGCCCGAGGACTTAAACAAATCTGCTGAATTTCTTAATGAAAGACACTTTGTCATCCGCCAAAGCCCTGGACAGGGCACTAACACACGTGTCCGCTCTGTAGGTAGAAATAAAAAAACGCCTCATCAATTTCTCTAGTCACTTTGTTGCGGTGACGAGCCAGAATCTTAATCTCCTTGAAAACCGGAGAACACGAACACCTATCGCAGTGAACTGCAAGGTGTCCCGACGGTGAAGACCGAAAAGAAAGGGTGCATTTTAAAGACTTTTAGGTTTGTGGATGATTATCTTATTGTTTTAATTTCTAGTCAAGGTTTGGGTGATAATAGGGTGGTGGTCACGGATATGGTCGACCAGTTTTCGGGATGTTCCCCGGGCCCGAGGTTCAAGCCCGAGACCCCTTCTGAGGGTGCCACTCAATTTTTGGACCTGTCTTTTAAGATTCAGGGACTATTGAGGTATGATTCTGCACACTCAAAACTTGTAAAAAGGGCTATTGCTGTGTCATGTCTACGCTCCTCTTTGGTGAAATCTTGTCACCATAGCTGCGAGAAAAGTTTTTTGTCTCTGGCCAGCAGGTTGCATTCTGCTGGCTTCCCGTCGGCAGTGGTCGTGGGTGTTGCAGAACCACTTCTCAAAGTGTTTAGAGGTCTTTTGAGTTTGAGGGAAAGATGAGGATGCCCTCCAGGTCGGTTGTCCTGCCGTATGTACTGAGACTTTTACATAGGATCAAGCAGGTGGCTGAAAAGTTTGACGTGCCTGTTTTGTTCTCAGCTTCTTCAAAGTTGCCTCGTCTTTGTGCCGCAGTCAATCGTGTTGGGTCATCTGGGCCTTGGTGTGTGGTTAGCCACCGAACCCGGTATGTTACATGTGCGACGGGTGTCGTGTATCTGATCTCTTTGTTGTGTGGCAGGGTGTACATAGGTCAGACGGGGAGGTGTGTCAATATCAGGGCCCTTTCCCTTCGGTCTTCACCATCGAGACACCTTGCAGTTCACTGCGATAGGTGTTTGTGTTCTCCGGTTTTCACGGAGATTAAGATTCTGGATCGTCACTGCAACAAAGTGACTAGAGAAATTGATGAGGCGTTTTTTATTTCTACCTACAGAGCGGACGCATGTGTTAGTGCCCCGTCCGTGGCTTTGGCGGATGACGAAGTGTCTTTCATTAAGATATTTGGCATATTTGTTTAAGTGCTCGGGCGTGCCTCGAGGGGGTGGATTATGTTTTATCTATCTTGCATCTTTTATGTTTTCCTTTCTGTTCCTCGCAGGAATAAACTTCAGTTGCCAGTCAGCGTTGTGTTCGTTCACTTCTTGTTCTTGTCCCTTGTCTTTTTTGCGCGGTTTCCAAGTTTGTATTTGTGTGTGTGTGTTTTCACATAGTATGTGATTCAGGGTAATAACCCCATATAAGAAATGATGTTACACAACACATGTTATTACTGTTCTATTTATGATTACATTTGATGGTAAGTATGGTAAGGTCTCTATTTATACCATGTCACAATATTGGCCATAATAGCACCCATGCGAAGGCACATTCAGAATGCACATCTTGCAAGATTCAAGCTTTAATTGCACACATACAAATAATATACTACACTTTATATTTTCTAATCAACCACTATCATACCTTACTAATAAAAAAATGAAGGAAATTAAAAATGGGGTTTTTGGAAAAGCAATCCCGAATTCACGAGATTTTTGAAACATTGGTAAATTCAAATATATGTAGCACATTTGTTCTTCCGCATAAAATATTAAATTTATATTTAATCGAAAGAACTAAGTTTGAGCTTTCTGAGGTTATCAAGCTCATTAAAATATCTTGGATAGGTAACACGTAAACAATTGCCAAACTTTGCCGAAAATGATCAAAGGGGCACAGGTCACCACTTTTTGTTTTTAAATATTGCAAAGTATAAAAAAGTTTCACTTCATGAAGTGCAATGAAAACAGTTTTCAAATGTCACCAAAGAGTCCTAGTGCAGTAGTTTGAGAAGTGACAAAATAACTACTGGTCAAACGTGATCTCCGACAGGCTGATGAAATGTCAGTTTTCGCCTCAACCGCTTCAGTGGCCAATAACTTGAAAACAAAAAATTCGCCAAACTGTACTGGGCTTACCACCTGAACAAATCCATAAAGCTATACAGAATATGACACTTAACATCCCTGCCCATTGCAATCTTACAGCTCTGGAAAGTCACAAAGGCACTCAAGATGAATGTATGTTTCATTGGATGGAGATTACGCGTACAGGTAAGACCGTGCGATGTCACAACAGCCTTTGAGCATTTGTATTATGCACTGTAATGTTTGCCAGCATCTGCTACCTCTTCGTTCTCTATACCTAAATGCAGTTTGGCACCACAAGTGATGAGGAGAAGAAGACCAATGAGCTGGACTCGGAGGTAGGATTGTTCTGAACAAGATAAATACACTGCATGGAATATAGAAATTAGATCACATTTGGTCTGTGTTTGTAAATGCACAGTTACATTGGAATTAAACACAAGGCTCTGTGCTTGGGTTTTCAAGTTACAAATAGAGTAATAACATGGCAAATCTGTTGCAGGGCATGAAGTACCTCTTATACATTCTCTACCCACTCTGTGTTGGTGGGGCTATATACAGTTTACTGTACCAATCATACAGAAGGTAGGAATATCAATGTTTTCACTCAAACTTCATAGTATTTAAAAAACTTGTGAATTATAACAAAATTTTTTGTCAATTTTAGCTGGTATTCATGGTGCATTCATAGCTTGGCAAATGGTGAGATTGCGCTACTTTAATTATAGGAACCGTGTTAGGTCTCTTGTGGCTCTGGCCACAGTTATTATGTTTTTTTTTTTTTTTATTTATAGGTGTATATGCATTTGGATTTCTATTCATGCTGCCTCAGCTGTTCCTCAACTACCGTCTCAAGTCGGTAGCACATTTGCCATGGAGAGTTTTCATGTACAAGGTAACATTTTATTCTCATTATGCAAAACTTGCCTTAACAGATTTCCAATAGACTATAACCTGCAGAATCAACTTATATTCAAGTCTTATCAACTTTTTGTTGCAGGCTTTCAACACATTTATTGATGACCTGTTTGCCTTCATCATTACAATGCCAACAGCACACAGGGTTGCTTGCTTCAGAGATGATGCTGTCTTTCTAGTCTACCTATACCAGAGATGGTAAGCTTATGTATGAGTTACACAAGGCAAATTGACCTATTGCCAAATTACCCAAGCACCAAGGAAGATTGTGGAACGGCGAAATGCTAACTGAGCGCGTCATGCCATGCAACCTAGAGGCCACTAGGAAGTGATAAAACTACAGAGTGGAGATGGGGGCTACAAAGGTGTGCACTTACTAGTGGGTGCACATTGTTGCAGCCCCTTTTCCACCCCATTATTTTATCAGTTCCTAGTTACCTTTAGGTAGTGCAACATATATCGGAGACCACACACTTCACTGTTCACATTTCATTCATACTCGATAGTACAAATGCTGCACATGCTCGCTTTATCTGTTTAAAAGGTTACAAGTAAACGACTAAAATAAAGTATTGGCAAGGTGCCATTTATTTTATATATTTTCTTTAGAAAAGTTGCTGTTGCAGACGCCAGCACGTAGCACATGTAACTATACTCGTAGCATGCTCCTTGGTGGTTTAGTAACTTCGCAAAAGGTGTGTTGCCTGGACATGAAATGTTTCCTACAGAACGCTGAAAGAAGCATGTAACTGCAATGGAAGACATCGCGAGAGTCCTATCCGGTGTTGTGGTAGCATGGCTTTAAAATTTTTTCCTTGCACAAAAGGTTGTGCAAAAACTGTCTTAGGAAGAGTGTAGTGACTTCTCCGGTAGAAAACTTTTGAAACGGTGTATAGAGCATTTATCTCATGTTATGCTAAGGCGTAAGTCAATAGGAACTTTTTTAGACCTCGGACACAATGCAAGATGATGAATTCAAGTCTGCTAAATGCTTCAGAATATATTCAGACACAGCAGTTGCTGGACCTTGGTTCCTGAACCTTCAAAGACGCTCACTTCTGCATGAAATAAAACTAAAATATGCATAGAACTTTCCTCATGCTCCTGTTTCTTGCAAGGAGACATTCCTTTGATGCAAAAAGCACAAATCTCTCCAAAGCATAGTTTAATCATTTTGGCACCGTTGGAATGAAGAAGGATGCCAAGATGTGGCCTCGTAGGACTGGATGTTTAATACTGCATTATCTGCTCTTGACATTTCTTCCCTCTTATTGTTTTGGTTTAAAGGCTGTATCCAGTGGACAAGACACGAGTGAATGAATTTGGCGAGAGCTTTGAGAAGTCGTCCAAGAAACCAAAGAAAGAGTGAAAAAAAAAAAACGCACATTCAAAAACTTCATATAACAAGTGGTGCATGGGGAAACGTGTGATTACTGTTTTGGTAAAGGCAACACAGGAGTGGATAACCGGCATTGTGTCATGAAATCACCCACCTTCCACACCTACAACATTCCAACCAATAAAGCACAGTATTGCAAAGTTACATTGACATTGCTGTTGTAGTTTTGTGTTCTACTTGGGCATAAAATGAGCTGTGCCACTACATAATTTGTGTTCTTTCTACAACGTTGACCATGGTACGGACATCGATGCAGAATGGTGGGCAAGATTGGAGGGGGCTCAACAATAACTTACAAAGAGAATTGATACATACTCTAATGGCATATAAATCCACTCCAGTGGTGGAATGGCCAGCAGCTCTTAATGCTGTGCCTGACTTGGACATAAAGGATAAAAGAATTATAACCCAGTGTCTTTGAGCGATTCAGGGTCACATCTTGTTAGAATGCTGGTTACTGTTGACGCTCAAAGCATGTCTGGATTATCCTAGAGTATGTAACTGTATATGCTCTGTTACTTGGTTATCCAAGTTGAGGTGTGCGTGCATCAAGGAATGTGTGTGCAGCGCTACGAGTGCTTGTTAAATTTGAGGTGTCCCACAGTATTCCATCAAAAGTGCTTAGGACCTGAAATAGACAAATTTCACCAGCCATTCCAACAAACTATTGTTAAAAAATCATATCGACACCCTATAGTGTCCTCTACTCGTGAGAACCAATAAATTTCAAAATTCCCTGCTTTCTCTAGCTCTGTTCTCTCCCTGAAACAATTGTACTCTAAACTAGCCAGGATAAATTCAGTGGTCTTTGCAAGGCACACCTCTAAAATGTGTTTATTTATTGTTCATTTATTGTCTACTAGCTTATTCATAATTATAGCCTAACTATTATTTGGCAACTCTCACTGTTAAATCTTGTTTACCAGACCCCTCTCATGTAATGCTTTTCATTTGAAGTCCCTTTGAGGAATAATAAACTGAACTGGAGTAGAATAACTGAAATACTGAGTTTTTGGGAAAATGGATCATCATATGACCTTTTCATTTCAGTAGTTGCCTGACCGGCGGGTAGAGGGCGCTGGCGCACTCGGCGCCATTAGGTTGCTTCAATTTGGTCGGTTTCGGTTTCAACGTGCACGCGATGGTGATGCTGTTTCATGCCACTTTCGATTAATTTTGCGATATGAATTTCTTTCTAGTAGCACACAGCGCATGAAATAATAGTATTGAGCCACTTGGCAAACCACGAAGTGGTTTCGAGCCTAAATTGCGATCTTTTCTTACTAATACTATATGCGTCTGATTCCGTCCATCATTAATTTCGGCCAGGTTCGGCGGTGAAACAACTGCGCTGATGCACAGGGAAAAGTACCGTTGTCCACGGCCGTACCCGCGGACACTAATTTCAAGAAGAAAAAAAAAAATAAAGAGCAGGACAAGCTCCGCCTGCAGCGTGCGCTCGTTGCCTGCAGCCGTGCCTTGTCTGTGCGTGCACCGAGCGGTACGGAAGGTAGATAGCTCGCGCTCGAGTCAAATATTGAACTGATCATCTTATATTTCAACAGACTATACTGCATCAGTGCTTAGTGAAAAATCAGGTCGACAACATGATTAACAATCTGCTGAATCACCAAGAACAGATGAACTGACAAGTTTACTGTTCGATGTTTGGTTTCCGTACACCAAACTTTTCTAACTTCGAGACTGGAAACGTCTTTTATAATAACTAGGAAAGTTTAATATAATCACGTTGATAATATAAAAAAAGTGATATTGTCTCGGCCTGTTTTATTTAAAGAAATTAAGTGCTCAAGAAATATTTTGATAGACCAGCCTAGGCTGACTAGAAAATTTATTTGCCTAAAGTACTCATTTACAGTATTTCAAAATATTGGCCTTATTAAATAATCTTTTTGTTATATAGACATTTGCTTACGACGTTCTCAAGATATGAGAATAGCAAGATAAGTGAATGCCAAACTTCAAATAAAGTCTGATATTCACCTTCCGTAAAATTTGCCGAATGAAATTGAAGAGCGCAAAAGAAATGATCTCCGATAAGTTAGGGTGAAGTCGAACGCCAGGCGCCACCCAATGGACCTTTGTAGAAAGCTGTTCACTGATTTGAAACGATGCGCTTTGCACATTTTGACGTCGCCATCTACTGAAAGTAACTCCCTATTCGAAGTCGACAACCGACTGCACTCGGGTGATTTTCTTACAGAAGGATTCTTTTCGACGTCACATTTTGTAAATCATAGGCACTGTCAAGCTGTCTGTGACAGTTTCTTACGCGGGGAGTCAGAATATTTGTGTTAAAATAGATTGATTGAAACTGCATGATTATAATATAAAATGAATTAAGCAACTGAAAGACTATGGACATGGGACCAAGCACGATATACAATTCCGTGGAATTCATAAATAAACCGATAAAGCGAATGCTTATATCACACACGCGATTAAGAACGTAAAACAGATATAGCTAGGTGTGATATTGCGAACAAACAAGTTGCCTAATGTTAAGGTACCACTATTAACAGCATAAAAAAAAATTCAAACTAAATGTTTGTTCCCGCGTCTTGTCCACAAGTTCCCTAGTGTAATCAAAAGAAACTGTTTTCGATCTGTTGTAACTACAAAACACCATGCTATCAGGAAAAACGCGTGGCTAATTTCGCTGAGTGTTTTTGCTTCCTTCCTTGCAACCAATGCGCACTCATATATGTAATTACATTGGGCTTCCTATTCCAAATGTTCCGCCCTTATTAGTAACCAAACCTCAGTTCTCATAAGTTATTGGTATTTGAACCCTCGAGGCTTTCTTTGAGACATATATGTATTCAACGTACGGAAGTCCTAACGCTGATTCCTGTTCCTATAAAACCTTTTCACACGTATCCCGCACGCCGACGGTAAAAAAAAATATTCAAAACCTGTTACAAAATCAACTACAGAAGTTGCGCGCACAATGATGTAATGCAATTGCATGGTAAGTATAAGTATCGGACAACACTTTACGAAGTAAGGCAAGAGACGCGGTGAAACGCGACGAAAAACACAAATTTAACGCATCCGCCAAGGCGCGGACGGGAGAGCGGAGCAACAAGTTGAAGCAACCTAATGGCGGCCGCATCACGTGATTCCAAGATGGCAGCGCCCATGCGGCGGAGGGTGAAAAGGAGGTCACAGTGTTTTTAAACCTGCTCACCCATTGAACTGCATATCGCCATCAGTCTTCATGACTCTGGTTACAATCACTGCCCCGGTGATGGCAACTCTGAAGTGCCAGTTTATGGTTTCCAATCCCAGTCGACACCCTACCCACAAATTAATCTCGTGGAGGCCTTTTGCATGATATGTGCCATAAATCTAGGATTTAGGCTGTACATCAAAAAACCCTAAGTGACTTAAACAGATACCCAATCTTTTGTTGGGGCATGTCCAATGCTCCATGTTGGTTTGGCACATAAACCCCAAACTTTTTATTTCCTCTTCGTGATCCCCACCCAAAGGCTGCAGGTATGCGACCCGTGAGGCAGGGAATTCAGATTAGGAGCAAATGAGACACATAGCCATTAATGAAAACATCCATTCCTTACAATATTTACACCCGCATCCTGAAATTCTATTCGAACCTATAGTCCCGAACAAGGCAAAATGGCAGGGTACCTTTCAAATGCCAGGCCTTCAGACGCACTTATTGCCTTGCACTGTGCCTTGGCTGCTCATGCACGCTCAAAGTTTACCAGATGTTCAAGGTAGGAAGCTCGCACTGGAGGCGGGAAAGCTCAAACATTTTCCTGCTCCTCTTATCATGTGACTATGCGGTACGCAATTTATATTTATATATATATATATATATATATATATATATATATATATAGGTATACATAGCTTGCCTATTTTAAGATTTTTTATGTCTGTGCACATGTGGCGTTGGCTCGATCCTTTCCCTTACTTTACTCTTGTGCCTCCACTGACGTCTTCGCGAGTGAAATGTTACTGTATGACGAACCCCTGACGAAGCCGGGTCCTCTCGGCGAAACTGTTGGGAAATAATTAAGTTCTAAGTTTCCAGGTTGTTTTCTGGCGACGTTTTTATTTCCATATATATACAGGGTGTTTCAGAGAACGCTGGCCAAATCGCTCCTGCGAAAACTACTCATCGCAACGAAAAAAGGCTTGTGGCGTTTTGGTCCTGGGCCAGGGGCCCATAGGAAAATTATTAAAGTCCAGAATAATTAAGTTGTTAATTATTTTTGTGTAATTAACTTTTTTTAATTTAAATTAGAAAATTGCTGAGCATCATCAAAAAACACTAAATCAACAAATTGCAGAACGATAGAAGTCACACGAAGCATTTTACGGCTTTCTGAAAGACCGCCCAAAATCGACGGGTTTTTAAGTTTCGGTTTGCTATCGGAGCGCATCTCAGCCCCGGCGGCACCGCGCCCCATGAAGAGAGAGTGCAACCAGCCTTTGCTGCGTTGCGCGATGACGGCGCAGCAGAGGTTGGTTGCACTGTCTCCATGGGGCGCGGTGCCACCCGGGCCGAGATGCGCTCCGATAGTAAACCGAAACTTAAAAACCTGGCCAATTTGTGCGGTTTTTTAGAAAGCCGTAAATTGCTTCGCGTGCCTTTATCGTTCTGCAATTTGTTGATTTAGTGTTTTTTGATGATGCTGAGCAATTTTCTAATTAAAACCATGCCCATAAACACATTAAAAAGATAATTACGCAAAAATAATTAACAATCTAATTATCCCGGACTTTAATAATTTTCCTAAATAGGCCTCTGGCCCAGGACCAAAACGACACAAGTCTTCCTTTGTTGCGATGAGTAGTTTTCGCAGGAGCAATTTGGCCCGAGTTCTCTGAAACACCCTTTATATATGGTTGTTTTCATTTGGATTCAGGCAACGAGGTGCAGTCATATTTTTTATTTTGCTTCAATTTTTTATATTTCGTGGCACATGTTCCATGAAGAACAATCCTTTTTTTTTAATGCCCTGACATGTTTTAAAACATCTCAAAGAAGCGGGAAAGAACGACGAGGTTTTGACGATTGTCGTGTTTTTAAACCACTCTCAATCCCAAAGTATTCAAAAGAGAGCGTCTATATTTTTTAGTGTGTTATATATGCAAGTAGGTAAAACCACATTATATATCTGTTTATTATTCGTCGCTCCAATCTTTGTAAAAATCCCCAAATATGCCTCCATGAACAAATTGCGGATTTTTTTAGCCAACTATGTTTAGTATTGTTTTTAAAATAATACCACGCGTAGAACCTTTCATTGCCTTCCAATTTAATCAAAGTTTGTGTCAAAGTACGAGTACTGAAAAATAAATTATGAAATAGAGAGGGTTTTCACTTTTCGTTCAATTTCAGCACGCTGTATAAAACCTTTGACTCTATCGAAAGACCAACGCAAGCACATTAAAGATATACTAATACTATTATGATCTGTTGACTAGCCGCTCCGCCACCCTCACGTAAACGTTGTGAGAAATAACAAATGTTGAAAGAACTCGATTTTCTCAAAAAACCCATTTTTGTAAATTTGTATCTTTAAATTCTTTTAGATAGAAGAGCCGACTACAAGAAAAAAAAAACAATCTAAAAATGTAATATTTTGGTTGTATGCCCTCTATTTGAGCCGCAATCGTGTGAAATATGTGCTCATTTGACTAAAATACGGCAACCTTACCCGCATTGTGCGCCTCTACGATTTCAAAAATATGTTGTAATTTCTGTTTACTTTTTTTTTTTTAACAAGCAACGTAGAGTAGGCGAACTTCTGATATTTACTGTAATCTAAAAACTCGAAATAAGGGAAAGCCACATAAGCATACTACAAAACATTGAGTAAGAAGAATATACAAATCAAAAGGCCACGCAACATGTCAAAACTTTGATCTATATAGAACGGTTCAAAGTAAACGAGGGTGGCTACTTATTATCCAGCCTATTGCGATTAAATTATAAATTCTCACACCATTCAAATTTTGTACATAAATCGTTTGGGAAGGTGCACCGGGTTTTGTTCTCCTCACATCTAGCAGGTCGCCGACGGTGTACTGCACAGTTCTTGCACCTCGGCAATGTAGAAACGCGCGCACAGAACCAGTAAAAAACACAAACATAGATGGCGCACATTTACTGAAGGCAGTACACTTTTTTACTAGTTCGACGTAACTGTGAATCAGTTTTCGCACTGTGTATAGAGCCACGCAGTCCACGGTTTTAGTTTTGAACATGCCGGCACGCACTCACAGGCGATCTTTTAAATTTTGGGACACAACGCGTTACGTGCATGTCATGACACGTGTATGCAGCAGCTACTCTGAGCTTTCGCAGATCTTTTCTAGGTCAATGTTCAAGGCGCCTTCCTCCACACGTGTGAAGATCGGATGCCGATTTCACCTTCACCCACTCTTTTTTCTTGACCTCCCGGAAGCGCGTGAGCTTCTTTTTGGTAAATGAGAGCAGAACGATCCGTTTGACTTTCGGTCTGAGTGCCTCAACAAAGCTTTGCGCGTTCGTTAAGGAATACAATTCTGTAGTTGTCAAGTTGCACATGGATGTCTAGTGCTTTAGCACGCCACCCGCTCCTTCACACGACCTTTTCCCGTCCCTGATGGAAATATCCACTTGGCGACGACATTCGTTTTCTTGAATTCGTACACCTGGTGCCGGTTTTTGAAGGGGCTTGGAGCACCGTCTGAAATATAAACGAGTTGCGTGAAGATAGGCAATACTTCCTCCAGCCGCCCATCGACAACGTTGAGCGTAAAGCGCGTGGGACGAGTCATGGACGATGTCGTCGCTCACTACGCCGAAGATTAACGTTCCCTGTTTAGTCATAGCCGCGCAGGTAAAGATGGAAACCATCTTGGTCTTCCAGTGATGTTCTTTTACCGCGCGCTAGGTCACGACATTCCAGCTTCCAGCAAAATCGAAGTGCAAGATGACAGCACGTGACTTCACATGCGCTTTCTCGAGCCATATGGCTCTTCGCTGGGCGTGTCTGATGAAGTGGAGAATGTTTTTTTTTTTTTTGTCCTCTTCTAAAACTTGTTTTAAAAAAGCCGTAACATCCAAATGTGTTTTTCTTCTTTTTTTTTTTAATTATTTTTATCAACTTTTCACCGCACTCCCACAAGCCAAGCTCTAGTACGTCTTCGTGTTCGAGTCCTAGCTTAGCCAGCGATCCGTCATTCCTTTTCAAACAGACCACATTCTAGCAAGAAGCAGTCTTGCGAAGGGGTCTTTTCAAAAAAGTTAAACAAAAATAGAAACATTTTCTTGAAATAGTAGAGACGCACAATGCCGGTAAGGTTGCTGTATTTTAGTCAAATGAGCACACATTTCACACGATTGCGGCTCAAATAAAGGACATACAACCAAAATATTACATTTCTAGATTGGTTTTTCATAAAGTCGACTACTACATCTAAACCAATTTTAAAATAATAGTTTACGAAAATGGGGGTTTTGAGAAAATCGGCTTCAAACTTTCAACATTTGTTATTTCTCACAGCGTTTACGTGAAGGTGGCGGAGCGGCTAGTCGGACATATCATTATGGTATTATTATATCTATAATGTGCTTGCTTTGGTCTGTCTATGGAGCTAAAGAACCACGATTTACCTTAACACACCAAAGGTCGTAATTTTTTTTTATTGCCTAAAACGATGCAAATTGTAGTCAGACACAAAAAAAAAACGCATCGCGAAAAAAAAATTTATCCGCGCGCGCCTTTTTATTTTTGGCGTTTTTCTCTCCCGCTCCTCACCTCCTCGCTTGATTGGTGACGTCAAGAATCATGAAATTTAGAAGCTTTGTAGGCAACATTTCTATAGCATTTAATAACGGCAATCGTAAATCATGTTTTTAACACAATTGCGAACGCACTACGGCCCTTCTTTTTGAAATACCGAAAATCGGAGTCCGCTGTGATGTCGCCTCCTGGATTTGTATCCTCCGTCCGAAAACTTGGCGGCGCTCGAAGCACATAGCAGAGGATGATCGGTGAGTCGGGGAATCGGACGAAGAAACCGGTTTTTCCCTTTCCGCCGGCGCCCTTCTCTCCCGCTTCTCACCTCCTCGCTTCGGGTCGCGGTGGTTTGGAGTCTGGACAAGTTTGGAGCGGAGGCGCAAAAGAAAGTCGACTCGCAGGACTCCGCAATATTTGACGTCACCGCACTGGCGTGGATCGCGCGGGAACTTCAAATTCGGCATTTGGAAATTGTTTTTTTACTTCGCAAATACTGAATTCCAAAGTTTCGAATTTTGAGGGTAATGTCCCGGCATCGTTTTCAATCGTTTCGGACAATAAAAAAAAAAAAAATATGATTTTGATGGTCAGTGCCTCTTTAAATATAAAGTAAGGACCTGTCAAATTTGACCAAACATCGACCTGAACGGCGAGTTTGACATCTTTTTAGAAAAAAAAATTCCTAAAACTATTTGAATACATCAAGGTATTTTTATAGTAGCTCGTAATTGAGGAAAGAAAGTTAAGATGACGGAGGAAAAACAGTAGCGACAGCAGAGGGTGTCAAACACGCGACCTGCGACGGCAGGAAAAAACACTAGTTTCTGCCACTGCGGCTTCTACAATTCGTAACTCGAGAACAAAAAATCTGGGCAACATATGCGGTTTGCGCCCTCCTTCATTTCAGAAATGCCCCCAAAATATGTATTTTTTTCGTCGAAATTAAAGATGAGACCCTTTTAGCCTGCCTGATTTGAGATGAAACCACCCATATAAAACGTAAAAACAAAGCTTTTTTTTTGTTCGTTTTTTATTGCGAAAATATCCGAACGTTCATTCTCTGCCCAACTGTAGCGCTAGCAGTTCGAACCAGATGCCAAAGCTTCAGAACTAACCATCATCTTATTCAAAATTTAGAAGTTATTTTCTAAAACTTTTGATGGAAAAATGGGACCCATTCTCGGCAACTGGTGCCATTCAGATCCAGTCGGCCTCTGTCGGCCGTCTTTCTTATTGAAATTTTCAGAAAATCACGTATAACTTTTGAATAAAACAACGGTTCTGAAATTTTTGCTTCTGATATTCGGACTGCTAGCACTACATTTGGGCAGAGAATGAGCATTCAGCAATGCATACTTTATTTTTTGTGGTGAAAGAACTTCTTTTGGGACACCCTGTATATATTGCGATTTTTATCTCTTGACATGGTGTACATTTTTCAGGTACAGAATAAATTGTGGCAGAAAACCAATAGCATGCTGAATGCAGAATTTTATTTCAAAATTACAGAATGTCTTGTTAAAATCTCAAGCAAAGAAACCAGATGGTAGGAACATGAAGATCTCAAAAAGGTGGTTCGTAGGGCTTAAAATTTCCTTTTGACCCGGATCCCAAACGTGGTTTTCCAACAGTGCTGCACCACTACCTCCTCCAGCTTTTGAACCTGTCAGTTTTGTATTCTGTTCACGGTTCCCCTACAGTAGCAGCGTGGATGACCTGTAAATCAGCAAATCTTAAGCATATGCTTTACAGTCTTGTGCTGGTGACCCAAAACACGGGAATCTGAATAATGCCAAATCTGGCAAGAAACAAAAAAAAAAAAAACATTCAACATTTTTTTTTAAAGACTGAATAAAACAATATTGTGCAAACTAGGAACAAACTTGATAGACACAAAATCACCCGTCTGTACTAAGTTCTTGCTAAAGCTTCATTACAACATTTATTTCATTCACAAATCATGACGATTCCGTACCAACAAGCCACTGGGTGTTTCGTAACTGTTGGTATTGCATTTGCTGGGATACGGTTCTGTATTTAACACGGGTAGTGTTCTGCAATAAGACTACTGAATGAATAACCGAGTCACCTATCGACAATTACAAGGCACCTGGGTGCAACTTAACTCGTATAAGCACTTTTCCCCACGTGCAGGTTCCTGTGTGTGCTGCATGCGCATGGGGCACCAGCCAGAATGCCTGCAGTTTTGACATACAAGACAACCATGGGGTCACAAAAACAAAATTAAAATATCTTGAATAGGTGACTCGGAAGAGTTTGCTAAAATTTGCCAGACGGTACGAAAGGGGCGCAGTTTGATGAGTTTTTTTTTTCGAAGGTATATTTGGAAGGGGTTTTATTATAATAAAGCCTCTTAGTACGTCAGAAAAGTCTTATTGCAGTATCTTCAGGAGTGAGGGAGGGATGCAGCCCCCGACAGGCAGGAGAAATATGGTTCCCCATAGCCCGCTTCAATCCTGGTCGGTAACTTGGGAATAAAAAATCCGCCAAACTTACATGTTCTGCCCGAGTTGAATTAAAAACAGCCATACGATGGGGTACCCAAAAGAAACCGGAATTTGTTTTAACGAAATTGAGTATTTATTTTTATATGTTAAAATTTTAGTCACCTTCATAGAGCTCTCCGCCTGAGGCAATACACTCGACCGTGACGTTTCTTGCATTGCTCAAAATGGCCTTTAAGCTTGTCATTGTTGATGCCTTTCAGTGCTTTTGCTGCTTGTTGTTTCACATCTACATTGGCCAACTGTTGAGTTTGGATAACTTTTTTCATCCGGGAAAAGAAAAAAGTAACACGGCGGTGAGGTCAGGTGAGTTTTTAGTCCAAAACATTTTTAGTCCAAAACAGCCGAACACTCAGCGCAATGTGGGCAGAATGACAACCCGAGTTGTTTCGAGATTGGTTCGTTCACCACGGCAACGCCCCCGCCCACACCGCGCAGTTTTTGACCAAAGATGGCGTGCCCTGCCGTGGCTACCCCCCCCCCCCCCCCCCTCTCCCAGATTAAAGAAGTTTATGAAGAGAAACGATTTGTCGATGTGGCAGAAACAAAACAAAAAATGGCAGAAGCACTGAGATGCATCAAAATCGACGAGTTTCAAGGGTAACTTCTCGACAGGTGCAATGCATCAGTCGGAGAGTACTTTAAAGGCAATTGAAATTTGAATGTGCAAAATACACGATTTTGTAAAAATAAATTCTGTTTTTTTTTTTTGGGGTATGTGCTGTTCACCTCTTTACAAGATGTACATATTTCAGAAACAAGATAATTAGGGTTAGTAACAATAGGTTGGTGTGCTGGATATGCATTTAAAAACTACAGGATTTTCTGTTAAAATAACAAAAGCAAATAATCTCAACGATGGAAAGGTGGTGATGACCTTGCAAAGATGAATTACGGCTTAATATTTTCCTTCAACTGAGGTCCGGGCATGGTTTTGCAAGAGAGACGCACCACCTCAGCCTCCAGCTCCTGCATGTGCCTTGTCTGCTTCAGGACCTGTTCACGGAGTCGGCAGATTTCCTGCAGTATGAATGAATGATATATCAGCATATCCTAAATACAAGGTGTACCGAGTGGCACGTTGGCCCTTTGAAATGCCCGCATAAGTTGGTTTAATAATGTACAGCACCGCGGTTAATTTTGTGTGTACAAATTTACAAGAATGAACTTGCCCGAGCAAAAAGTACGAAAAGCAACGCTTCTTTTCAACATACGGGGTCCGTCTGGAAACAACAAACATCGAATTGGCGCAACAGCCTATAGATGGTAGCCTTTTCGTGTGCTACGCTATCGGGTCTAGCAAAACTTCTACGGTGTTGCAGCCCCGTATCAATCTAGCGAAAATAAAAGCTATTACACAATCAACATTATTCAAGCTTAAAATTACCTTACCAATAAATAAAAAGAGCTACCTTGGAGCATATTACTCTGGAGTAGAAAGTTTTTATTGGAATCACAATAACACTACTTGTCGCCTCAAGAAAAATATGTTTTGCGCATGGTTCATATGCTGCACGAAGTTGTTTTAATACAAATTGTTTTATATGGCTGGCTGCTAGGGAATCTTGAAATACAGAAGCGTAGCACAAATATGCACCAAAATATTGGAAAAAAAACAAAAACGGAGAATGCGTGGAAGCGTTTTGTTTCGAACTGGGGTACCTCCAGTTGTGAATTCAATCCAACAGCGCACATGGGGAAAGTCTGAAATGTCATCACAAAGCACCGAGCTTGCTTACACACATGGTGGGAGAGTGTGCACAGGAGGGGAAAGAAAAAAAAGCACATGCTAGGGAGGTAACGGGGAGAGAGGTGGACTAGCTTTGACAGGGCTTCTTATGGCTTCTTTTGAACGATGCTACGCACAACAATGCGCCGTCGATGCACAAAATGCGTACCAAGTTCATCTGTGCAACATCATCATGCAGCAACACACAATGCATTCTGTGTCACCACTGCTTTTGTCACAATAATGAAAAAAAAAAATTTGTTTTTACGCGATTTGGTTTTCAGACCAGGAACACACTACGTTGTGCTTTTAAGATGTTTATGTTTTAATAATATTACAAACTTATATTAAATGCATATGCAAATACTATCTTAGTTCGTCACAAAGAGGGCGAAATCAGTAACACTCCACGAAGAGCCAGACTTCTTTTAATACGGTTCTTGAAGTGAAAACGGGTCTAGGTTTTAGCGCTGCCAAGATGTTTCATAAGTACCATTAATAGTAACAAATATCAATGCAAATATTTACTCTAAAGAAAAACTGGAACACTTAAAAAATAATTATTAATTCTAGGAAGAAAGTTGGGAGACAAAATGTGCAGTGTTTTGAGCTGCGCTGGGTGTTATGAGCTGTCACGAGCTCGGAAGGCACGATTTCCGCGGTTATTTCAAAGCGTGCAGAGCGGCATCGGAGTCGGCAACGCCCACCCTCCAATACAAGCCGCCTCCAGAAGAGCAACGAATGGTAATAAGATACGAAAACATGGAACTACGAAACACCATTCCCCCACTGCAACGCCCCATCCTCCGGAACATTCCCAGAGGGGCACAAGTTTAAAGCCCGCTCCGGATTTGCCCTTACTGAAGACATCATCACAAGGTGGGAATATAAGCAACACAAAACCACGCGGATCCCCTCGGCTCTACTACTTTGTAAGCAGTGTCGACAGGAACCACCAACGGTCATTCATCTACTATGGTCCTGCCCGGCTGTAGCAGCCATTCGCGACAACCAGAAGCCACCAGGAGTCGAGACACTCCACGAATGGATATATCCCAATGACCACGCCAACGCAACGCTGCTTGCATTGTGGAACTTTGCCAAGGAGGCCCACCTTGTCAGCAGAACATGAACTGCAGACTGCCCCCACCTTCCTTCCCCTCTCCCCATACTGGCCAACAGAGCCATCCTGATGCAATAAATTTATTCATTAATCCATCTTCGCTGGCCATTCACAGCGTGGGGGGATCACGTGACAGAAGGTGACACTGCGGGAAAGCATGCGCATAGGACGGCGTTTCCAGAGTTCGAGCAGACGATCCATGCAGAGAAAATACGCTGGCGTGCACGCAACCTATAGGCGCTTTCAGGCAGCTGTGCATGGGCGCCGCCATAACCGACCTTCAGTTTTTGTTCCCTCTTATTCCGTTCGCTCCACTTCACCATGGCTGCAGCAGGAGAGGTTATTGCCATTTTAGATATAGCTGTGTCTTTCTCCCTAGCATACGCCTTTGTGGTGGCTCGTCAACGCCCGCTTCAGTGGCTAGGCATCTCGGTAAGACAAAAGAAGGTCGGCTATGGCGGCTCAATCTGGCGCGTGCTGAAAAGTGCGGCAGCCTCCGACTTCAGTGTGCCGCCATCTTGCTCAGTGGGGTGCGCCCTTGGGCGCGGCCGTAATCCGATTACGACGCCTTAGCAAGTGTAATCGGATTATGATGCGTCCAAGCGCACCCCAGCCGAGCAAGATGGCAGCGCCCTGAAGCCGGACTGCCGGACATCGCATACTTTTGAACACCATGTAAAAGGAGGAGAGGGAAGCTGCTTTTGTAAGACTTTTGAGTGACAGGGTCATCTTCTATAATCTTCTGGGAGGAGAACAGCGACGTCTGTGCTTATCCGGGAGGCACAAAGGAGGATCCTGATAAGAGGGGAGCTCCTTCTTCCCCTTTTCTCTGGAGGGCATCGGAAATGACGTCATGTGAAATTGCACATGACGTCATTTCCGATGCCCTCCAGAGAAAAGGGGAAGAAGGAGCTCCCCTCTTATCAGGATCCTCCTTTGTGCCTCCCTGATAAGCGCAGACGTCGCTGTTCTCCTCCTAAAACATTATAGAAGATTAACCTGTCACTCAAAATACTTACAAAAGCAGCTTCCCTCTCCTCCTTTTATAGGGTGTTCAAAACTATGCGATGTGACGTCAGTGCAAGGAGCCTATATGGTTTCTCGTGTTGGGCCCTTTCTGGTGGGCCTATTTCCCGCTTCAGTGGTGTGTCCCGAGACGGCGTCAACGGCGTGCACGCAACCTATTCGCGCACGAAACTGCTTATTTCTTCCTCTTTTTTAGGTCTTCTTTCAACAGCTTCAACGCCTTCACCTCCGGCAGGAAAACGCTCTAATCTTTGAGGTTCAACATACTCTACTTGCGGCATACTCAGTTCATTATGAGTCACACTCTTGAGATTCAAGCTCCCCCCAGAAGCGTGATGCGCGCGTTTGAAATCCATCCACAGTCGAAAGAATAGCTCACTGGAAACGCCCTTTGTTCCGGTTCAATGGATAGATATCGGCTACAACACTTTTTAAGAAAGCGACCATTGTATTCATCGGAGAGGGAACCGAGCACCTGAAAGTGGTCTTCGTATCCGGGTGGTTCCCATTTCGCCCCATCCCGAAACGGGATAGGGCGAAATTGGGTGCGGGGTACGGGCCAGGGGACACAAGTGGGTAAGCAAGGACCGCAAACTATCAGAACTGGAGTGTCGCCTTCCTGATGGCGCGATTTCCATGTTCGACTTTCTCAACAAGGCGAAGGCATTATCTGGTCTATGATGTTTTCCTGTTTGCGCGAGTGTTCAGTGTTTGAAATTGTTAATAGAAATAAAGTCACAATCATATGCCTGTCACTCTGTCTGATTTATCGCTCTCCAAAGTATCAAGATCACTAATATGAGGTTTTAGAATAACGTACGCAAGCACTCTGGGCAGGGACCCAGGAACCGGGGGGGGGGCCTTGAGCACCCGTTGTCATTTTCCAGGGAGTGCTGGGCAATATGTTAAGCCGCCGTGCATTTGGCTCAAGGCCTCCCTCTCCCCCAGGGCCGAATTAAGGTACAGGTGAGGGGGCTGTAGCCCAGGGCCCCGGGGGGCCCCGTGCTAATCCCCGAAAATTAAAAAAAAAATAAAAAATGCTAGTCTGGTTTAGTTTAGAATACTCAGACCAAAAAGTGGAGCAGAACTCAGAGGAGCCTCTGGGCCCTGGCTTTCTGACGTCGTGCCATTTCCCCCACCCCCACCTTTTTTTTCTTCAATGTGGAAACAGGGATGCCGCAAAGTTACATTCTCTAGACGAGCTTGTGTTTGTGAGCTCGTTGTAAAAAACTGTGCTAGAGCAACAAAATGTAGGCGTTGCCTCCCACCCTCCTTGTCGGATGGAGCAAAGCTGTCGACGCTGGCGGTCCCTTTGAGCTCTCTTCACATTTAAACCAGACGGAAGGACGGCCACAGAGTTCTCTATTGTACAGGGGCACCCTCGACGCGTTGTACGGACGATGGTGTGTTGGAAGGCAAGCAAGTGTCGCCGAAGGCTACACGAGCAACATATATGCTACACATTATTTTTTTTGTATATTTTTGGTCTTTTAGCGTAGTTCCATATGGAAAGTTTCCTCCGAAACAACAAGTTTAAAACAAGCAAAAAGAAATGTCGGTGAACCTCCCCAGGCATTCCTTTCTAACCACTAACAGGCGTTTCAAGAAGCCGACTCTTGAGATGTCCCCCAAAAGTTTTCGAGAAACAGTGACTGCAAGCAACTGCTCTGGAGCCCGCGTCCGATCCGGCAGTGCGAGACACCTTTTCTGCCACCAAACGATATGATCGCTGCATTTTTTTTTTTTTCAGGCCTCCGAGGTATGATTTATTATTCTTAGCTTAGGGCAGGGGTGGACCAGCTGTGGCTCTTCGCGTGTATGTAAAAGTGCAGCTCGTGGCTCCCTAGTATACCTAACACCCCCTCCCCTCCTTTCCCGCCTCCCTCCCGGCCACATGAGCACTTCTCCAAGAGAAAAGGATCGAGTTTTAAATCGAGACAGCTAGGTTGCGGTTTGGTCCTGTGCTACCGTTATTATACTTACGTACAGTTGAACTGCTTTTGACTTGGACAGACCTAAAGTACTTTAAATTTCATTTAATGGTCAAAAAAAAAAAAAAAGTTTGGACCCCCCGCTTTTTTTTTTCTGCTTTTTATCTTTTTTTTTGGCGGCCATTGGAAGTTCAGTGGTTTTGTTTGCGGCTTTTATTCCGGGTCAGCCTGGCAACCCGTGGCTTAGAGTAATACGTCTAAATGGCTGCGAAGTTCTAAATTACTGAACTTAGAAGACACAACACCATTTCCAAAACTAATTGAAACATTTTACCCTTAAAGGAAAACTTCAACGAAATCTGAAATATACCCGTCGTGTTCACTAATAAGTTGAATATGATCCACAATATCCGTAAATGATAATCGTACGTTTGTATTTTGAGCGTGGTGGCTGTATTTTTCGTTATATACGGCTACTCTGACAAGTGCTCGGAGAGCAACCAGCGAAGACCACGTGACATTCGACGCAATCGTGACGTAGTTCGTCTCGGGACGAGCAAAGCTGCGGCGAGGCTGACGTCAAGAGGATTAGGGATCGAGCATTCATGTGCGCTGCACTGCAAACTCAAACATGCCGACTTGAACAACTTTTCATCCCAATGCTACAGGCCGCCGGGTCCAATCGCGAGCCTGATAGAAACCACAAGGTATATTTGCTCCGTCGTACGTATCAATGCGCCAAGAATCGTCATGCGGAGGAGACTTTTTCGTCTGCTTCTCTACCCCTCGCGGCGGCTCCGTCTGCTTAAGATAGCGTCTGGAAGCGATGGGGCGAAGAGAACTCGGGTTCAGAACCAGTGGCCATTAAGAAATGAAGATGAGTCGGATAGAGTGTTCGACACGGGAGCGTATGTACGGACCGCGTGCGTAAGGGAGGTGCGGGTCCGGGTCCGTTTTACGTACATAAAAGTTGGATTGGATTGTTATGGCTAAGGCGACACGGCTTTATGTCAGTGTTGCCGGCTAACAATCCAACTTTTCCAAACAGTTGACATGTTTACGAAATATGGCCAAGAATGTTTATAAAACGAAATACCATGTACCTTTACCTCAGGCGCGGATCCAAGGGGGGCCGACAAGGGCTGCCAACCCCCCCCCCCCTCCCCCTTTCTCGGAGGGCAATTTGACATGGGTGGACAACCCAGTGCACACGAAAGAATGGGAGAATGTCATGTTTACAAATTTTTCGCCCCCTCCCCCCCCCCCCTTCCAAAAAAAAAAAAAAATGGAGTTCTGGATAAGCCCCTGCTTTACTTCACCAATATAAAATAGCGCGCTATCATAACAGAGAACCATATGCGTTAGATCAGTGCTCTTCATACTCTACGCATCGGAATTTCTCTCGCGCAGTCTTTCGCAATGCGTATGCAAGCGTTTCCGAGGGAGTGCTCCGCCCGCCAGCCTTCGGTTTCCATCGTAGGGTGCGACGGGGTACAGTTACGTGCAGTACAGGCGAATGCAACGCCAGGCGAGGTGAGAAAAGACGAGCACTAGGAAAGCTGGGGAGGAAGAGAGGAAACTCCTCTCCTCTAATGTTCCTAGTGCTCTCTCTTTCTCCCCTCGCCCTCCATTGCACTCCTCTCCCGTCCCGCCTTGCTTTGCTAGTGCTCGCCCTTTCTCTCTTTACGTGGCATAGAAAGTGGTATTTCTAGTGGCAGCTGTAGTTTCGAATTGTACCCACTTGGAAAGGTTCCTCCCGGGTTTGGAGAAGATCACAGTTGACTCTCCACCTGGATCAAAATAAAGGAAACAAAACATAAACAAACAGATGGCAGACATTGTCTTGCTTGAGCACAGACATAACAAGTACAGAATACATGTCGCCATGCAATAAATTCCAAGATAAGAATGAGAGTCAAAGGACAGGTAAGCTATTGAACCTTCAACATTACGAGATCTTTGTGCCTTTCATTTCCGCTCGGAAAGAGGCTTTGTTCATATAATATATTCCCACATTTCGCACTATTCTGTTATCGTGTGGACTGAGTACTGCTTCGTCTAAATATTCGCTTCTCAACCTTTTCTAACAAATCAACCGGACGACAATACCGCTAGTAGGCAACAAGCGCGAGCTCTTTACTCAAGGACGCACCTCGACTGCACAAACTCTAGCCGTCATGAAATAGCCTTAAAATCGAAGTATTTTCTTATATACAGCTATAAAAATCGCCAGAAAAGCAAAAACTGTTGTACGAAGTTTTTTTTTTTTTTTTTTTTTCTTCCAGTTTAGCCTAGTGAATAGTGTGACAGGGCAACGACAGTGTGCGTGCCCCCGTTCTATTGAAAAATGCCAGCACATTGGTGTCTTATCTTGTCATCACATCAGGTGGGGGTCCAAAGTAGTCGTATAAGTAAATCTAAGGCAAAGATGTCACTGGCTAAGCGGCAAGTTTACACAAAGCAGAGAGCACGAGGTCCCTTCCCTAGAAAACCTCTGTGGTGTCGCTAGGAGAGTCAGCTGCTTTGCAACGTGAAACAGCAGTTTTTTTTTTGTTTGTTTGTTTTTTTCCGGAAGGGAGTAGTACAGTGGATTTTTAGATAATAATTTTATGATTAAAACAATCTACACACCCTAAGCAGCCCAGAAAACGCGATCATGTGTCCATTCTTCCTAATAAAAAAAAGAAGAGGTGACGAAAAATTGCAACACGCCCCTTTTTCTGAGATAGGCCTCAGTAAATGGGGCATATGGCGATATTTGGTCGCATTTGTGATAAAAAAGGGACACATATGATTGTAATTTTGGGTTGTTTTCTAGGATGCTTAGAACACATAGGTTGAGTTTTTGCTATAAAAAGACAATCTCGAAATCCACTTGAGTGCCCCCAAAAACTCATTCTCTCTCCCTCATCACTTCAGGGTACTAGACGTTTGAATACTCACGGTCGGGTCCCGTCGGCGATGCCACGTAGGTCTTCCTGAAGTTGAAGATTTTCTCTTTTTAGATCCTGGTACATTATTACATATTGTTTCGCTCTTCGTTCTAGTTCCACTATTGTCTCCGCCATAGAATCCCGGGTTCTGCACAAGTTCTTACGCGACACGGCCAAGGTGGCACATTTTGCTTTGAGGGTTTTTAGCTCGTTGAGTGAACTTTTGAAGTTTGTTGACATGTCTTGCAGGGCTTTCAGAGTGTATTTCTGGGATGTCTGTAGGCCAGATATCATGTCTAGTTGCTTGGAAAGCTGGTCCTTCATGTGTGCATTAGACATTTCTGCTGTCTCGAGTTTTGATCTAACAGCGTCGTATTTCTTCTGCAAAGCAGAAAGCTCGGACTTGGTCTTGCTGAGGCTGGCTTCGATGGCCACTTGATCCGCCTGTAGAACAGACAAAACCTATTTAAATGATGCTAGGAACAAGTACACTATTAGGGTTCCGTGTTGCCGTATAAATCCGAAAAACCGCGAAAAACATTCGCCAGTAAAATTTTCAGTCGATTCAAAATTTTCTTAAAAGCTCAGAATTTCGAGGTCACGATGGCAAAATAAAAATCAATAAACAGTTTAAAAAGATGGTGTTTTACGAAAAGAATGAGTGAGAGCACAGAGTGGGTGGTCCTTAGGAGTGGCCACTTCAGATTCATTTGAAATATCGGACTAATTGACAAAAGGGTTTGCTGTTTATTTCGCCAAGGTTCATTCAGAACAACGGGTCATGGTACTTCTGGGTCATAACAAAAGCCACTGTTCTGGTTTTCAGTTTGGAACATACTATTTCTTCTTAGAGGAAGGAGGGGTTGTGTTTTTATAACAGTGAAAGCTACACACCTGTAGATTTCAAAAGAGGGAGCAGGGCAGCTGGAGCTTGTATGCCCCCCACCGACTACGTTCACCAGTGTATAGTTATTTTAGAGTATTGATGTTAATCGAAGCAATACTTTTTTGCAAGGTGTGTCGTGGGACAGTCAGTACTGCCAATGGCAAGGGCGCCAATGCCAAATGCAGCCGCGGGAATAATTCGATACAGGTGAGTTCTTATGAGTTAACGGTACGTTTGTGTCCGAATCTGCTTTATTTTTGTTTTTAATAAAAAAAAAAAAAAACATTGAAAACACGATAAAATAAACTTTCATTTTGGAGAATTGTGAATAAAAGATAATAATATAAACTTCGATAAGCCCCGAATTTTCAGCGAAAAATAAACTCTGAAAAACAAAACCCTAATTTCACAAAAAAAAAAAAAATTCCGAAATACGGAGTTCTACAGATATATGTATGACAAAGAATGGCATGGTCAGAAGTGAATAGTGCGCGGACATAACATTGGCACCGTTTCATATGCTCTCCCAGCTCCTGCAGTTTTTTTTTTTTTTTTTTTAAGAGTTAAACATATCCATCGGCTTTACGTAGACATTTACCTAACTAATTATGATAACCTTTCAACAGTTAATACAAAATCAGAAAAGCTGACCAACTCTGTCGCGTCCTGATTCGTAAATCAACCTATCTGTGATAAATATCGCATTGTGGATAAGCTTACTGACATGCAAGGTTGCCCTTGACTTGAATGAGCTTCCAGGTGTTGAGATGCTCCAGAGACACCCTGAAAATTGTAAACAAGCTGGGTCAACAGCCAATTAATGAAATTACAACTAATGTTAAAAAGTTCCATGCCTAGTAAATGGATTGAACCGTTTATTTAGCGGGAGAACGCAGTTTGTACACATAAAAGGTAAAGGGTGGAATATGTGTGAAGTCAAATCTCGCGTTCCTCAGGGGTCCGTTCTTGGGCCTTTGTTCTTTTTGATGTTTGCGAGAAATAGTGCAACCAACCTCTGCTGCGCTGTTATCGCGCAATGCAGCAGGGGCTGGTTGCACTACTTCTCCACGAAACGCGGTGCTATCGGCGCCGAGAAGCGCTCAGATTTCAAACCGAAACTAAGAAACCCGTCGAAGTTGTGCGGTTTTTCAGAAAGCCGAAAAATGCTGCGCGTGCCTTCTATCGTTCTGCAATTTATTGATTTAGTGTTTTTTGATGATACTCAGCAATTTTCTAATTGAAACCATGCCCTTAAACACAATATTAAAAAAGTTAATTACGCGAAAGTAATGAACAATCTAATTATCCTGGACTTTAATAATTTTCCTAAATAGGCCCCTGGCCTAGGACCAAAACGACACAGGCCGTTCTTGTTGCGACGCGTAGTTTCCGCAATATCAAATTTGTCCACTTTTCGTGAAACACCCTGCGACATGAGCCCCCAGACGTCGCCCCCACACATCAGATATGCTCCCGAAGCCCCTGTACCTCAAAAATGTTGTTTATCGTGGACTGCTTAAACAGCACATGGCACCTCAAAACAAAATTAAGCTTTTCCACATATGAGCGATGAAAACGGGTGCCGCGCGGCAGCTCTCATAGCAACTTGCGCGGATGCTGTGACGCGGACCTATTCAATCCCACCGCGTCAACGCGTCCCGTTTTCATCGCCCATGTGTCACCCGATTTAGCCCCGTTGAGCGCGCTTCTTACCGGGCACCGGTGCACTGCGGAGAAGCGCGCTCAACGGGGCCGCGGAACTAAACGCATGAATTGCACAAAAACACCGTCCGAATTAAGCGGCTTATAAATACATTAAAAACATAGCGGGACAACCAAAATCGTCGGCTCATAAATAATTTTTCTTTTGTATTTTTTGTTTTGTTTGTGTGACGTCATGTTTTTAAACTTTCGCATTTTATCATCACCGCTAGTGTAGCATTATCAGGGGGTTTCAGCTTTCTGCAATGCGAAGTTTATTGAGGCAGGCTTAAAAACCAGGTTTAATTTTCTCGATCTAACCATAGACAACATAAAGCACTAGGACGGCTGACCGGTGCTGTCCCCCAAATGTTTTGCCGTGCTGAAGGATGCAGCTCGTCTGGGGTCATTTTGGACAGGGGTGTAGTCTCCCACACCGGGTCCACATTCTGAAGGAAGCATGCGGTCAAAGAGATCACAATTACCACACGAAAACCAAAAGTTCCGCTGCCCAAACAAATCGAAACGTGTAGTCACAAATTTAAAACGAACTAGTAACTGTACTAACCTCTTGTATCGTTGAAACGCATGAGTTTTGCCCGCGAAAACGACATCGTGGGTTGATATATCACTTCTATACTGCTCTGCCACTTGCTTCGCTTTATAATATTTGAACTCGGACCAGTTGAACCACTGTGACCTGAGCCTGAAAAGGTCGTTGCTTGTACTGCTTGCACCGCCTAAACGGCAAGTGTATGCAAGTTTCAACCAGTTTCAACTTGCTTTAAAATTTGAACGTTGGCGGCACGTTGGCGGTGTCGCTGGCATCGCGTAGAGCATTGCGGTTGTATTTTAGGTAATTAAACATGAGGGGACGGACAACAAAGACTTCCATGGAAGTTTTTATTGTCCGTCCCCCCTTTATATGTATCTTCCTCATGTTTAATTACTGTTACCAACACGCTCGTTTTGTACTTAATTATGTTTAGAATTAGCCGCGTCCTGCCCGCCCCCGCCAATACATCAAAAGTGGTCCTGAAGTGGCAACAAATGACGTCACACAAGCAAGAATGGTCCTGCTGTCGGATGTTGCGATCCTGGCGGTTGGTCAGAGAAATGTTGGCAAAAAGCACGAACGCAAGTGTCGCTGTAGTCGCGGCGTCGCAATACCACAGGTCGCAACTTTGGACTCACTGGCTCACTGCTGCTGGGACAGCGCCAAACGTCAAGATCGCAACCAGCGACTACTTAACACTTTTTGACGTCATCGGGTGGATATCGAGGGACCACTTTTTCAGGCGCGGTAACGCGGTGAACACACCAGGCGGAGACGCAAGAAGTTTGAAGTCAACAAAAGCCAAAAACGCGACTGAACGTGACGTCAGTGACGGTTCAAGTTTTTGTAGTTCGTGCGGTTTGTGCATTGCTCCGATTCGTCAATCCCGTCAATCAGAATACTACGTAGAATACTTGAACACGCCTTGGCCACCTTGGCTGCCTTGGCCACCGGTCACCCCACTAACCCCACCCCCATTTGTCGAGTAGAACGTCTGTGTAACATGGAGGCTGTAAAGACTTATTTGGCGGCATTGGACAACAGTAACACACGAGATGAAGCAGTGGACACAGCCAAAGACTATTCAATTTCTCACGGTGCGTATTAGCGTAGCCTTCGATTTGTTTATAATTTCGAAAACTCGGGCTAACTTTTCAAATCCTTGTTTTCAGGAATGTGTATGATTTCTAAATCCGGAGGGCGTGATTGCTGGACGTTCGTGCCTTTTTGCTTGCTGCCGTCGCCGTTTCCGAGAAATCATTACCTTCAGCTAAAGTCACTCCAACGCGATGTGAATTTGCTCATGCACAGAGTGGCGCATGATCACGAGTTCTTGGAGAACTGCCTCCAGGGGTAAGCAACAGATCTCCACTAAAGACTGCCCTTTTCAGCGAATCACTGAACCTCTTGAGCGCGTGGATACGGAACTGTATAGTGCCGGTGATTGCTAAATCGGGCCTTTCGAGTGTTCCGTTCTGCACGTCTACAGTTCGTAAACAACCATCCTTGTGTGCACGGCTCTTGAACACCTCACTCTCGTATGTTGTTTCTGTACCCGTAGAAAAATGTAAGATGTTTGTATAAAAAATAACTAGGGTTTTGCATTATCTTGTTTTGTGTGGATGCACTTACCTGTTCAACATTTTTCAGGCTGTGTGATCTCCTTGCTTGTTAGGGCACCAACCAGGCCGTTATTGATGTTGCTGGCCTGCATTAAGGCGAAGCTTCCTCCGCGGGCAGGGCTTGGTAAGCTCTCTCAATGGAGGCGGTGTGCCGAGGGAACAGCGGGCAACGCTGAGCGGGAAGCTGTCGCTTCGGCCGCCGTCATGCTGTGAGTGTCTGGCAGTTCCTATGAGGCTTGGTGCAAGCTTGGGCCTGAGATTATATAAAGTTTCCCTGAGCGGAGCGAAGGGTGATCGTGCTAAGTTCAATCTGTTTGGCAGCCTAACTTGCCGATTATTTTGATTAGCTAGTCTTCTATTCAGAAACGGTCGGCAAGCTAGGCTGCCAAAAAGATTGCGCTTTGCGCGATGACCCCTTATTCCACTTGGGAAAACTTTAATATGATCTCAGGCTCAAGCTTGCACCAAGCCTTGTCAGAACTGCCGAGCGCTCGCAGGATGCTGGCGACCGAACTGACAGTTTCCTGCTCAGCGTCCAGCAACGTTCCATCAGTGCACCGCTACTCCATTGAGAGAGCACCCCAAGCCCCGCCGGTGGAGAATGCTCCACCTTATTGTAGGTCAGCGACATAAATACCACCAAGCCCACATACACATCCATATGCTAATCTTCAATTGCCATGCCTGTGAAAGCGTGCAAGACTCCTGAATGAAAGCAGTGTGAACAACGGGGCGACAGCCTTTAGCTTGTGTCACATCACTTCGCAGTTGTTATTAAAAGCTCTCGTTCGCTCCCCGGCACGCTTTGAAAGTAGTGACAGTTAAAGGCGTTGGCTACGAAGGGGGGGGGGGCGGGGGCCCGAGCCCTCCTGGAAAATGCCCCACCTTCCCTTCGAGCTCCTGGTGAAAGGAAGTACACTCGCCTCCAGGACGTCTTATTCACCTCATGTGTGCCATGGCGGGTATCAACAGGTGTCGCCCATGAGTCGGAGCAACGAGAAAAATTAACTGCAAACACTTCGCAAACATTATTATGCTAGACATTTTAAGAAACTCTATTCCAGGCAAAAAAATATAGCAATAAAAAGGAAACAATCTTACAGGCGGCAGAAAATAGGTAGGAATAGACTCTTTCGTCATATGAGAGCCCATCTACACATAACACAATTTGCGGCTCGAAATTCGTTTTCTTTCGTCCGAAAACCACTGATCGAGAACTCGCCGGTTTGAGTCGCGCTCACTCTTCTGCGTGGTCACGTGCTGTTTTCTATGGTTTAGACACAACCACTAAAGATTATTAAAGTCATGGGCCATCGAAGGCACACACTCAATACTAAAAATAGACGGAAAACAGGATACCTATTTTTTGTGGCTTCTAAAATACTGCAAACACGGTGATTGAAAAAAAAAAAAAAAAAAGAATTGCACAGCCACGTGACTTTTGGTAGCTTTCTCCTCTATATTTCTTCTTCCACCCCAGTCTGGTTTCGGTTTCGAGCAGTTGGCTTATTTTACTTTATTAAAAATATGTAACGCTGTTTCAGAATATTGATTGGGTAGTTTTCTGAAACCATAGTAGATTGCCTGGCAAAAAAAAAAAAGAAAGAGGGGGGTGTCAGTGTTTTTTAAGGCGGTTATGGCACTCTTGCTTTACAAAATGGACAGAGAAAGATGAAAAAGGAGCTCAGGCACCTTATAATTGTGTCGGAAGCAAAAAGAAAGCAAGAGCAAGACGAAGCAACTGATAGAAAAAAAAGGTTGTCCGCTCCTTCTCACAAGTGTCAGCAGCGAAATGCCTTTTTTTGACACTTAAAGGTACTTTGAGGAATGCCCCTTGCGGCTTGCAAGAAAAGAATACTTGCAAGAAAGAAAAAAAGCCGAACATAACAAAAGAAACATCTATGTGTTGTTCTGTGGCGACGACAAAATTCGAAGGCGCCACTAGTCGCGACAGAGAAAGCGAAGGAACTTCAGCGACCGACGACCGCGGACTCAAGAGCCGCCTGGCCGACGGGTTATCTACCGAGCGCCAGCCTGGCTCCACGGTAACTCTCTACCTGGGTTTGGTCTCAACATTACGGGGGGTGATGAGGAGGGCAAGAAGGGAGGTCTTTTATTTCTGTTTTTTGTTAGGGGAGAGCTAGAACAGCATCAAACAAGCCTCGCATTCTTTTTGTTTTGCTTAAACAATCCTCCTTTCTCTCTTTCTGTTTTCAATACTCTCACTGTCTTTGTTCCCTTCAACTTCGACATTCGAGACACGAAGGAGTAAGTTGGGACCTTGCATGTTAATAATGTTAATACTGTTCCAGCAATATCACAAACAAAATGATGGTAATTGCAACTTTTGTTCTAGGACGGAGTAATATGCATAGAGTAACATCTGCGATCAAAGCTAACAAGATGACAAAACTAAATTAAGCATACTCCTATATTTATTCGGCTGCTCTAGTATCTAGAGCCATACAGCCCATAATCAACTACAACAACTATATCTAGAGCTTGATTCTCATAACCATGTCGCACTGCAAAATTATTAGAATAATTCGCTGGACGAAATCGCATTTGTAACCTGGTAATGCGTCTTTCCGGGGGCAAAGAGGGGGCGGGCGGTGGTGTTCTGTCGGGCCCCAGCCAGGCACGCACGTAGCCGGGGGGGGCATGGTTTTTGGGCCCCCCCACCCCCCGAAATCTTTCATTTTGCTGGGTTCTCCTCTCCCTCATACAGCATTTTGTCATGGGTGCCCCTTCCCCGAAACAATCCTGGCTACGTACATGCTCCCTCCCCAAGAAATTGAAAACTTTCCTCCTATGGTGATAGTGCCAAGTGTCTGGCCCTTTCAATGTATGGAATTTACACTGATCAGTTTTCCTCAGCATGTGGCACTATTTGCCACATCTTCGAGTTGACAATGTGGGACACATACTTTGAATACCCCGTGATGATACAAAATAAATAATCGTTTATCAATCCCCCACTGTGCTGTGTAAGTCGTCATGTCGCTGTGATATCCATCTAAAACTGGTATTTATTTTTTATTTTTTAAGTTGCCATTATGGGGTGTTCCAAATACTGAGGCTGCATTGTCAACATGGCGATTAGTGCCGAATGTGGTGAAAGACTGAAAGAAATAGGCATGAGTGCCACTTACCGAAAGGCTTGCCACTTTGCACTGTCGCTACTTTCGAAGCGTACCACAGGTTGTAGAGAGCTTCCACTGATTGTTCAGTGGTGCGATGAGAGAGAGAGGTTATCACTGTCGTTCGTGCTTCTTTTGTTATTCAAATTCCTCTTAACATCTTTGAGACTACCAAGAACTGGCCAGACTATACAATATCTTTAAACATCCAGCATGTGCATGTTATGCTACAACCCAAGATTGCGAAAAAAAAGAAAAAAAGGGGCGGGGGTAGGTGGCATTTATGATAGTTCTGGGTCTGGTGTTTTAGTGTGGCTATCTTTAATCAGCTCGTCTGTCTTGGATAACTCCCAGGATCTGTTTTGACCAAGTTGTTGTCTAATTTGTGAAATAAATGAAATGTGAAAACATTAGATTATCAAGGAATGCCAAAATGGAACAAGCTCTCACTGAAATGTTAACCACCTCAATTTCAGTGCAATAGAGACGGACAAGTTCACGGCGTCCATCTACAGGATTTACGAGCAAGTTCGTGAGAAGGGCTTCCCTCAGGTGATTGAGCTTTGATGCATGTAAAGATGATATACGGAAGGTTTACCTTAAAGGCCGACGACCAGACACGAGATTCTGCAAGGCCCTCCTCCTCACCCTGAGGGAGGAGGAAACAGGCAACGGTGGACAAGGTAGAAGGGGGGAGAGGAGGATATGGGGAAAAAGTGGAAAGCGCGAACTGGTCATCGGTCTTTAAGGCCAGTCAAAAGTATCCCTCGAGAACTATGCATAGCAGAGAAAAATTAGTTGATGTCGTATTATACTTCATTTCACCTTAAGTCCAGATGCAGCTGATGGAACCAATCGGACAGCGTCAAAAGCGTGACATCATGGTGGTCGTCATGTTTCTGTACGTGTTCTATATCATCAGTAAACCAATTGTTAACAGAAAAGGCCCAGTGACTGGCGCTTTTGACACTGCTTTATTGATCCCACTACATTTTAGCGTTGGCTGCGGCTAAACTTAAGCCGAAACACAAAGTATAGAAGCTGCAAAGGGGCCTATTTAGTGTTGTACACAGAGTTTTGGACAGTTAACTTTTTAGTTTGTAAAATAAGAGGCGTAGTTTCAATTAGAAGCTTACTGGGCATCGTCAGAAACCACCAAAGTTGCCCACTATAGAAGGATGTAAGACGTGGGCAGCATTTTACGGCGTTCCTAAAAAACTCGTTTTGGACATGTGTTCAACTGTGGATTCCCTATCGGTGCCCATATATGCAGCGGTGACCCAGCTTCACATGGCCAAAGCGGCAACACATGCGTTGCGACGCATCGACTTCATTTTACATGAGAGGTGAGTTACCGCTTTGGTCAGGGAACGCAGGGCTGTTGTGGCGCAAGGAAGCAACCGATAAGAAAGCAGTGATACTTCCATTCACACAAATTGGCTGTTTTTCGGGGAGGCTGGAAAATTAAATTTTTTATAAAGATGGTTGATTTAGTGTTTTTTTATTATGCCCATTAGGTTGTTACATTTAAATTATGCCACTAATTTTAACCATTAAAAACTTAACTATGCCAGATCAATTCCGCTAACTGTGCAGAACTTCGGCTCCATGTCATCAAGTGGGAAACATGATGATGATAATATATGGAATATCTATAAAATGCGACAGGTCCCAAAATTTATACATCAAGATACCTCAATAAATCTTTGACCCATTTCCATATCATCACTATTGTGCAGTGCACATTAAAGGGTTACTGACACTGTATTTTTAGATGTTCATATTTATTTTATTTTTGTTTTAAGCGGCTACCTACACTCAGAAATTCAATGTTTCACTAGAAAAATTGCCTGTAAAAATGCCTCAAGACAAGCTCCACTGGATTCCACCTCCACTTTTTTTTTTCTTTCTATTATCTGTGATTTTCTAAGAGTGCCAGGCTCTCTAAGATCCATGCCATCCATAAAAGATATTTTTGATGTCAATCATATCAATGAAGAACCATAATTTTTTTTCTTGCTCTCTATAATTTTTGGAAATCTTTGTCCACGGGAAAGGCAATGAATGCATTCACCAGTTTTTGCTATAGTGAAAATAGTAAAATAATAATGTCATGAAAAAAAAAAAAATCTTGGTTTAACTGCATTTTAAGAATGTTTTCCATATGGTATACTGTAAACTACTTAATTTTCGCGGGCTCAAATTTTCGTGAATCGGGACAAAGCTGAAAATTTGAAATTATTTGCGGGTTCTAATTTTCGCGAATCGAGTGTAGCTTTCATAGCGTTCACATATTGCCCAATTGTTTGCAGGACGTATTTTTCGCAAATTGTAGGCGATTCGCGAAATTCGGGAAAATTGGGCCCTCACGAAAATTTAGTCATTTACAGTATATATATATATTTTTTTTAAAGAACCTCAGATTAATTGAATCTTGAATGTTCTCATTTTAAAGCTTCAGAGTCCTTGTGGGCCGTGGGGCTTAGAAAGAAACCAAAGCCAGAAAGGAAGAAAACATAACACTTTTACAAGGGGCACGCCTAATGGTTTGCGACTTCTTGCAACTGGAAGCAACATGTTTTTCCATGTCGCTCCCTGCTACATAGATCTGTTTTGTTTTCTCCTCACATAGACTACTCGGTACGGTGGAAAGTTCCGGGCTATGCGGAGAGCAAGTCGTCAGCTTCTTTCGCAGAAGTTGCGGTGACGTCAGAAAGACGCCAATCTGATTGGCTTTGATTGAAAGGGTAGTGGTTAGACTTCAATGCTAGATGCCTTGAGCTCTGCCCACTTGTTTTCTCAATCAGCCAATAAGAGCTCGGCGTTCTGTCAGCATCACAACCCCTGTGCAAGAACCAGACGAACTTGCGTTTCGCATAGTGTTGGAAGGGATGCAGGTGTTGGTGATGTTTCTTCACATGCGGTCCATCAGGCTGTCTTCCGCACAAACTTCAGGACGGTTTTGAAATCTCTGTCCGCAGTTCGGCGCGGTGCAGTTGAAAAAGATATTTTTCCAACTGTTCCACACAGAACTGTGCACAGAGGCTTCAAAACCAGCCTGATTTCTACGGAAGACGGGCCTTATGAACATATGTGAAGAATCATCCCAAACAGTTGTACCCATTTGAAGACATCGCCCTGAACTTTCCACATACTAATAATTCAAACCCCCTGCTAAATTTCTACCCCATCTCTTTCAACCATGATCGGTTTCTCCATCCCCTAGGTGGGTAGCGACTTTCCCCGTAAAGGAGGCCTACACCTTATTTGGCTAGCCTCCTTTTCTCTGGGCAACACCAGACAAACAAACAAACAATCAAACAAAGTCTTTTGAAAAACTCGGGGTTAGCAGTCATGCTACACTGTCCTAATGGCCCCCTCCACCAGTGAAATACAGTAGACCTATGTTAACTCCAATTTAAAAATAATCCAGTGTCGAATCTCAAAATATTGGCTTGCTGAAAAGATTTTCGCATCACCTAATGAAACTCCACAGGTTCCATCAATTGTTCCATTTCTTTTGAATGGAGTTCATTGCAGACTCCACATATGTCTCAAAATGCATCTCTAAAAGTCTAAAAAAGGCTGGTCAAAAAAAAAAAAAAGGCTGGTAACCTAAAATAAATTATGAAGGATGCTTTCACATATACTGTACAATGCATTTCTATTGGTTGCCCAGGAACAGCAGCCAATCTAGTACTTTGGGAGCATTATACAGGACATGGTCATATATTGATTAAAACATCTTTCAAAGATGTATCAACACATGTACAAGATGTTTCATCCTGACCTTTATTTGTCGCAGCCTCTAAGTCTTGGCTTGTTGAGAAGTGATTATTTCTTGGATGTTGGCACTGCTGAAAACAGGAAGATGGGTGTTGCTAAACAAGTTGAAGTGAACACGATTGCTGCAAGCTATGGTGGTTTATCACCAATACTTCAAAACCAACAGAAGTAAGTTACGTTCTGAAATGACTTGTAGAAATGTCGGGGCTTTGCCTTGCAATTGCAAAACAATTTTGTGTTTTTCAGGCATACCCTCAAGAACCTCGGCCTTCGCATGCATGAGGATCATGTAAGAATTGTATATCCTGTTTGAAGTTTGCGCTTGTAATAACAGTTTGTGTATCACTGAGACTATGTTATAAAACATGCAGATGCCAGAAAATAAATCGGACGAGCAGTTGGCTAAAGGACTCGTTGCAGCTTGGAGCGCTTACAAGAAGGAGAAGTATGTTATGTGCTTATTATAGTTCCCTTGTAGTTTTTTGTTGACTGCATGTTTCTGGGTAAACATTTCGAGCCGATATTCAGAAACTGCATATATTAGCGACTCACAGATTATGATACATAAACGACTGCTGGCAGACTTGATGATGGCTTTCACATGCCTTGACTTGATCAAGGCGTGTGAACCTGCTCTTCTCTGCTATCGCTTATTGTTGTTGGGGGGTACTTGCACTGATAAGATGTGGGGATGTCAAACAAAATCCTGGCCCACTGCACCAGATACTGGAATGCCAGACACACTGAAGCAGATACTGGAATGCCAGAAAGAGATGACAGCTAATATAGCAACAATAGTTGCAAGTCAAAAAAGTTTTGATAAAAGACTAGAAGCAATTGGAGCATCTATACTTCTAAGATAACTGATCTTGTTATGACGCTTGATGTTACACAGAAAAAAGTGGCACATTTGGAAGCAACCATATTAAAACTGCAAACAAAAATTGATGACTTAGACAAAATAATTTGGTGATCCGTGGGGTGGCAGAATCTGAGAAGGAAACGGAATTAGATTTGAAAGAAAAAGTAGTTAAAGATGTTTTCAAAACATAAATGAGTGTTGAAGTTGTGTCTGTAGAAAGGGTACATTCACTGTCTTGGTAGGTTACCTAGCAGAAAGCCGAGCAAAGTCATTTTAAGCTTTGGAAGTTATAACAAAAAACAAAATGTTCTTAGAAATGCCAAAAAGCTTAAAGGAATTCATATTTTTATTAATGAGGACTTTTAAAAAAATGTAATCAGAGGGAAGCTATGGGAGATTGCAGCTGCAAATAAAGGAAGTGGAGACGAGGTCCTATCATATCACAAAGGTTCAAAGGTGTTTATTGGCTAAAACAACCATACGACTGAGAGCCTGAGGCTCTCGGTCGTATGGTTATCGCAAAATAAAAATCAATGGAGTAACATACGAATGGGACTTAAACACTGACCACAGTGCTCAACTTGTCGCACCCAATGTACAGCATTCTGAGCATGAACAATGACGGGAAGCTATTTCAGAAGAAAGAAGAACCTCCAACTGATCAACCTTAATGCTCAAAGTATTGTCAATAAAACGCCTCAGCTAGAACACATCTTAATGAATCATGACCTCAATATAGTGACTATTACTGAAACCTGGCATTATTCATTAGTGTTAGACAGTGAGATAATATCCCCTGGTTATAATATGTTTTGCAAGGACAGAGAAAGTAGAGGAAGAGGTGTAGCCCTAATAGTTAGGTAAATCATCCCTGACCGCTTCTTCTTAAGTTAAAAGTAAGTTCTAAGAAAGTTATTATGATGGGAGAGATTTCAACCTCGGCGGGTGGTCTGGGCTACACTAGGAACTAAGGACAGTGAAGTGTCAAGCTCTGAAGAACTTTTAGATTTAGCCTTCTCGCACAATTTGACACAGGTTGTTAAAGGGGCGGTGCAACGATTTTATGATTAAAAGAATTTGCATCTCGTCATTTTTACGTTGTTTATCGTGTCCCGGAGGATAGAGAAAACACCTCCTTCATTAAAAATGCCGCGATTCCGCTGCATAATCGCAAAGCAAAAGTCGAGCTTTTTCCCCCACCTGCAGCCCCAAGTGGCAGCCGAAGGAACTACGGCGGAAAGATTACGTGACCTCGCTCGGCTCTAAGCTGCAGCATAGCGCCCGCTAATGTACGCAGAGAGAGGGAGGGGAAGCGTCCTCCGAGATAGCACACGGGAAGCTACACGGCACTCCGAATGACGTCACTGGGAGTGCGACCAGGTGTAACCCTGAAGACTGGGAGTGAGTTGAGGGGTGCCCGAAATGCCAATCTTTATCTTTTTTTTACGCAAAAACTAGGACACGCAGGAGAAATCGGTTTTCTGTTCTTTACTTCAGAAGTGTCAGGGGGCAACTTCCAGAAATCTTTGACCGAAGTCCGAAAATCGTTGCACCGCCCCTTTAAGGAGCATACTAGAGTACAAGGGCAAACTGGGTCCCTAATAGATTTGATATTTGTCAGTGAAAACCTCTCGAAGTCACACATACAATTGCAAGATTTACCCCGGAATTTCAGATCACAGTATGGTACACTTTGAACTATCGTTGGATGCTCCGCTTAAAGGGCAACTCAGCTCAATTCCAAAGATTTCGCGATAATGAGTGATTTCGCATTAAAAAGCACTAGTAAAAGACACCATGTTATTTGCTTCGCGAAAAATGAGATATATATTGTTAAATCTAATTTTAAACACAAGCAGAGATCAAAACTGAAACTTCAGCTCTGTCCAGCAACATTGGCCTCAGGCCGCCAAGAACATGGCTATCACGTGGTACGAGATGTCGCATGATTCTCTACGCAACAATGAACGGGATTGGGGTGGTGTATGCCAGGCGCAAGTGTCGTCTGCACCGCACTCTTCACCACGTTTTGGTGTCGACGACGTTCGACGACGTCTGCAGAACTGCAGCATACGTCTGCGCACATAGTGTCCATCGTGTGAACGAAACTCCGAGATACAATCATCTTAAGCGGTGAGACGACAACGCTGTTGTGACGTGGAAGACGGCGGTAACGGCGGGACCACAGCGAAGATGGCTGAAAGGCTCCCAAGAAGCGCAGGAACATTGCGCCAATCACGTGGACACCGCTGAGCGCCGAGAGGAAACTTTGCTGACGTTACCCGTTACGCTTGCCTGGAGAAGTAAAGCAAACAAAAAGGGGCAATAGTGGTCACATTTAGCTCAATGTTGACTACGCCCATGCCGTAGCCTTCACTGCGCTGTTGCTTGCGCCTCAATTCGCCCGCTCGAGTCAGCCAATTTCAACAACTTAGCAAGTTGCAAAGTTTGCCAGACGGTTTAAGAAACATTTAGACAGAATTAGGTTGTAATATTTGACGTGTGGTCTTCCTAGGCGATACTGAAAAGGACTGCATTGTTTTTTTAAAAACGAAAATGAAGCGGAGTTGCCCTTTAGGAAAATGGAAATATCTTCATATAGAAATTTTAAAGAAGCTGATGACAAATCAATTATTGATCAACGAAACTTCAGCTTTGATACATTAGGAACCTCTTGATTGGAGTGGACGAGCTATGGTTTAATTTTAAAAAGCTTTAACTAGAGTGTGTCTAAGCTTGTTCCAATGCGAGTAAAGACATGGAACCCAAGCAGTCCCTGGATTACAAGGGATATAATTCAACACAAAAGACGCTTAACCAGGTGTAGAACAAAAGCGTGTGGGAAAAGGGAGGGGCACCTACAGGCTAAAATACTGATGCCCAGTAAGGAATTTGAGGCCAAAATAAAGTCATAAAAATTCTTCTTTAATGTTAAAGTGCAAAACTTCATAACATATTCACCACAAAAGTTTGGTGTCAACTAACCACAAGCATAAAAGGAGTCACCAAGGTGACTATAGGAAATAGTATTATTGAAAACAAGAAACAAATTGTTTAAATGAATATTTTGTCACCGTTTTTTTTTCTACTGATAATCATGTTCTGCTGCAGTTTTCCTTGTTTGAAAATGTTCCCCCAAGGGATAATGTACAAATATCAGAAGAAGGTATTTTCTCCTTACTACTTCGTATCGATCCAAAAAAAGCAGCTGACACCGATAATATAACCAACAAATTCTTATATCGTTGCAGTGAATGGTGTGCGAAGTATCTCTGTCTCGTTTTTAAGAGATCGTTGGCAGATGGATCTATCCTATATGATTGGAAGATCACTAAAATAATACCTGTTCATAAAAGTGGAAATGCTAGTTCAGTTAGAAACTAGACTGATTTCCTTAACATCTATTTGTTGTAAAATGCTGGAGCATGCCATTTCTAAACATATAAGAACGCTTTTGGACGCTTATCATGTACTTGATAGCAAGCAACACGGATTTCCGAAAGGGTAAATCAACCACTACGCAACTAACGGAACTAATTCATGATTTTTGTTTGACCCTTGATAATAGAGGCCAAGTTGACATAATATCTTTAGACCTCCAGAAGGCCTTGACAAGGTGCATTATAATAAGTTGCTCTTTAAGCTCAAACTTTCGCTAAAAAATCCAAAAATCCTGGAGTGAATTGAAGCGTTTTGACTTTTAGAAAACAATTTGTTAGTATCGATGAACATGATTCAATGTTACGAGACGTTTACTCGGGAGTCCCACAGGGCTCAGTTCTCAGTCTCTTGTTATTTTTCATGTTTATTAATGACGTCCTTCGTGACATTACTGTAAAAGCAAGACTCTTTGCTGATGATTGCATTTGTATGTTTATATAAACGACAGCATTCACCACATTAAGCTGAATGAAAGTTTACAAAAAAATTAGCAAGTGGTGTGAAAGCTGGCAGATCTCTTTAAACCTAGAAAAGACCGTTTGCATGTCAGTCACACATAAGAAAACTCCTGCGGTGCATACCTACCACTTAAATGAAAAACCTTTGTCTAAAGTAAACAAGTTTAAATACTTAGGGGTAACAACAACAGGTGATCCATTATGGGACATGCACATCAATAACATAATTAAGAAAGCTACAGGTAAACTCTGGGTGCTAAGAACGCAGTTAAAAATGGCAACCCTAGAACTAAACTGTTAGCTTAAGATCAGGTTTAGAATAAGCCAGTGAAGTGTGGGACCTGTATACTGAGAAGTTAGTATATTACAACTTAAGAGAATTCAAAACTGGCGTTGCGTTTTATTTTTTCAAAGTATAGGGGGCGAGATTCACTCACGAAACTGCATTCCAAGGCAGGAGTCAATTTACTGGAAGGAAGTCTGAGGAACAAGCGCTTGAAACTGCTTCACACAATTTTAAATGGGACACTTCTGATAGAAAGATAGATTAATACGACCCCATACTTCTAGAATTACGCGAACTAAACAGGCGTACTAGAACACTTGAAGAATATCGTTTCGTAAAAAATTGCGTTAAAAATTGACATTTCCCCCGAACAATAAGGGACTGGAATGTGCTGCCAGAAAGCAATGTTGCAGCCAACACAGCTTATGAATTTATAAGGTGTTTGAAAAAGTGATTCCATGTCCCTGAAACTGCTGCTCACAGTACTTCGTGTTGTATTTTGTGTTGTTTTTGTGCTTGATATATAACCATTCAGTGTGGTACTAATGTTGACATTGTGAATCATGTTTTTTGCATGTTTTATTCATGTTCACTTGTTTTGTTGCCCACTCCTATCATGGTCTCCGTTGGGGGACTGATGGTGTTGTCAAATAAATAAATAAATAACCTTGCTCTCCTGTTCTGCTACCCTTCCAGGGCAGTCATCATGTTTGTAGTGGAAGAAACAACGTACAATATCTGCGACCAGAGGATGATTGAATATGCCATCACTAAGCTGGAACCACAGATTAAAGTGATACGTCGGAGGTTTTCGGAACTTGTGAACTGTTCTCTGAAAGAAGGAAATCTGATCGTGTGAGTAACTAATGGTGGAGTTTGAACATTGTTTTTGAATGCCCTAATTATTGGCATATACGGTGGTAAACTGGTTTGCTTGCTGCATTGGAAAAACAACGTTCTTCACTCCTTCATAAAAGATTCCTTCTTTATTCTGTACAACTTTCGAAGGGCTAGTTTTTCAATCTGTCCGTTGAGAAGTCATTTTAGTGCTCGTCCTGTGGTTACAATACCTAAAATGATATGCGCTGCAAGTATGCAATACTTTCTTTTAGGCATCCTATGAGGTTTATGCACTCTAAAATTGTTTTTTTCTATGAATACTGCTGCCCTAAAAATTGCTTTCTAGGGAGCCGTGGGTGGAGTAACAGGTCTCAATAAAATCTCTAGTAAAATCAGTTGACCCAACTGCTTTACAGGGATGGCGATGAAGTTGCAGTTGTGTACTACCGGACCGGTTACTCTCCAGAACAGATGAATGAGAAGGTTGGTATTTGAGCTCACAACATAGTATGATCGCGTCCGTTTATAACGAACACGGATACAGTGAATTACTTTCTATATCAAACGCCCAAATATTTAAAACGAAAGGGCATGTAAAATTTACTTCTATGACGAACAGCCTATTGGCTAGTTTTATTTACTAGCCTATTGGCTAGTTTTATTTACAAAACTTTTTTAGCACTCGTGCAGACTCTCGTCCTTGGGAAACCAGGTGAAAAGTTGAACGCAAAGGCGTGCAAGTGTAGATATCAACATTCACAGAGTTTACGTTTTTTTTTTACAGGGTGTTCTCGAGTGCATTTCAGGAGTAAAAAAAATTTGTATATAAATAAGCCAATGAACAGAGTGCATTGAAACTTTCCACAATGGTGTCTTGGGCATTTATCATACTCAAATTTTATGAGTGTAGGTTTTTGGAAAAAAACAAATTATGTATAGAAAAACTTTTTTTTTTTTTTATGCACAAGGAGGAAAACGCCGAAAGCTTCTGGTTGACGCTGCTATTCGCAGATGGTACCGCACACACTCGGATTGGCTAGATCTGCTTTCGGGTATTCATCTCAAAATTGTTTTTTGCTTTATATTGTGCCATCTTGAGTAGCAGGGTCAACCAGAAGTTTTTTTTTTTTTTCCCCCGTTCTTTTTGTGCATAGGAAATGACTTTTTTTTTTTAGTTTTAATCTTTTGTTTTTCTGAAACCTAGACTCATAAAATTTGAGTATGATAAATACACTGCCTAAATGCACCACTGTGAAAAGTTTCAATGCTTTCTGTTTGTTGGTTTATTTACTTTGTTTTTATGCCCGAATAGCACTTGAGAACACCTTGCAAATACACCAGCAGCCGCACATGTGCACCATGCCGCTTTGAAAGTGTGCTTCCCTCCTAAGCATGCAAATATTGAATAGCATATTTTTCAAAAACTAGACTATATTCACACTATTCTACTATGCATCGATGGGTGACTTAGGTCTGCTAAAATAGTGCATAAAGTGGGAAAACACTTAACTTGAGCAGAGACGGTCGAGAAAATTTTGCAGCTCGGGGAACCCATGAAGGTACTCTGCGGAACCCCCGTACTCCTGGGAACCCATTTTGAGAACTCTCGGGTTAGGCAGTAACAAATGAAGATTTCAACTGAATTAAATGTTGATTAGTCACCCTTCTTTCAACCTTATCTGAAATCACCCTGTAGCAACTTTGATATGCCCTTACATTTTCCGACCAGAACCCATGTTTCTTCTTTTCAGAACTGGGAAATCCGACTTCTGATCGAGATGTCCTTTGCCATCAAGTGCCCATCGGTGCAGTATCACCTTGCAGGAACCAAGAAAGTGCAGCAAGTTCTGGCCACGCCTGGTTCGCTTGACCGCTTCTTCATGAACAAAGCGACTGTGGATCGCCTGCGAAACACCTTTGCCGGGCTTTACTCCCTTGACCTGGTGAGTCTTCTGGGGCTGCAAGCTTCCTTTTTACATCTTTTCTAACTTGTTTAAAGTTTGTAGATGAGGAGGCATTAAAGTAAGGTTGAAGTTCTTGCTCAGCTTTTAAGGACAAGAACCAAAAATAGACCATTTCGAAATAAAACCTTCTTGGCCGAAGTATTGGAGCATCTTGCACAGTTCAGGGAGCATAAATCTGAGAGAACCGACTGCTTGGAAAGTAGGCAAAGTTATGCAAAGTTGTGAGGAATGCATCAATTTTCTGTAGAGGTGTGCAAATATAAAATTTTTTACTGCGAGTTGAATATGAATACCAATAATTTACACTTAGTGTGGATTGAGCATGATTTCATAAATTATGGCTCGCATGCTTTTCTAGAAAATATTCATATCGAAAGGAACAGTTTACTTTTTGGAGAAACATTTCACATAGTATTTGTATTAACCTTTTCGGGTCATCTGTTGGGTATCTCCCAACAAATAAATTTTCCCATTCTTAACAAGTGTCGGGGCAGGCCCATTTATCCTTTGCGGTCAGGCGTCGGGCGCTATCTCTTATCAGGTATGTAAACTATGTGTACTTAGTTTTTAGTTTCTTGTCCTTCCAACAAATGCTGCAAGGGGCGCAACATTTTTTTTTTTTTTTTTTTGCTAGATGCGTGGACGGGAATTTTTTGCACGCTTTTGTGTGTTCAAGATGTCAGTCTTTACTCCGTCTGCATTTTACATACTGTGGAGTTTGGAGACTGTGGAGTCTGGAGACTGCAGTCTGCAGCGACAGAAAAGTCAAAAGGCAGACATGAAAATGTTTTCGACTGTAAAACCTGCACTCAACAGCCTGGCTTGCACCCTGGCATTTGCTTTAAAAAGTATCACAAGCTGCTTAAATACCGCTAGTATAGTTCAATAATTCAAATGAAAACATTCAGGACAATGCAGAGTTATTTCAAACTGAACATATTGATTGTGGTCTATTAAAGGGGCCCTGCAATCATATTTAAGCGTCTACTTTTTTTGCGGTTTCCACGTCTCTTGGGGTTCGGGCAAGCCAGCGGGCCGCGGAGAGAGTAACTAAATATCAGTGCGTCATATTTTAACCGGACGACGCGGAAACCTCCTCCACCGATGAGAGCGACCCGCGGTACCGAAAGCGCGCGAAATGTGACGTGTTTGGTCCTGGGCTTACTACTGGTCAGAGTCGTTAAAAGCTTCTTTTTGGTCGAAATACAAAATATAAGTGGCGCGAACCGTTTTAATTATTTATAAACATAGTTTTTGTTCAGTATTTTAGATCAGAAAAGAAACGAATGCAGTTTATAAAGTTTGGAAACAAGAAATGACCCGTCGACATACCCTCCACCAAGCGGTGGAAAAGGCTGCGCATACTAGAAAGGAGTAGTGGGATCAGGCGCCGACACGGTGCGGTCTCGGATGTACGCGGCGGCGCTGTGGTCGTATGGACAGGAGGATCCGACCGGCTCCAAGCGGTCCGAAGGCCTTCGGCGAGAAGCTTTGTCTTGCAGTTTGGCCAGTTCGCGGTATGGCAATGCGAAGTGGCTCCCATTCTGAACTGATCTTTACTACGTGTTTGCTGTCGCTTGTGGCCAATGAAATGTCATGCCAAATTAGTGTTTAATCACACAGCAAATGCAATGAAAGCCGCTCTGGCTGCCCGCTGCATACAGCCTATCCAGAACATGTTTTAGTGGCGCCCTTTCGTGCCGTCGACACGGAGTGCGGCAGCCGTGAGCGCTCGATGAGCTCACTACACCTCTAGTTCACGGCCACTCAAGCAACCAGGGACGTCATGAGGGAGGTTATTTTTTGCTTGTTTTTGTAATTCTAATTTGCCTATAACTTTTAAAATAAAGCGAATTTCGAGAAAAGAAAAGTTTCACAAAGTTACTACGTTCAGTGCGCTCAGGTCTGGTGCAAATTAAAAGCCAGTAAAAAAGTCCTTGCAGGGCCCTTTTAAAGAGTTGAATTTGAAGTCACTCATTGATGTGGTCTTTTTTCGTTTAAATTAATTCTGGCCTACAAGTGGAAAACTCGCATGACCCCAATAGGTTAAGAAAAAAGAAAGGCCCTGATAAGAGTTGGGTCAGGCATAGCGTAGCGTTTCAAGCAAAACAATGACTACCATATTAATTTGAATATATTTTGGCGTATCTTTTTTTTTTTTGGTGTGTCCTGGAAAATTAGGGGTTTAATTATGATCATAACTGAAGAAGGCTGATCTGCAACAATGAGCGAAATTTCCAGCTCATCGAACCAGCCAATAGGCTCCAACATGTCTGCCGTTTCTCCTAGCATGCTGGTGCGAAGCAGTGAAGCTTGACACCAGAAGGCTGGGGCGAAGCATTTAGAGAACCTCTGACACGCCAAAAAAAAAATTTTTTTTTTCATGCTAGGCATGTCAGGACATTGCAAAAAAATTGTTTCACTATAGAGGTGCGTAGTTTTTTTTATAAAAAGTAGAAATATGAGGCCGAATTCAAAGTTCCCGCCAGTGCACCGTGACGTAACAGCGTACCGCAAGGTGTCAGGGCGGTCAGAAGGGAGGCATCGCCGAAAGTCACGTGAGTTGTTTCCCTCCTCGTGCTTACTGTGAGTCCGTGTAATATTTTAAAAATATTTTTGTTATTCTCCGCTCCTCCACGAGCGATCCAAGCAGACAAGGTTTCTTTTATTTGCTTTTCATCGCTTAATGTTGCTGTAAAGGTAGAAGAAGAGGAGTCAGTGAATTGACGTGATCAACTACAATGTCTAGAAGGTGCTGTATGAGGGACTGTCCCAGTATTTCAGCAACTGAAGAAGAGATCACACTGCATGCATTTCTGAGAGATGGCAGGCATCTCCAGCCTGGAGAGTATACAATGATTCAACGACCTCGGTGTCTGAACCTTCAGCAATGCAATTGGGCGTGTCGTACGCTAGCAATCCTAATTTCTGCGAGCGTTCTAAAATTTTTTTTTTCAAAACTTGATAGCCTTTTTTGTGCCCAGTATAGCTCTGTATCATCGAACTGATGGCATGCACTCGTACATTGGCTTGTACTCGGAACGCTTTCATCATTGACCTCCATCACGTTGATCCACTGACTCTTCGTCCTCAACTTTTACAGCACACAAACTAACCAACGGTGCAACGATAAAGAGCTAGTGGAACTGAAATTTCGTTTTCTACAATCGCTCGTACCAAGAGCAGACAAAAAAAAGTCTTAGGCATGGTCGCGGAGAGCACAAGGAGTGAAACTCGCGTGACTTCCTGTGAACCCACTTTTAGTGACGTAGGTCGATGCCTCCCTTCTGACCGCCCCGACACCTTGCGGTACACTGTCACGTCACAGTGCACTGGTGGGAACTTTCAATTGGGCCTCGTATTTCTATTTTTTATAAAAAAACTATGCAACTCTATACACTCCGTGCGGGAACTATAGGGGGCGCTTTGAAAAACGCGCGCAGCGCCGCTAGCGGAGGAGCTGGCGTTCGACTGTGAGGCGCGTTCAGCAGCCTGCGGCGCCTTTTCGTATGCCAAGCTGTGGCGGCGGAAGCACGCACGGACGAAACTTTTGCTTTTTGAGCCGAGAAGTTGAGGGTGACGTTGCATGAGTACTGGGGTAGACCTAAGAAGGGCATCTAGCTGTTCTCCACTTCTTACATATTGAGTTTGAGTCGTTACTAGTTGTAATTTCTCTAGTTGCGGCCGAATTCCGAAAAACAAGACGTCCGCCACCTTGATTACTCTGGTTGGGAAATTTATTTCGCTCGTCGCTGTAAACCTAGGACTGCTGGAACAATGATATTTGGAGGCGAGTAAGATGTTCACTAAGTTTGTGCACGAAGAGTGCCAAGTTTCTTTAAGACAGCAGGTGTGAAAGTTAGGTTTCTAATGAATAAAGAAATAAAGCTGTACGGGATATCCAATATTCGACCCAAAATGTTGTGTTATAGCGGGCTGTGTAAAGCGCAGATTTGGGCACACAGGTGCTTGGTCTTGACAGTAACATGACACAGCACTTATTATACAAAAAAAAAAAAAGGTGGCATAACCATGCAATCCCCCGACCAGGTGAACATTTGGTTTGGGCGGCGTAACTCAATGGGAACCGGTTTTGACCATGAAAAGGCTGTCAAGAGAATATCACTGGTCGGGGGAGGTGGAGACTTTAGAGGTGGGAAGGGACTAGGGTGGACTGTACTTCCAATAGAAACAACTTTACGAAAGGTGGTTCCAAAGCCGAGAAAACAAAGTTGTCGGCCAAAACACGGTTTGGCCGCCAAGGGCTTTTGCGGTCTGCTGTTGTGTAATAACCTGTTGTGCGAGGTGCTGATTTTCGGCGCACAGGTACTTTGACATGACCGTCACTTGGCACAACACTTATTATATCAAAAAGAGTTGGCATAGCGAAACCAGGTGGAAATTTAGTTTGGGCGGCGTAACTAAATGGGAACTGGCTTTGACCGTCAAAGGCTGTCAGATAATAGCACTCATTGTGGGAGGTGTACACTTTACAGGTAGGAAGAGACCAGGGGACGGTAATTCCAGTTCGAACCACTTTGCAATAGGTGGCTCTAAAGCCGAGAAAAAAAAATTGTTGTCTACAGAACTCGGGGTGTCAGCGTTTCCACATCCAAAAGGAGGCTGATCAAGAAAGAAAGCACACCACATAAACTTCCATACTCAAACGTCGATTCTCCAGTGATTCCGAGTTTCATTGTTGTTTTTTTTAGATTTATATTTGTCACTTTTTTTACCGTTGGAATCTTTCTTCATGAAGTACAGGTTGCGTGCCATACTTGTCCGGAAATATCGTCGACACGGACGATGGGGACGAAACTTCTTTGGAGGGCATTCCTCCAACGAAATTAACACTGCATACCCGCGAGTGTGGGATGGCGTTTCAGTTCGTCCCATCGGCGCTAACAGATATAGGCGTTACTGGTACGAAAACAAACGCAAAGCGGCAGTGTAGCTAGAATATGTCAGCCGTGCCGACAAAGTGGCAGACATGATCGGGAGACCAAATTTTTCGCGTCGTACGGCACAGCTCCATTGTTGTCGCTTTTCCACAAGACATCGGTGAGGTGAAAAACTGTGAAACTTTGTCTCCACGAAATACGACGCATAACTATTGAAGTACTTAATGACGCAGCACAGGCAGCAAGCACGTCATGCTGTGAACCGAGCGCAACCGCACCACTCCGACTTCAATGCGTACCAACGTACGCGGCGTAGTTTCGGTTTCGTTTTCTCTGGGGTTCTCACTGCCTACCTTCGGTACCGGCCGCGCGGCGGCGCGCCAGTCGCTTCGCACGGAGTGTATAGTGAAACAATTTTTTTGTAATGTCCTGACATGCCATTTCAACGCCTAGCATGAAAAAAAAATTTTTTTTTTTGGCGTGTCAGAGGCTTTTTAAGCTTGACACAAGAAATCGGGAAATTCACACACAATTTTTGTGTTTGAGTATTAGCGATGAAAGGGAAAAAACAGTCAAGCTGGTGGACTAACTTCATAATGATAAACCTTAGACTAGGAAAAATTAAAATTGAAACGTGCATGGTTGTTCGTTTTTGTTTTATGTTGCCCAACGGTTTGCCCATTTCAAACTCAGCCTGTTGTTGGTTTTATCATTTCCTATTTTAAGACCCCGGAAGGCCACAAAGCAGCGGAAAAGGCTATAGCCAACCCAACTGCCTATGTTCTGAAGCCACAGAGAGAAGGTGGAGGTAAGCCCATGTGGGTGGCAATTGCACCAAACCAGTTGCAAGTAGCGCTCTGTGGTGTGTGTCTCTCCTACTCGTCCGTCGTTTTTAGCGCTTTTAACCCCTAAACAATTGCACCTTGATAGCTTGCACTGCACAACTTCTGAGCAGCAACTTGTGTAACAGTAAGCTGTCAAACTTACAATATAGTGCACTCTGTAATACCTTCTCTAAATTTACTTCCTATTTGCTTAATTTAATGTAAAAGATAAATGCTTAGTAAAATGTTAAAAAGTGAATAGCTTGAAAGCTTCTCACCATCTCATACAAGCTCCTATAGATGATGTTGTCTTGAACTGCTTCCCACAAAACTGTGCAATCAGCAATATGTTGTCATTATCCAAGCTTTCGTAAGAGCTAGGTATCAAATAATGATTTTGTACTCGGAGACATTTTATATCATGGATTTTGTACCAGAATCCCAGAATGTTCATCGCACTGCTGATCGGATAGGTATATAATTTCTTCGCTAGTTCAGCACTGACCAGAACATTGATTCTGTTCGTGGAGCTGTGAGTGGCCCTTGCAGTGTGCACACCACAAGTGGAAGATGTCTAGTGTATTTCCTCTGGTAGGCACAAGTTCACCGGAGCACAAGCATTGTATGGTGTGCACTCAGCTTGAACGAGTGTAATGAATGTTGTAACAGTAACTGGAAGCGAAGCAATTGCACTTTCAGGCCACAATGTCTACGGAGAAAAGGTAAAGCAAGAACTGCTGGCTCTAGGCAGAACCAAGGAGCGGGAAGGCTACATCCTCATGGATCTTATCACGCCCCCCGTGAACACCAACTACATTGTTCGTCCTGGTTTTAACGTGGAACTTGCGAATGTAGTCAGCGAGCTGGGAATCTTCGGGGTCATTCTTGGGTGAGTCATTTTGGTCCCAGCAGTGTTGCCGAAGAAAGAAAACTATCTCATAATTTTCATCAATTTGAAAGCACTCACAATTATTTCCAGGAGTAGGAAGTTCCAAGTTGGCTGAAAATCGGGGGCTTGAGGGGCAAGGAATGTGGCCACTATACAGTATTCAGGTCATGAAAAATTGAAGCTAATGACAATTGAAGGTTTTACAATAGTTGCAGTCTCAGCCAAACCTTTTCCGAATAAGTGCAAGCAAAAGCCCATGGTTAGATATCTATGCTTGCTATTTTACACAAATGTATATCTGTGGCAGATTAATTTTAAAGACTTTATTGGTGTATTTATTGTTGTACATTTTCCATTCGATGCGCAAGTACCGAACGGCGACACATATTCTTCAAAAGGGCCCTTTGAAACTGCTCTTAAAGGCGGACGAGCAAGCAGAAAGGAGGAAACGCCTTCTTTCTGCTTGTCCCTGCAAGGAGTGGCTCAGCTCCCAGTTCCACTCCTCTCGAGTGAGGAGGAGGAAGAGTGTGAGAATGGAGGTAGGGAATGGAAAACAGAACACTGGGGAAGGATTTTCTGCCAGGCAGAAAGTACTAGCTGTTTGCTCGTTGGCCTTTAAGCCAGTGCACTCGATTAATCTACTAGTCAAGCAGAAGTGGGCTCAAGTTCAAGTTTCAAACATTGTATGAATATGCTGTATCATATTGAATGTAGGTCAGGAGACACAGTGGCCATGCTCAGGGTATCTCCTTACATTGCCAGCTGTACAGAGAGCTTCACTTTACCATTCTGTTCTCTGCTACATTACGTGGAGATGACTTTGTTAGAAAGCAAGCACTTTTGGATGTACTGTTGCGGACAGTATGAGCTGAAACAGTCCATCTTTCGTTAGTGTACCTGCCAGTTTCCAAAAATTTTTTTTAGAAAAAGACCACATAAGTAGGAAAGGTCTGATAGGGTGTTTCAGCTCATATTATCTGCAAGTATACTAGTTGTGGTACAGGTCAGGGGTGGCCAGACTAACATCGCCCAAGAGCTGCAGAGAGAACTAAAAGGAAACTCGCTGTGGAGAGCCACCTGGAGTGTGTGTGTGCATGTGTGTGTGTGTGCGTGTGCATGTGTTTGTGTGTGTGCGCACGCGCGCGCAGGGGGTTAATTTAAAAATGTTTATTTGTTATGATGTTGGATAAAATATAGTAGGCCTGTCATTCCTGCTCATGTGTTTTTCACAGTGCCATTCTAGTTGAGACTTGACTAAAATATGTTCAGTATGGTTTCCCAGTCATTAACCTTGCCCGTTTTATTCCTTGAAACTCCGGCAATCAAAGCTTTTTATAAACCTGGGAAATAGATGAGGGCTGATTTTATGATTAACTAGGTAATCATTGTTTAGTTTGGTACATACTTAATTGGACCTGAGCAGACCATTGTAGTGGAAAACAAGGGCAACAAGCGAAGGCAGGTGAGTGACATACCTAACCTTTACACACAAACCATGGCTCTCTGCTGTGTCTTCATGATGTATATTTTCTATTTTCGCATGCTCAACGACTAATCGATTATCTTTACACTAATAATTGATTGTCCTTTCAGCCGGTTGCTCACCGCAGCTGGTTGCCTACTGATGAGCACATATAACGTTTTGCCCAAACTACTTCTAAATGTTCCGATATCATTAGAAAGCTGCAGTTTGGCCACCCCTGGTATGGCTTGTTAGTCAATTGGCTGTAAACAGTGAGTGTATATTTGTCCAGAGCTTGAGGATATGTGCCTACAAAGGAATCTACTCTTTACAACTTCTAGAGATCAAGATGAAGTGCTGGAGAATTATGAAGCAGGATTTATTGTGCGCTCCAAGACAACCGGAACTTCTGAAGGAGGAATATCAGCTGGATATGGAGTCCTAGACTCTCTGCTTTTAGTCTAGCTCTAAGATAGAGTGTTGGCTCATACTTTCTACAGTTTTCTATTTGGGAGTGAAGTCTGCGGTAGTTTAGAAAGGTACAAGGTTTAGATTGTAATGTCCACACTCAAGTGCTGCCTTCTAGAGAAACTGTACACCAAAATATGATGGATAGATTTCGAGAGATACATACACGCACATACACTTGCTATTCAAATTGCTTATATATATTCAGGAGCTTTTCTTTTTCTCCCTTAATAATTGATCACCCATTTTTAATGTCGAGATCTCTGGGTACATTCCAGTTTGTTAGTGGGTTGTTCTGGTCTGTAATGACATGAGCAAGAATATATATTTTTGTTATCAATGTCCTGACCCATTATTCTTCAAATGACTTTCTGTTTAGTAAAGAGGTGACCATGTTGCTAGGAGTACAAGTTTAAGATAGGTAATGAAAATACTAAACAATGCATAAAGGCTTAAAAGATTATCAGCCATACGGTCTACAGTTGCTCCTTATTCCTAGGTTAACATATTTTGTAAACTTGCCTCCGTTTCTGAGACATCAAGGGAATTCAGAATGGTTTCTTAGAGGCCATGAAATAATTTCTGGAGTTTGGCCAAAAAGTGTGGAAGTTGGTCTTTCACTCCTAGATTGAAAAACAGAAAACCACTTCTGCTTGTGCACACAAGCAAAAATGGTTTTCTGTTTTTCATTCTAGAAGTGACAGACCAACTCTCAAAAAACTAGCACACAGTAGTTTTTATTTAAAAATGTAAAACAGATTGAAATGTGTGGTACCTTTCAACTTTTACACGTTTTCCGAGTCACATGCACAGTGACATGCTCAAGGAGGACACGGAGCTACCGGTTCTGCTACAACAAGAATTCATCCCCACGAGTGATTATAAACTCTCTTCATTCTTCGGGAATTTTTGCAGGCTACTTTTTACAAACTACTTTTCACAGTCGCACTCTCCAGACATTCTGCTTTGTATCTTGTGAAGAAAACTATTTTTTAATGATATATTGACTAAGTATAACATTGTAGGCAATGCTGTCCCCGATAGAAGCTACTGTCATTTCGTTCAGCATTTAATGTACAGAGTTGAAACTTCGCACTACTGTCGAGACCGGTTATAACGAAGTCGGTTAAAACGAAATGACTGCTACAGCAAAGCGATCACGATATCCCATTCTCATTTGCACTTTTTCAATGCATTTGTGTCTGTTTCTAGCGAAGACAATTGAGCGGCTTCCGCGGATATATCTAAAAGAAATTTTGTGATCATTAAAAAAAAAATATTAAAATTCGGAAAGTGTACGAAGTCTCGGACCGTTGCACTTTGTTTCTGCGGCCAAGAAGCCACCCAGAACAGTCTGCGGAAGATGCTGGAAAGGCCGCCGGCGGCAGTCTCTGCTACGTCGTCTGCTCCCCGCTCCTTATCTGGGAAGCGGCTTTACCGTACCGCACGCGGAGAAGCCGTTGTGGCATGCCGAAATGGGCGTTAGGAGCGCCAGCGACAACGTTCCAGCAGAGATGATAGAGAGAGCCTAGATTAAAGAGAGGGAGCAGTAAGTATGCCTGCATTTGATTGTCGCGTGGCCAGTGTTGCGAGGAAACTGGATGGAGAGGCGGACACGTTAGCAGAAAGTGAACGCTTTTGAGTTTTGACTCCTTGCATGCTACAGCTCGTTTTCCAAACGCGGCCCACAAACCACATGACCCCGATCGAGCAGTTGCCCCATCTTTTAATTCTAGGCTCTCTATACCGACGACAGACAAGCTTGAGCCCGAACTCGGTGCCGTGCGCGCTTCTTTGTTTGCCTCGTGATCCATGTCAGCGTCTGGTCGGTGAAGTCGCTCTTGCACGAAAGTCTACCTCGCTCAAGCACCGATTTGGCGAATCATCGCCACTCAATGATGGAGAGTCCTGGCATTGCTGGCACCTCGACGGGAAAGACGAAGGCAATCTCCTTGAATCAGAAGCATGCCATCCTCGATGGAGTGTGCATAAACGTGAAGAATGCCATCCACCGCCGGCATCCTCCGCGAGGCCGTCGCAGCTGTCGACACTGTCCGTATGTAGCGGAATCTTTTTTTGATACGAGCTTCTCGCATTTTGCGAGAAGCAGCTCCGATCTAGCAGAGGACGCATGCAGAAAGCCTCGACTGCTTTCTACAGGCTCGATGAACGTGCCCGTAACAACCCGTGTTATTTTTTTTTTCATGTTCTTTGTACAAGTTCATATATAACGAGAAAGCGGACATAGCGAAACGATTTCCGATTCCCGTTGACTTCGTTATAACTGGTCTCGACAGTATATCCGTTTTCATGACTAGCAATCTACTCAGTTAATTTTATTTATTTTAAGACAGGTGTTCAAATGTTTGCTCTTTTACTACAATGTCCCCCATGAGTATATCATGCTGTGGTTCTCATGACCACCATACACATGACTGCAGAGCAGGAAATAATTTTTATGCTTTGCCCTCGCGCAGCAGAATCACAATATTCCAGAGTAAGGCGACATGTTTTCTTTCACTTGTTCGAATATAAACAAAGTGAAAGCAACAATCTGATAATTCCTTAAAGATTAAAATTGTTAAAGGGGCCCTGCAAAGAATTTTTTACTGGGTTTTAATTTGCACCGAACTTAAGCGCATTGAACGTAGTAACTTAATAAAACTTTTCTTTTCTCGAATTTCGCTTTATTTGAAAAGTTATAAGCAAATTAAAATTACAAAAACAAGCAAAAAATAACCTCCTTCATGACGTCCTTGGTCGCTTGAGTGGCCGTGAACTAGAGGAGGGGTAGTGAGCTCAGCGAGTGGTCACAACTGCCGCACTCCGTGTTGACGGCGCGAGAGGGCGCCACTAAAGCATGCTCTGGCTAGGTTGTATGAAGCGGGCAGCCAGGGCGGTTCGCATTGCATTTGCTACGCGATTAAACACTAATTTGGCATGACACTTCATTGGCCACAAACGACAGCAAACACGGTAAAGATCAGTTCAGAATGGGAGCCACTTCGCGCTGCCTTACCGCGAAATGGCCAAACCGAGAGACAAAGCTGCTCGCCGAAGGCCTTTGGAACGCTTAGAGCCGGTCGGATCCTCCTGTCCATACGACCGCAGCGCCGCCGTGTACATCCGGGACCTTTCGGTGTCGGCGCCTGATCCCACTACTCCTTTCTAGTATGCGCCGCCTTTTCCACCGCTTGGTGGCGGGTATGTCGACGGGTAATTTCTTGTTTCCGTACTTTATAAACTGCATTTGTTTCTTTTCTGATCTAAAATACTGAACAAAAACTACTTCTATAAATAATTGAAACGGTTTGCGCCACTTATATTTTGTATTTTGTCTAAAAAGAAGGTTTTAGCGGCTCTGACCAGTAGTAAGCCCAGGACCAAAGATGTTGCATATCACTCGTTTTCGGTACCGTGGGTCGCCCCCATCGGTGGAGGAGGTTTCCGCATCGTCCGGTTAAAATATGACGCACTGATATTTAGTTACTCTCCGTGCCCGCTGGCTTGCTTGAACCTCAAGAGACGTGGAAACCGCAAAAAAGGTAGACGCTTAAATATGATTGCAGGGCCCCTTTAATGTAGTGTAACATTAAAAATGAGTGTATGTATTGTAAAATTATGTGTGTATCCTGCGAGGCTAAGGGCAAAAGGGGCTCTTCAAAAACCGAAGAGTAGTATAGTTGTGCTGTCATTAATTTCGATACCCAAAAACTGAAATGGGTTGATATTTTTAATGATCTGCCGGAGTACATTTTATTAGCAAAGTCTGACCTTAAATTAAAAGAAAAGTGAAAAAACTTGTATAAATAACCTATAGGTACTATTGCTAACCCCTGCTCCTTGCTTTGAGTTGTTATTCAAGGAATGGTCAGTGCTGCCAGGTCCTGCTACACAAGTCTTCCTAGGCTTAGGCAAACCTGGTTATGTATCTGTTTATTTCTGCGAAATAGTGTGAAAAATTTTTAAAACTGAAATGTCCAACCCTAAACCGGCTTCAGAGGAGTACCAGCATTTTCTGACGAAAGCCTCATCTCGCAACGAAGCATATTCCTACAAGCACACTCAGGAAAGCAGCAGTCAAAAAGCATACTCCATTTTTACTCCATAATAAAAAGTTTTACAAACATGATGTGTGCAACAGCTTATATCCCAAGTTACGACATGATACTGAAATAAATATGTACAGTATAATAATGTTTCATGCGTGCAGTTACTAAAAAAGACGCCTATGAAAAAAACTTTAGTTTCACAATTATGAAAGCACAGCACCCATACAATATATATGTATACTTTTCTGTTTCATTATAGTTATATCTGCAACATTACATCATTAAAAAAAACATTTTCCTCTGCTGCAGAGACCACTAATATACTAGAAAGGCACTGGCTTTATTGTGGGCAAAACAGTATTCTCAGATACTGAGCTATTCTGGGCTTTCATTAAGTCTCGCTTACAAAAGATGCAATGCACTAACATCTTTTTCAGTGACATGCACATACTGTTTTAATATCTTGACAAGTGTATGAAGTAATTCTCACTACAGAAAGTGCACCTCTTTTTATGATCAGGTGAATTTAAGTAGATATCATTTCCTCCATATTTCTGCCTTCTGATTGAATGTCAACTGACAAAATCATAAATAAAGTGGCACAAGTACACAATCAAGAATGTTAGTCAAATAAATCCATATTGACAACCGGGAAGTTTCACTGTAGATCTCATATTCTGTATATGCTGACATATTTTAATTTAAATATCCCTGCTACTGAGGAATAAGGGTACTGGTAAGATATTCAGGTCCAGAAATAAGACAACTGCTACTCATGGTCAAATTTCAAATGCTATATCAAATAATACTAACCAGAAAGAAGCATGGCTCACAAATCTTTTTTAGCAGCAGATAAAGTCAATGGGGGTGCTTTTGGTTGCGTAAATGGGCTTGTTTTTATCAAGCCCTAGAAGTACCAGAATTTCGTTTATGAATATGGGCAAACTTGTTTTCTATTGCTCTAAAATATTTAACTTGTCCGCCACTGGAATTTTATTTCTAAAGCCATAATTCATAAGACTAATCAATAGGTATATAAAACTATTGCTTCCTCAGATTTTTTAGAGGAATGGCTCTTCGTCTCTTATGAGCTACATTGTGAGGTGCTCGTTGGAGGAAATCTGCAAGGCCTGGGTTCTTGAACAGTGTAGTAAAGCAATCTTTTTAAGAGTTGGACGTTGATATTTCAACTTTGCTGAAACATGTTTATATTTGTTGCCTTTCCAAGACATTCACTATTTTTGGCCATAGCTAGTCCACAATCAGTGGAGGTAAATTCAATTGATTCAATTTAAATGAGTACTTGGCAGCTAATGAAAGCAATTATACAGTTTTTGCTCATTCTAGTTTTACACTATGTTCTTTGTACGGAATCTAAATGTGACAATCTACCGATGATCTGCTGAAAAATTAAAATCTCATGAGTACATATCAGATGAAATGTAATGAACGCATCAAACATGGTCCCCTCACACTTCTGTACACTCGCACATGTGCAATGCTTTCACTCGGTACATCTGCAGTAAAACCACCCAGTATGACACTTCTGTAATGCAAACACAAAAGACGGGTTCTTTAAACACCAGCATAGTATGGTGTATTTTCCAAAGAGTTTCACTATTTTTCTCCTTCTGTACAACAGCACAATCACACCCCTCATCAACCGGTGATCGGAAGAATAAATGACTTAAAACTCAATTTATATTTCTGTTTATGGCTTCACGGGAATGCCACGCTCCTTCCTTATGTGCAGTCTTGAACTTGTTGCGCAAGTTGCACAATTTCACTTCACAAGCCTCATCCAAAATTCCTCTCAATGTTTTTCATGCACTTCCCTTTTTCCAAAACAAAAATACTATGCTCACCTCTGGCTTGGAAACAACAAAGCATATTGAAGGAGCTTCACAGGTTCAGGTGACAAGGCGGTTACGACCACCGGCTAGCAAGGATTGCTTTTATGACGACCCTACATGAAGTTTGACGATGAGTGATGATGACAAGGTGCCTTTAAAACTGGCACCTCATTGGGTGACTTTCCGGTAGAGTTCTTGGCACAAGAGGGCAGTGCTGAACATGAGTACCCAGCTCAAGCTAATGCTGCTGGCACTGCTGAAGTAAGGGCAGTAGGGACACTGGTAGGAGCCACACACTTCGCATATGCTCAGCACAAACAGGTCGTAGTTCTCCCAGATTGTTTCCTTGTAGTTTTCTGCAATCAAAGAAAAAAAAAGAAAGTGAATTCAAGGGTTGGTCATGCCAGCGATTATATTTCCCTATGTCTGAACCTGGGGTGCACAACATGTGCCCCCTCATGCCGCATGCGGCCCGCGGGCACTGTCTATGCGGTTCACGAACACTCTGCACAGCCCGCGGACATGACGCTGCTTTAATTTGTTGCAACTCAAGAAGGTAGGGCGAGGGTAAGACGGGCCGGGGAGGAGGAAGCAGACAGAATGCTGCAGAAACGAGGGAGAAACCTCCTTCTCTCTTTAGCGTTTCGTCTGCTTCCTCCTCCCCGGCCCCTCTTACCCCTGCCCTACCTTCTTGAGTTACAACGGAATATAGATGTGCTCAAGACAGCAACCAGTGCGATGGTGCCAGATATTGAAAACCTGTCTGCCAGATATTGAAAACCCGATGCAGTTCCCAATAAACATTTTTTTTGGTCCGCATCATTTCTGAGTTGTGCGCTCTTGGTCTAAACCTTTCCCTAGTTCCCCACGTTATACTGATAGCTATTAGCTATAAAATAAAAAAAAAGAGGATAGCTTAATCTTTTTAACAAAATGCCTACTGGGGCTAGTTTGTTCATGTTCATTCAGATGAAAGCACCTCAGAAAAACGGGGACAAAGTCTTGTCTTCTTTGTCCCCATTTTTCTGAGGCGCTTTTATCTGAATAATCAATCCTCTCTGTTGGTAGAAGAACAAGGATACCCGCCTCGTGGTACTAAGATTTATGTGCTGTACATTTCAGATGTTGTAAAGCCTTAACAAACATTAATTATACATGCTCTAATTCATACAATATGCCTTTATCTTGAGCTACTAGGAATTGACCCTTGGGTTAGTTTGATAATGCTGTAGGGCAAGTTGCATGTTGAATGTCTACAACCTTGGCAAAAGAGCTCGCTTGTAACGAGTCGGTAAGAAGAGCCACATGGTCACAAGGTTTTTGAATGCTAAAGATGATACAAATAAACAGCAGGTAAATATGTGTAATTGCCTACATGTAGGATTTTGAGTACTGTAAACTACTTAATTTTAGCGAGAACCTAATTTTCGCGAATCGCCTACAATTCGCGAAAATAGGTGCCGTGAACAATTCCGGTAAAATGTAAACAGATTAAAATCTATATAAAGATCTGACCGTATCACGAAAATTGGAGCCCGCAAATTATTCCAGACCTTCAGCTTTGACCTAAATCGCGAAATATTGAGCCTGCGAAAAATAAGTCGTTTACAGTATTTCTCAAATCGGGTTTTATTTTTTATGCCAGAAAGCGGGCACTGGCATAGCCAGGGGGAGGGGCTTCAGCCCCCCCTGAAATCCAGCTGACCCTATAATATGCACATGCATTTTGGCCCATACCCCAAGTCATCATCCCACCTACCTTAGCTCCCAACCCCCCCCTTTCCAATTTCCAAAAAAAAAAAAAGTTTTCGGCTCTGCTATTGAAAGGGAGAGATAGGAAGTTTAATTCTAAACTGTATTGACTCTTCAAGTATAAAAAGTGATAAATCCTTAGAATATATTTACTCATTCAGGATTAGTTCATATATAAAATAAAACCATACTTTTCGAAGTGTGATTTATAGCCCTCTTCATGCTACAGATCTGGCCTGGCTCAGCCTGAAAAATACTGTCATGCTGGAATATTCCTTAATCTGATACTATCCATAATCGTTTCAAAGGGCTTATTGTATTGTTTTGAAAACATACATTAGAAATGCACTAGAAAGCGTGAATAGTGTTCTCACCTGGGGTGTTGTACTCGTAGACTTTGGCCTTAAGATACCGCGTTGAATTGGCAACTGGGTACCACCTCTGAATCAGGAAGTCCACACAGGACCACTCATTGGTCAACTGAAATTTCCCCACCCCAAGGAAACGGTTTAGAAATTTATTGCAATGGACTTGTGTTCCAGTTCACTGCTCTCCTCTTATTTCAAGCCTTGACTGAAGGATATATATTTCCTATAATAATTTTTCTGACTGATCACAATGCAGTACTGAATATTGAAGCCCACAATACACACTGCAAGAGAAATAGATGAACTCATATATATCCTCCTTAATATGTATTAGTGTGGGGCTACTATAAATATCATTACCTTAATCTAAAAAAAAAAAAAAAAAAATGAAGGATGGATATGAACTACTCTTTTTCTGTTAGAAACAGTGTTTATCTTGGACACTAAAATGCACTGCGGTGACCCAGATAGAAACATTCATAACTGAAGGAGAGTGGTTGTTCGTATTCGTCCTCTGTGTTTGCTTTCTCACTTTGCAGCAAAAAACACTCAACTATTGTTTGCAGGAGGGTGTTTCCACGTCAGATCGTACAATGACTCTCCGGGTCATCTTTCTTATATTTCTTTAAGAAATATACATGGAAGCCACATTCTTGGTTGGAACGTTCAGCTATATGTGAACACTGTAGCTAAATTTTTCCTAGAGATACAAAATTCAGAAGCTCAGTGTGGACATTGCCGAGATTTCACTATGGCAATTTTCACAGCCACCAATATCGCACCAAAGCAGGCACATAGTTAATTTTTCTTTTTAAATTAATTTTATAGACAAGTTACAACATGCTCACCAAATATTAAAAATTACAATTAAAACAGTAAGAAAGCACAAAACGAACAGAAGGACGAAAACAGACATGTACAAGCTTTCATATTTCTATGCAAAAAAAATTTTTGAAACGTGCAAGAAAAACGCGTATTAGAGACACTTTCGCAAATTATTTACCAACAAACAACTTATGCAAAACGTTGCAAAATATATCTAAATGTGCGTCTTGAAATGCAGCTTAAGAAACATCGTAATCTAACACTCTAAGATAGGAAGTTGGTCAATTCTCGTAGCTTTGACGGAGATTATCTTTGCGGATGCTTCATTGTCGGAAGCTTGTCTAGTGTTGTAGGGATTTAACCTGTCAAGCCATTTCTGATCAAATCGTTGTGGCGTCACATTCTATTCTCTTGATCTTTGCTCTTTTTGATGTAATCGAATAAACTCAGCTGTTCTCAAGATTTTCTGTTGTGTTGTCCGTTTTTTATTCTTACTAGTTTCATGGTTTTAAGTAATGACGACTTTCTACGCTCTGCAATAGAGCAGCACCGTTGTACAGAGTTTGTTGGCTCTAGGAAATATCTCTCTGGAGCCGACATTTTGTGGCAAAGCCGCTATAACGAAGACAAGCTAGCTCAATTTGAGTGAAGGCTTGTTGTTGCTTTTCTCAATTGGAAGTCATATGCTAGTCAAAATTTTGCCATCACAAGTTCAAGTTACTGCAAGAAGTTAAGGAGAGTTTAAAAGAAATAAAAGATGGAGTTTTTTCAAAAAATATTGACGTGCAATTTTGCTACTTTTAGAAAAATGGTTTATGTTTCCGCATTAATAACAAAACTATATGGATGGCTACACAAATATGTTTTATAATTCGTAAGCTGCATTTCAAGATGCACATTTTGATATATTTTGCAACGTTTTGCATGAAGTTGTTTGTTGGTAAACAATTTGTGAAATGTGCCCCTAAAACATTTTTTACGTGTTCCATACTTTTTTGGCATAAAAATATATGATTGTAAATTTTAATATTTGGTGTGCATGTAAATTGTCTAAAAATAAATTAAAAGAAATTTAACTATGTGCCTATTTTGGTGTGACATGGCCGCTGTGCAAAATTAACAGGGTGAAGTGAAATCTCGGCAATGTCTACGCCTCGAGCTTCTCAATTTTATGTATCTGGGAAACATCTAGCTACGGCGTTCACATACGGCTGGATGTTCCTTCCGGACTGTCATTGTACGATCTGAGTTGGAAACTCCCTTAGCAAATAGTACCGAAACTAGTGAAAAATGGGCATGGCAATGCTTAGAAAACCAAAACAAATGAGCTGCAGCACTTTGTGAAGTAGTGCAGGTAAAGGAAATGTTGTATTCATCCTATGCAGTACCACTCTTACCAGCAAGAAGCATTAGGGACTCACATATTCAAACATAAAAACAGCTGTTCTTGGTGCGACTTTGGCCATGCGCAACCTTGGTACGACGCGAGACTTGACATAGGCGTCAAGTGTTGGCCGGTAATTCAGGTATCCGGTTGGGATTGCTAGCTCCAGAACAGCTGCTCCGCTGGCTTCACTCATGTTTGTTAGGGTCCACCTAAAGAAATAAGAACACTGCAATCAGCCTAAAAATTAGGGGCATTGGACGATGGTTGGAAGTTGGAATGCTCAGGAGAATTTTGCCCCACCATTCGCTCTATGAATGTATCACTGTTGAGATGCAGCTAATATTTATACATATGCCAGAAAAATAAATACCTCAACCATTTCAAGACTTCATGTAATAGTGACATAGAGAAACAAAACCAGAGTTTTTCAGTAACTTACTGAAAACTGAAGCTAGGTGCTTGAGCGCGATCTACTGATAACCAGCTGTTACGTCAAACATGCATGTACAAAAAGCGTTGAATTTTGTGCAAGCCTGGCACTGCATAAATGCTCAACTACTTTTAAGAAATTGGTATTGAAAAATTACAAGTTTGTAATGCATACTATCAGGTCATTCTGAACTCTTGTTCTGTTCACTGGGTACGCAGTTGTGTTCTCTGAACTTACCGGACGCAGCTCTTGATGTTGATGTGGGACCTGTTTCTTCCTGAGAAGTGAGGTTGTAGCGTCAACTCAAATGCCTCGTAAGCAGGAGGTACAAGCAGGAAGTCTCTGTCGACGTTGTAGGAAACATCCATTTGGATCACAGAAAGACCTGCGCCCTTTGCGAGGACATCACAATGTCCCCAAACATTTGGCTGCACCTAAAACAGTACAAGAGGAGAATGGGGTTATTTACGAGTTATTATAGCCTATCTACGCTAACTTTCTCTGCTATGGCTGCAGTGTCAAATGCATTCTATAGCTAGTGCTGCTTTATCAGCTTTAAAGTTTTAACGAGCCTTGTAATACTTTCATGTCTCTTTAATATGGACTCGTTAATATGGATACCCTGCTAAATGGATGCCACTTTTGGGGACAAACTGGGAAAATACATGCATTTTTGATTTGTTATTAGGGACAACTCACATTATAACAACTTTTTGGTTGAATAAAGGTGTCCATATTAACGAGACATCACTGTATCAAACTAAATTACAATTTTGCATACCGTCGAGTCCCTCAACTTTTTCCTGCGTCTATTTTTCCTCACGGCAAGTGGAGGTCAATCAATGCTGTTTACGGATAGTGCCGAGGTGCTGAGGAGTGTTCCTACTTGGAAATGGAATTTGTGGTGAGATTTAATTGTTATCTGTGCCTCACCATTCGCTCACCTCTACTCGTAAACTGCAGTGACTGGCACAAGCTTTGTTCATAAAAAGTCCATACGATCTGCGAGACTTTATGGTACCACCTGCATATATTAGTTATACCCCTTTTGCCTGTGATGTCACACTACCTTGCTTATCATTTCTAGAATATACAGACTGTTAGTTCTAAGAGTGAAATTCCTTTTTAAGAAAGGGCACTTAAAATAGAGAAATGTTTCCTTTGGGAAAACATCATCACCTGCGATGGACGTAGAGACATGAATGTGAGGTGGTAATTAGGAAATAATTACCTTCTTAAATACATTACGGCAATTATCATTTTACGTATTCGTCCTAGCTGCCATATTCTAATCGGAGATTTGTCACTTGTTAGAATAGGCCATAGCAGTAATTCTGCTTCACAATATTGAGTGCCAAATTTAAGCTTTGAAGAGACTAGCATACTGAAACCAAGATACACGAGAGCAAGAGAAGTTCTGCCCCAAAGCGACACCACTGTCTGCTGCAGGAGTGGGTGGCAAATAATTTTAAGCTGATCTGGCAGCGGTGCAATATCTATGGGCAACATGACCGTAGGAAAGATAAGTCGCACTCTTCCATATCTTTGAATGCTGAACTTTCCACTGAAGAGTGCAGAGCAGAATTTTTTTTTTCTCCAAGATCTAGCATATGTGAATGGCCTATTTTGACGCTCTCATTGACACGTGCCAGCAAAGACAAATATCTAAAAAGTTATAAATTTTAGGTCATTACCTCATGCCCCGACACTCATGTCCTGATGTCTACTTTATTTCAGGTGCCCTTTATTTTATTTTCAGTTTTAGTTAGCACCCTTATATTTAAGATTGCATTTAGATATCCACCTGCACCTATAGGGTGTTATCAGTTGAGGGGCTCACTGCAAAATTAACTGGAAAAAGCGCCACCTATGTACATGTAACGAGCTCAAATTTGGACCAAAGGTATATTTTCGTGATGGATTTTACCTTGTGAAATTTCAATGCATAGCTCCATTTCTAAAAAATGGTAAACTGAAGTCGTCCTAGTGTGCTGCATGCAACACTCAACTTACATCAAAGACTTTTCTTCGAGCCAGGTCATTTTTTGAAATTTGAAGAGTACTTGGGAAGCCAGGGTTAGATGAGGACTCCACAGTGACTTTCATTTCGGTGATGCCACGGACGTGTGTTCGAAATGAGTATTGGGTAAGAGCTTCCAAAGCCGCAATGGTGTCCTGGAATAAAAGCAGTTTCCATTAAGGATTGAACCAAACAGGGCCCCAGTGTCACACTGGAGGTATTTCTTCTGTTTTGAGTTAGATTTTGTGCACAACGTTATATCTGAAGGCTTAATATTTAATCAATTTTTCGAAAAGTCACCTTTTGGAACATTTTGTCTGAATGAAATTTCACAAAGATGGCCGAACTTGTCCATGATCTCATCTACCATCTGTTAACACATGGGCGATATATGCTCGTAAATTTCTCAATTGTTTTTGATTAGTACAAGTCGAGTCGACATGAGATATAAGTAGTTTGCAACAGATGCCAAGTGGTAAAAGGAAGGGCTCAAAGGCTGTCATCTAAAGGGAGAAGTCTACTCTTGCCTGTGTTCCAATGAAGCCATAGTCGGTGGTGCGCATGCGGTTCAGCCAGCGCACTATTTGGTCCTGGAAGAGGCCTCCTTGCTTGAGGTAGATGATGAGAGCATACGACGTTGCCTCAACCGCCAGGGAGTCATCCGGGTGTGGGAAACGAGGCATTAGGAAGGGGCGCTGACTTTGGGAAATAATTACTGGTGGTGGAATGGGCACACTACTCCAGTAGATAGCTCCCTCTGGAAAGATAGGGAAACAAAGGTGACCGTAAAGAAGACCATAGCATACACCTCATTAAAAGTGCACTAAAGAAGATTTTAAACTTTGTCGAAATGAAGCACAAGCTAGACCTTACCTCCAAAGGAAAGCAGCTACCATTTTAAAATGACTGAAACGGCAGTTAGACATTCAATTCAAATTTGACCCCTATTTCTGACCCAGTCTTGGGTTCACGACATTGAATATAAAATTTTCTTGCGTACATGTCCCATGTCCCTATCCAAAATAAAATCAGACAAACTGTCCCATGTGTTCAGCAGTGCTATAGTGCAGGGGGGGAAATCTTAAAAGGGTTTTGTTTTGTAGCACCAGGGTATGACCAAAAGCATTTTTTCCTAACAATTGTCCTTCGAAAGAGTTGGAAAAGTGCAGAAGACCTGTCCATTTTCTTTATCACCATGGAAATGGGAAATGCACATTACTAATTATTTTTGCATATTTGGCTCTCTTAAAGGGTATTTATTTGATTAGTGCTGTTTTGATCAATCAAAGATTACCGTAATATCCCGAGAGATATCCCTCCTAAAATCGAAAGCAAATCGGGTGAAAATAAGGAGTGGGCTACAGGCCCGTTCACACTCTTGCGACCGAGTACGACTGAGAGAGACGAGATCTCTTAAAACTTCTTAAATGTTTTTAAAATGAGGGAACACACTGGGCATTGTGGCGCCATCTATGCGGTGACCCTGGAACTGCATTTCACTAGAGCGAAGGTTTTGCGGGATTTCCGAGGTCAAATGTGCGTAATACCCATAGAAAGGCTCGTTTATAGCATTGACAAAAGTTTTTCTAGCCAAGAAAGAAAGGATAATGCGCGAGAAATAAAAAAAATATGCCGGACCGCCGAGTTTACACTGCTTCCGAATAGATGGCACCAGTGTGTTCTCTGGTTTAAGAAGTTTTAAGGAACCCAGGTTTAAGAGGTCGCAAGAGTGTGAACGGGCCTTAACTTTTGATGTGTGATGAAAACAGTTGGAAAAATGCTACCCGTAGTTTTAAATTTTGTGACCTACGAAACCTGTAACTGCAGGGAGGGGTGAAGAACCAAGGACACTGTCCTTTCCAGTCAGCAACGTTTGCTAATCTCCTGCCGTGGCTAAGTATCACTATTTCTGCCAAGCTCACCATTGGCCAGGGTTCTGCAATTACTAAAAGTAAGCTATCTTTCGATGTTTTTGAAAAAAGAAATAGTGAATCTGACCATATGTAGGGGTGGGTTATCTTTCAGGGTTGGGGCATCTCTTGGGATATTACGGTATGTTTGTTATTTTAAAGGGACACTGACACCTCCCAAATTTCTTAATATTTTTGTGCCTGGTGATTTATTATGGTGTCGGAAGACTACTCAATCATTATTTTGCTACAGCGTCACATATTTTTAATAAATTCTAAAAATGCAACTGCTCGAAACCGAAACTGGACCGGGGAGGAAGAAGAAATATAGAGGGGGAGAGAGTCGCCAAAAATCATGTGGCTATGCAACTTTTTTTTTTTTTTTTTTTTTCAATCAACGTATTGGCAATTTTTTAGAAGCCACAAAAAATGGGTATCATATTTTTTAATATTTTTAATATTGAGTGTGTGCCTTCGATGGCCCATGACTTTGATAATCTTTGGTGGTTGTGTTTAAACCATAGAAAACTGCACGCAACTCAAACTGGCCAGTTTTCGATCAGCGGTTTTCGGGTGGAAAGAAAACAAATTTCTAGCTGTAAATTGTGTTCTGGGTAATTGGGCTCTCATATGTCATGTACAAATACGAACGTCGGCAAGCATAAATACGCTGTCAGTGTCCCTTTAATGTTGCAGTCTTAAGGTGCTTATGTTGACTGCATTTGGGTATTATATATACTAAAGATGAATAATCGTGAGCATGAATTCGAGCTGGTAGAAACCCTTGAACGTGCATTAGGACTTTGACAAAGGTCAAACACAAAATTGCTGTGCCCGAGATACTTATTTTCTGTTTCTTCTTTGTTTGGAACCCAGTGTCGGGTTGACGAGGCTAGATGTAAAAATCGCTCTGAAGAACTTACATAAACTGGTGACTAGTTCTTTTTTTTTTTTTTGCTGAATCGTTTGGCATAACAGCGCAGAACTTCATAGAGCATATTTCAAACTTTTGTTTTAAGTATGCTTTATAATAAAGGCTGTTTTGTTAGAATAGCGAGTTTTTAAATAATTCCTTAAAAACGAAAATGCAAGGAAGCACCACTTTGCTTTCACTTGGAATATTTTCTGTTATAAAGTTGTTATTGCCCTTTAAATAATGCACCTTGAGCTTACCAGCGTCTCGCTTTATCGACTCCAGAAGGTTGTAGCCGTACTCTGCTTCATTTGAGCCAGCTTCCAGTAGAGCGTAAGTGGTGATTGAAATAGCATAGGCATCCTTGAGCTGTGCCAGTTGCCTTTCAAGATATTTCACGGCTGCTGCCCTTGCAGTTGTTGCCTGCTGCCTGATGTCCTATGACAGAAGAGGGTTTCATTTGACTTAGCTGATAAAATCATGGGTACAGAGTGCATTACTCACAAAGATCAGTTTGGCTGCTTTCAGAATACAAAGGCTATGAGTAGACCAAGTTGAGATAGATATAGAATATTAACCAAGAGTGGTTTTATTGCTTTGTGCCACCCTTTTACCCCATTTACATGGCAGCATAAAGGTCCCCTAGCTAAGGTCCCTTTACTAAAGGGAGCTGGAGATATTATCACATGGCACATAAATGTCCCTTTAACTAGTGGAGGGCCTATGTTAGAGGGAGCTCGCCTTTTTAGCTGCAGGGAGTAGCTTCGGACCCATGAACTTGTGAAATGAAAATGACAGATATATTCAAATATGTGCTGTTTCATGCGTTATAACTAGGATTCCGTGAGTCAGGTAGATCTGAAAAACTCTGAAAAACGCTCGGCGGTAAAATTATTTAAAATTTTGTCAGAAAAACTCGGAATTTCGAAGTCACGATGGCAAAATGAAAAGCAAAAAAGACGGTATTTTACGATGTAAGTGCCTTGGAAAACAAGTTTAGTAGTCATAGAAATAAAAACCACATAAGCTTCTTTTTATTTTTTTTTTAGGTTTAGGATTATTGTAAAACTCTTTATCTTCGCAGGCCCTATTTTTCGCGAATCGGTCACAGAGGACATAATCGCGGCCACTAAATTTCGCAAATTCCAGACGCCAGCATTGAAACTCTTAAGGACCGAAATTTTCGCATGCCCTTAAATTTCTCGAATCTTTCAGTTTGCCAAATTCGCGAAAATTAAGGGCTTGCAAACATTAAGGCATTTACAGTACATATTTACAAAAAAGAGCTTCCTGTTTATGTCGTCAGGGTTCATTCAGTAGTACATTGGTTCAATGTACTTCTGGGCGATTACAAAAGCACTGTTCTGGTTTCCAGTTTGAACCATACTATTGTGCTTCTTGAATAGAGGATGGGTTTTGTTTTTATAAAAGTGAAAGATGTGAACCTGTAGATTTCATAGAAGAAGGAAAGCAGCTGAAGTGTTTGTCTCCCAACGAAAATGTCCAGGAGTTCGGCTGTTCAAAAGTACTGACGTTTATTAAGTCAAAACTTCTTTGCAAGATTTGTGGTGGTGCAGTTAGTACTGCCAGTCGCAGTGTGCCAATGCCAAATGCAGCTGCAGAATTATCTTTTGATACAGGCGAGTTTTTTATAAACTTAGGGTACTTTTTTTTCTTTGAACGTTTCTTTTTATATTAAATGTTGAAAAACTGGAAAACAGTAGTATTAAGCTTTAAATTTCGGAGAATTTGGAGTCTAACATAAATAAACTCAGATGAACCCCAAATTTCCAGTGAAAAATAAATTCCTAAAAACAGCCTCTGAAATTCCAAAAAATAACCAAACTGAATATTTCTAAGTAGCAATTACTGGATTAAGTCTGAACACAAACGTGATGCAATACGCTTATGAGAAACGAATACTCGCGTTAGCAAGTTCAGTCATCACGCATTCCATTGAACGTCTCTATTTCAATATTACGCCCACTAATACAAAACGACGGCATTTGCGAAGAACACCATAGAGCACCATAGAGCTCGAAAGTCTATAATTTATCATACTCACTTCCAAGCATTAATTGGCATGTGCTTCTCGAAGTGCATGTTTGGCGGTGTTGACACATATTTTTAGGGGTCTTGAGAAGAAGCTCTTCATTTTAAAGTTAGCAGAACAATAGCAACTACAAGAAACTACTAAATAATGACCTTCAAAACAAGATTTTATCAGTTCTTTGCGTTTATCGAAATGCAGTTCCTGGAATCTCGGCCTCGTCGTGGCGGCTGCAATACCCCTCCAGTCCGAGGAGGCTAAATGCATGGAAAGGTTGCAAACTTTTTTCAGAACAGCAGACGTGTATGCATCGGTGAATCATTCATAGACGAACCTTTAATTTCGAAACAATACCTCCGCTTCTTTATTGAACTACCTTGAGATGTGTGTTGCACTGCTTGTTCAAGCTCGTCCTGCTCCATCCACCATGTAAAAAGGCTTTTCTTCTTCATTCATGCTTGTTCATGGGTCGCAAATCGTTACAATTATTCCGATACAAAGGGCATGACCAGTACCATCCACGCATACATTCATCTTCCGTTTATTCACTGTGTGATACCGAACGCTCTTTAGTAAAGATAAAGGTACCTTTATGCTGCTGTGTGAATGGGGTATTAGGCTGACCAAGCCCAATATTGCCCGTCATCATTTGGGCCGTTTTGAAGTTATGTTCACAACACCATAAGAGGTTGAAAGGAACTTAATGAAAGACTTCAGCACTTGTTGACATGATGAGACAGGTAAGACAAAACCAGCTAAGCATGAAAAGATTGGTGTAAATATCTAGAAAGTTATACTCACCCCAGTTAGTGTGACCTTTGACAATGCCAAAACCACTTGTGCTGTGAGAGTGACATTCCTGTTGAGATACCTTCCATCCCTTCCAAGAACCTGAATGTAGAAAATTGTCAGATTCACTGTTGCTATATTCTCTTCTTGCCATACAAATGCTTAATCACTATTACCATGGTTATGTTTTAATTTTCAGAGTTCAGTGCAGTTTGTATACTTATAACCTATGGTAAACACTGTGTTATAATATCTTAAAAAAAAAAAACAAAAAAACTTGCAACCAGGGGCATTTGCAAACCTGTTTTTAGGGAAAGACAACCATTTTTTTCTTGGGGGGAGGGAGGGAGGGGGAGGGGGGAGGCAACTCTGGCAAATTGCCCCTGGACGAATTCCAACGGGGGAGACTGCACCCCCTGCCGCCCCCTCCAGACACCCGCAAATGCAACTGCAGACATTGTATGCTTTCCCAGAGTAAACAACCTTCAGGTTGTTTGTTTTATTATAAGTATAAATTTATCTTTAAGTATTAATATATTTCAATACTAAAAATCTGTTTATGTGTGACTCCCTCCTCCAATACTCAAACTTCGTAGTAACCTACAACTGTAACTGTTTTTATTGAAAACCACAGCAGTTCACACCTTTTCTTGTATGTTATCATACATCATTTTGTTAACATTAAAAGAGCTTGGCACATACCTTTTCATTCATTCTGCGGTTCCAAGGATGTTTGGTTGTCTCGTAGAATGCTCCATTAGGCTGCTGGTGGCTCAGAAGGAAAGTGACCCCCTGGCTAATGAGCCGTGGATCAATGAAAATGAAGTTCTCCCAGTCCGGAAAAAGTGCCAACTCGTACATACGAATGCTGAATGCAGTGAGCCTGGAATCACAGTGTGTTGATCTCTATGTACTGGCCAGTAGTAGTACATAAATCTACTGCACACTGAATAACATGAAATAATGCACAAAAAGCCTGGAGCACATCTCAGTTTCTGTGTTTAGAAAGTTCTCAGCTAAATACAGCTGAACTTTCGTTTTAAAGTTATAATCTAGGAAAATTCTGTCTTTTTGCCATACACATACATATCAACAAGCATAGGTGTAAAAATGGGGCAGGGGATCTGAATCATTGCACAAAACGTTTTAAGACTATTCTAAAATCTTTACCCAGATTTCTCACTGGAATCCTTGAGATTTCTGGTAGGTTGCTGCTATCCACACCAGCTAAAACTGGTAACTATTCACTCACCAAACACTTGGTTGCCTTTTGAACATTGTGAAAGCTCCATTCTTGAAATAAGAACTCTGATAAACATAAGCTGCAAAAAAAAAAAAAAAAATCCAGTTATGATAAAACATTTTCGCCCATACAAACCTCATTTATCAGAAGTTGTAGTGTGGAAAGTGAAAAGAATCATCCCAAGGGGAAGAACAAACCTTTGTTGAGTTTTTCAAAGATAGGCTTGGCAATATCCCGTGTCAGTTGATCAGTAAGTCGCAAGTATGTAAGCCTGAGCACATTGTAGGCAAAACCAAACATGGCATGTTCTCCTGACTTTGTTGCTGCTGAAAAGCCAAAGTCTTCAGGTTCTACATTTCCTTCAAGGGGAGTTCCCACAACGTCACCTGCACATGGAAATCCGCAAAGTGATGTGTTAGTGCCCACATCAGGATAGTAATCAACAATGCAATTACATACAAGCTTAGGGGTGATAAGACATTGAACTGTTAATTTTCTTCACCTATTCTTTTATCTTGACCTACATCACAAAGGACTTACCTACTTTATATCTAGGGTTCTGTGTTTTCGAAGTTTATTTTTCATGAAATTTGGAGGGTGTTTTTCGGAGTTTATTTTTCGCTGAAAATTCGGGGTTTATCAGAGTTTATTTTTGTGAAATTTCCAATTCTCCGTAATTTACAGGTTCATATCTTTGACTGTTATAAAAATACAACTACTACTTTATCTTAGAAGCACAAATGCTAGTATGGTCCAAACTGGAAACCGGAAGAGTGACTTTTGTCATAAACCAGACCCATGGTCTTTTTTTTTTTTTTAAGATTGCTAACCCTGTGCTCTGACAAACTTTATTCATGAAATACCAGCTTCTTTGCTTTCCATTTCGCCATTGTGATCTTGAAATTCTGAGTTTTTCGGATAAATTCGAATTGACAAAACATTTACTGGCGAGCGTTTTTCTGAGTTTATCAGATTTATCCAAAAACATGGAACCCTGTTCATCTTGTAGCTGTTGTGACAACTGACTTGCTACTGGTAGAGTGGGGTATGAAATTTTTAAATTATAGCTGATATGCCCTCTTGTTCACTACAAGAAAAGAGAGATTGTGAACCACATGTAGACTGATTACTGTAGGCATAATACCAGTTGTGTTCCTATTACTAAAACACTAATCTGCAACATTCATCAGAGGACTTAGAATTTGCTAGCAGATTTTTTCCTATTGCTTAGTCCTGCTTCAGCTTTCTACCAGAACACAGAGCTCAAATATATTACTACATAGATAGGGACTCCTGTGCAAGAAAGGCATGTTCTAATAAAACAGGTGGCATCTCAGATGTTTACTTCTGAAGCTTGTTTAACTTTTCTACAGATGGTACACTATTTGTGATAAAAAAAAATGGGCATCTAAAAAAGTAGACTTGATTACAACTTAAGGGGGAAATCACATCACTACATCTCAATTTTGTAAATCTTGACTGCAAATACAAGTTGCCACTCTTGACATCTGCAGCTTATCAGAGTACCTGAGTATTTTTTTACAATAGCCATGGTGTAGTTTTTACTATTTTGAATAAAATAGAACTCTAACAAGTACAAAATCAAAGCTAGAACATTAAAATTGTGCATGTACAAGCTTGCCTCATGGTGCATAGGCTATGGCACCCTTGAACCCATGAGGGCAACTGAGCAAAGTTAGAGGTTTCCATGGGAAGGGTGAACTCTGACGGTGCATTGTCACATGCCTCACTTTGATGCTCTGATCGGCTCAAGTGGGTCGCAGCTTTTGTCCTTTGGTGTATTATGCTGAAACGGAGCATAAGCAAAGTGACACTTGCAACACTGCTGCTGCAAGCATCATTTTGCTGCAGTGCAACCATGTCATCAGGGGAAGCTCGCCGAACATAGCTAAGACAGCCCAGAATACTACTGAATAGTACACCATGCGATTTGAAGGTAGTGTCGAACCTACCAATATTTTAAATGGTCTCCAGAAGTTACCAATCTTTGTACATGTCATAATACCTCTATCATGAAATCAATACAAACCAATGACAGAAACATGGGCTGCAGGTGATCCAAAAAGATAGCGTCGATACTGGCTCTCGAAAGGGATGATGGGATCTTCAGTCACATTCAGGTCGAGAAACTTGAGATTGTAAGCTTGTGCTCTCAGATCCATCAGTAGAGATGTGTGCATTCTTAGGGGAACTCCATCAGGCTACAGGAAAAGAGTGGTTTTAGTGCAATAGCAGCACTAATAACAAACAAGCTTTTGTAAACTGCTCTCATGCTTCCTTATGCATAATGAGTTTCCTATTTCAAACGCTTCTGGTTCCCTCAGTTTCCTTATAGGTTCTTCAAGGTGACTTAGATGTAAAATTTATGTTGTGTAGTTTCTTGAAAAAGGCACTTTCCAGAAACAATGTGTGACATGTTAAACCTTCACCTATATTTTGCACAATATTGATAATATAAGATTTTCGTCTCTCAGAAAACAAACTATTTTCTCTATTTTTGCCTCTCGTAGTCAGCAATGAAAACCCAATGCTCAAGAAATGAACAAAACACATCATCTTTAGGTTTTTACAATGTTCAAAATGACTGGATCACTTGAACCTTCAGAAATCTCTTACCTATATTTATGAATCAGGCTATATAAGTCAAAGAAAGCACTGCTACTCTTCCTGACAGTGTAAAATCAATTGCTATAATACGAGCTCAGCCCGAGTCTGAGGCATTTCTTACCAGGAAAGTTATTGATATGGTAGCTTCCTCCCTTGCTACTTGAGTTGTTGCAACAAGGTTCACCTCCACGTCTCCAATTTTTACTGATACAATAGGGACATGAATGATAATGTGCTGGTATGGCTGAATCTGTAGATAAACAAAGAAAACATGTTTGGTATAATGGAGGTTCTGTTCCATCCTCTGCATTTGTAATTTAAAATGTAGCACCATATTGTTGTAAATCCTTTGCACTTTTGACCCTGCTTTTTTGAAGGCGAAAGCCTTATATGTCCCATTACCGGAAAAGGCGGTGTCAGCGTTTTGCCCAAAAAATGGCCATAAAATATGTCATCAAGCACGTGCCGCTCAAAGTCAAAGCGGATGTGCCTCAGAAATAAAACACAAAGAAAAGCACAGCAATGCAGATGCTTCATCACAGAAGCCGTGGAGCCGGCGGGGGCGCCGCGCCTATGCAGTGGGGGAGCGTGATGTCACCGCCAAAGCACCGTGTGCAAAAGGAAGACGAGGCGGGCTGCCTCTGGCGCATCAGTTGCGCTTCGGACTTCATCTGTGCTCGTTGTGTGCTTCGTGGGATAAACTGTGAGGCGACCGCGTCTACATCTACGGCCTCGACATCAGCAGCAGCGTCTACATCTATGACGGCTTCTGCAGGCAAACGAGGCCGCCCACGCAAATACGCCACAGCCGAGGAAGCAAGCAAGTGGACCAATGCGGCAAGGCGAGCGAAGAGGCAAGCAACGATGAGGATCCGATCTGGTGGCCAACGAATACACAAACCGATTACAATACCGGCAGAAACAACTTTAGGACATGAAACATTACTCTAAAACATTTTACCCGCGGGACTATAATGTTTTCGCATTCCTACACGTAAGCAGTCTTAAATGTCTTCCGCGTGCTTTTCTTTTTTTTTTTTTTTAGCGCTATATTTTTTATGGGACTATGATAAGAGAGGGCATATACAGTTTCTGGCAATATACAAAGAAAGCAACTAAAACTAGAACAATAGAGCACAATAAAAAGTGGTAACAGCTAGATTTGCAGATGGATTGGAAAAACTGCTGAAAAACAAAAAAAAAAATAAAACAAGCAAAGGCATGACTCAACAATCTACAACAGTACAGACATAGCACACTCCTATGTTTGTACAAAGACTAACTTTTTACATGCTTATGCTTATCGGCACATATTTGGTTGAAAATGCGACAACACTGAGCAGAAAAGTTGTATTGCATAAAATCAGAGATGTCATTAAAAAGTCAACCATGCAGGGCCGTACCCAGAAAAAACTTTCGGGGGGGGTTTTCGGGGACAACGGCGGCCATTTTGAATATGTCTATTGTCTTATTTTCGCCTATGAATCATAGGCATCGGTGGCATATAATGGAGAGTTAAAGCAAACCGGAGAACCGGTCCCGGTTTGGTACCCGGTAGCCGACCGGTGCCACTGCGCGTGAGCAGAGGTGGAGATTAAAATCGGCTGGCTGCAAGTGCACCGACCAGGGCCGTACCCAGAAAAAAATTTCGGGGGGGGTCAGAACCCCCTAACCCCCCCCCTGGTTACGGCCCTGCAACCATGCACACTTCAACTAGGAAAAAAAAAAAAAGAGATTGTCCAATTGCTGAGCAGATGACCTCATAATGTACTAGCAATATACTAGGCACTTTTTAAGATCCAATGATAAACAAGTCACTCACATGTACCCATTTCAAATAAATGTGTGAGTATTGGCATAATCAAGAACAGGTGAGGCTCAACTATGCCAGCTTAGACACTTTTCTGCACGCTTTTCATTAATAAGGCTCCTTTCTTTGCGGTGGTGATGATAGGGATATCGCCTAGAACCTGCCCAGCATGTGAGGTACTGTTTCAACCTGGAGACTTTGTTCTAACTCCCAATATTTTGTGGTGGCATCATTTTTTACACAGGTGCAGAAAGGACCAGACCGAGATACTACTTAGAAGTTACATAATATCGGAGCAACATTACTGCTATGGCAAAAGCATTGCAGAATTTTGTTTTACTAAGAGTGAGTTGTGCATATTGCAAACCTACATTACAATGCTTTTCTGCATTTCTTTTTGTAAGCAGTTGTAAACATTACATGCACTTAAGTTCAAACTTCCATGTAAGCATTGCAGTGGCTTGATGTCTTCTGACTGAAGAGGGTGAAAGAATGAAACAAGTCTTACATAGACAATGTGCTGGATCTCTCCCTTAGTGGTAACAGGGTTATATGCCCCTACTCTCCCCAGTGGTCCTACTTGGACAAAGCGGTAGTCATCTGAGCCTAGTACACGCAGCTCTGCCTGAAAAAGAGTAAGAGCAAAACTATCAGATCTTTGGCTGAGCATGAGCATATTGCATTAAGGAGCAAACATACTGTCAGAAATCATTGTTAAAAAAAGCACACATAATGAGGACAAAATAGGCACACAAACTTGTTATTTTTTGTGGTTTGAAACTGTTTAGTCTATGTACACTTTTTTTTTTTTAAGAACTTGATTCATACCAACGGGCCCAATGGTGTAGCCAGGATTTTTTTTTTTTTTTCTTTTAAAAGGGGGGGGGGGGGGGGGCTGAGGTCACTGGGATGTTCATGACTTGAAGGGCGGGGGGGGGGGGGGGGGTAGTCAAAATGCATGAGTATATTATAGGGTCGGCTGGGTTTCGGGGGAAGGGCTGAAGCCTCATAAGGGCCTCCCCCCTGGCTATATAACTGACTGGCCCAATTTCTACTCTTATGTTGTACTATAGCATAACCTGGAATGTGAAAGTTTTCCTAGTTTTCCTCATAAGGACAGTAGGAACCCTAAAATATGATTAGGGAACAGACTGAAAAGGAATGGTACTAAATCAAGAGACTTTCTGTTGAAAGTAGTTGGTTTTAAAGGGCTAGAGTGATGCAATTTTTGTTACAAAGCTGAAGAAAGAAACTTTAAAGCATCAGTTTGCACATAGTATCATGGGCCAAGGATTTGCTTTAGGAGGAGTGGAGAAAGTAAACAAAAAAATGGGGCATGCACATTAAGGATTCTGTTAGACTACATGCCTTCATTATTCTTACAGTAGCATTGGAAAGAAAATCTATTACTGGAATGGGACAACAGAAAAATAGTGCCCTGCTTGTTGATCACATCTTTGAGCAGGAGTCAGAATATTTTTTGGTCGAATCCTTCTACTTTTAGTTTAGCTATAGTTAAATTATCTTTAAAAGTATGTTCCGATGTCAAACAAAGGTCGAGGAATACAGTCTTCATGAAATCATTCAAGCTGGTTTTAATATGAGTCATCCTTTCTGAATTCACTAAATTTTTCTCAAGCTCCTTTTAATGATACGTGAGGAGGGAATATAGATTTCAAACATGACCTCATGTATAATAGGTTTCAACTCTTTTTTTGAGAAATTAAGTATTGTAGGGAATGCAAAACAAAAAAAGAAATTTACTTATTTTGTGTGAATCTTGTCATACGTAAAAGATGTATTTAATATAAAGGCTTGCTTACCTGGATTAGGTAGCTCTGGTAGTTGAAAAGGACCACACGAATGCCGATTTGTTCTCCAATGACCGCTGTTGAGGGAGCTTCATAGGTCATGTAGAATGGTCTCATGCTGTTGTGCTGTTTCCCAATGTAGAATACAAGCAAATTAAAATCGACTCGTCCATCAGACTATGGATGCAGTGAAATAAACTTTACATATATGGGCTTGTCGATGATCGCGAATCCATACTTCCTGCTGACAGCAATGGCATTAAACATGTAATTTGTGGGCGGTTTGGGAACAATGCACGGTGTGTAGATATCTTTGAGGTTGCTGCAATAAAAGGAGACACAACATGCTAGGTTAAAAGGAAAGTTTCTGACCATGGCTCAGGCAAGAAATGCATTTGTTGACACACCAATATTTTCTATTTTATTACTGCATGCTAGAAATGTATGATGTCAAGCATCCGGGGGAGTCCAGCCCCTAAAGCAAATATGAAACACGGCACAGGAAAAGACCGCCTGGTAAACATGTTTGCTGTAACTGAAAGCTTTGAAATAATTAAGATTGAAAGCTGTTCACTTATGGGACATCATTGTCAGTTACAGGAATCATAGTGATTAAGTGATCCTATACAGTAAGCAAACATTACTATTTAAATAGGAATTTTTACTTTCTATCAAAATTAAGGTATAATCAGTAATTAATTAAAATTAATTAAGTACTGCTTACATAATTATAACAACCTCTCGTGCTCTTTTTCTTAATGTGCATGAGTCACTTTTATTCACGAGAAAAATTTTGTTGCCTTAAGGACATTTGTCTCCAGTCTGAATGTTTTCTAACTTCAATTCAGAATCTATGGCGGCTTCAGCTGGGCCGGCACCAATTTGATTTCTTACGCTGACCACTTTTGGGTTGCCTGAAGTTGATTTCTCAAGTGTTTCAATTATTCTTCAAACCCCACAAGCCTGATTTCATGTAGATGACTGGCATCCAAAAAGCACAAAAAATTTTGTGATGTCTGCAAAGCACACAGCACTGTCTTGTTGAGGTAAATTATTCATGCATGCCACATATCAGCAATGTAGACACCATAGTACAAATGTCTCAAAGAACAATAAGCATAAGAGTTATGCCAGTGGGCTGGCTCGATTTTTTTATAAACTGCTGCAGTAACAAGCTATGTGTGTGCAACCCACAGATACAATTTCGATTTGATTTAATGGTTCATAAAAATACTCCAAATATTGCAAATTCCGCTGGATTTTTTATTTCAGACAGAGAAAAAGAGAGAATTTAGTAAGCCTCAAAAGGAGACATAAAGCAGTAATGTAATTTCAAGTATTGGGGAGTAACTACGAATCAAGAAATAAAACTTACCCTGTTTTGACGTGATGCCAAGCAAAGTTACTACCAGTTGCATCAAAGAAGTTGTTAAACCTGTTTGTTCTGTACAAGAAAAACTCAAACAGAGGCTTGTCTTCCAAGTCATCTTGTTCACCTAAAATAAAAAGAGAATGGCAATGATGCTATGAAGAGGCTAAACAATATCCTTTATTATTAAAAAAAAAAATATCCTTTATTAGTAAACCCAAATGACCTAATGTGAGGCTGATATGTTGATTTAATAGAATGTTTCAACCATTCTTGTTGTGATCCCAATGCTGTAGTACTTTTTTTTTGCGAAAGAGTTACTACATTCATACATAATCTAAAAATAATTCTGCCAACTACTCACAATTTCCTTCATCAGTGCCATCGTAACAGTCTTTATAGCCATTGCAACGTGCATGTTTCGGGTAGCATTCTCCATTCACACAAGGCAAGAATCCAGCTGTTTCATTGCAAGGATCTGAAAAAAAGAAAGCCAAAACTTTTGTAGAATATTTTTACCCACACTCCAATATGCAATAACTATATCTTTTTTTTCCAATTCTGTTTTGTATCTGGTTGCATTCCGTAAGAGCACTTAAAGAGATTGTATAGTTTCACCGAGTTTTCTTCTATTAGTACTTATGACCAGTGAGCAAAGCCACACTTCTTAGCACATATTTCTCATTCACCCTTCTTTACTAAGACAGGAAAGAGGGGAACAGCATACCTCCTGACAATACCATCATAAAATGTTTGTTCATCAAGGGAAAGCATGAAAGGGACAAGAAAACGGAACATTCTTTCAAAGCAGTACGCAGGAGTACAAAAACGAAACATACTTGGCAATGTGGTGACGTTGAGATTTGTGGCCACAATCAATCCTGAAAACTGCAGAGAAACAGAACCATAATATACCACTGATCTTGGGAAAACAAAGAAACGCCAGTTCATTAGGACATTAATGTAAAATGAGCAGATGCCATAATAATTCTCAATATTTCTTGCAAAAGGTTTATTGTCTTTCTTTTTCTTAAGTATAAGCATGAAATGTACCAACAATGCATTGAGCATCTAAAACAGTCTCACAATTCATTACATTCAGGAACTGGCATTTCAACAGCATATACTACTATTCAAGCACCGGTTCTGCGGGAAACTTCAAGCTGAAACGAAATGTGCCCACAGAGTTGCACATTAAGTTTCAGCTTGTGATGCGCCAAAAGCGATGGCTTGCTATGCCAGTCATGTATAGGTGTTCTGTCATTGTATCATAGCAGAACTCAACTGTTGAGAATGGACATCATGACACTGTTACTCTCGATAGGGCATGTAATATGGGCCGGGCGTGCCCACATCTTCACTGTGTTTACTGCAGAAGCACTTTGGTAGCTTTGATGTTCCTCCACCAACTATGTTTCTGGGCATGAACCTGTACTATACAAGAACTCGGGGCATGTTTTGCCTTTGACTGAGTGAGTGGCACATCACACAGCTACAAATGGCACCATAGATCCCAAGTCCTAGTTCCAAAATGCATCGGGTTCAGTGCAAGGTTTGTGTTTTGATTCTATGGTTTTTTAATATTTTGATGGATGTCTAGTGACATAATTATTAAGAAAATGAAAGCAAAACAGGCATGTACTATCAGGGAAAAATGAAATGCGAACAGAGGAGCGCGTGGCTCGCGGTACAGGCTGCGCCGCCTGGAAGTGAGCTTAGGGGCGAGGGTGCGTGGCCTACTTCGATGTGTTCACGCCCCTCGATTGGCGCTCCCCCAGCTTCGGCAGTGCGCCTCTCAGTGCGCTGAAAGCTTTCACCGCTATCTTTGCCTGCTCGGCGAGTGCGGCGATCTTCTTTGCACCGCACGCGCTGAGCCAGCAAAGATAGCGGTGATAGCTTTCAGCGCACTAAGAGGCACACTGCTGAAGCTTGGGGAGCGCGGAGGGAGGGGCGTGAACACGTCGGAGTAGGCGACGCACCCTCGCTCCTAGGCTCAATTCCAGGCGGCGCAGCCTGTACCGCGAGCCACGCGCTCGTCTGTTCGCATTTCATTTTTCCCCGATAGTACTTTTAAAAAATGCTTATACATACAATGAATGTTTTGTTGACATCAGGAGCAAAGCTGGGAGTCACAAAATACTCTGCTTCATCTGGCTTGCCATCACGGTCTCTCCATATTGCTCTGATATGGCTCCCCCAGTGATCTTCCATGCGGTAGAAAGATTCAATCACCTGCAGATGGCAGAGCATTGCAACGCCACGCTTACACAGCTAGATGTGAAGTCCTAGATCCTGCAGGCCGAACTACAAAAACGTTTGTTTAAAATGTTGGAGGCCAGATAAAGCTGTGACCAGTACATTACCAAGCTCCAATTAAACACAGAATCACTCCAGGAGGTTGCAACTACTGTGTTCATGCATTTGATTGGGAATTTTCTATGTGACTATAACTGGGTTAGGCTGTGGTAATGTTTGCAGTTTTTTTGGACAAGGCCAAATTTCATTTCAAAATTATCCGAAAAACTTTTAGAAAATGAAACAAGCAATACTCTTATGATTATTTTTTTCTTTTTTTTTTTACTGACAGCACATTTTTAAAGCTCCCTCAGACCTTTTGCCCAGGTGTATTTCATACGAGTGTTGTAAAGTATTTTTACCGAAGTCGGTGTCAGGTCATTCTTCCCTTGTACTGCAACCAGGTCACTGTCTAGACCGTTCAGTCCAGCTATGGTTTCAGTAGTGTAGGTTGGCACCAATTCAATTAAATTGTTGGAGCGGTCTTGTTTGAGATTCTTCCACAGGTAGAACTAAATGGAGAGAAAAAAAATATTTAATATTGCATTCCAGTATCATACATTTTTATTGATAATTTACACTACTAGGCACTTCAAAGCATACTAATTTTGATTGTTTTTAATTTTTTTAAAATTATTTAGAAGCATTTCACATTGCCCCAATGACTTGCGACTGTTGCTCCTCCATGTTGACAGAATTTATGCAATGGCTTTTGAGCATCCAAAAGCTTAAACAGGGTACCATATATGGCAACAGTTATCATAACAGTTTCAAGCTTGGCGCAGTATGGCCATAGTAGCTTTGCGCCATAAAGCCCGTAATCAACAACAACAACATCATAACAGTCGTGAAATTACTTGTTAGATTAAAGAAAGGTAGGCCTTTATATTAACATAGAAAAAATAACTGGTTTACCTAGCAATTCATCCTAATAAATATTAACATAAATTCACAGTGCAGTAAGATACATGTTGGAAAACATCTGATAGTAAATTAATTAGTGTAACATATTACCACTAACATTACCTCTGTAAATCTAAATTTTACAGAAGGTAAATTATGGAATTCTTACATTGCCTCTGTTGATACCCCTCACTGGCACAATGACTGCATCAGCAGTAAGATCACCATTCCCAGAAATTTGGTAGACCATGACCTTAATTGCTGGAGCCATCTCTGGTGAAAGGGGAACTGAGAAGGAGGTAATGGTCTGGAGCAGACCATAAGCCTTCTGAACTCCTGCTTGTAACACGGTCCCCTTTGAAACTACCTGAAACAAAATAATAAATTAATTGCTGTATCTCTTTCATAGCCCTTTATATTCCAACACATACTGCCATTCAATTCATTTGCATGTTGCTTCTTTAGACAACCACAGCACATTAATTTACATAGATTTGGTTGATGATGACTTGATGCAAAGAAAAATTATTAGAATTACATGTCTTGGAACACTGGTTAGACACTTGTATAACAATTAACTGGCTCATATAACACAAGTTTTTGACATGTACCTGCCACAAACTTTCCATTTTTGCATCATTCATAAGAAGCATACCAATTGGCCATATAATATAGACTTACCAGATAATGGAAGAATTTTATGTAGAAGTTGGTGCGAACATGAAAAATGGCATACTCTCCAGCCTGAAAAAAAAAAAAAAAGAGAAACTGAGACTTGGATTCTAACTACAAAGTACAATCTCTAAAACTTACAACACCATTGGAAGTGCTTGTTGATATCTGAATGAACTTCTTGCCAGGAGAGAGCTGAGCTACAGCAAGAGCTTCTGTCTCGACAACATCTTCCTTGTCTCGGTACTTAGCCTGCAGAGCAATGAAATGAATGCAACATGAACTGTGACAATTTTTAACTTTGTAGGAAGGTACCTGAAATTCAGAACACTTGTGCAACTGTCTAAACATTTCTTTGAAATCGTTTAAATGATTATAGATAGTGCAAACACTGACCACATATGGAATTTAGATTTTAGGATTGCTCCTGCCAAATATTTTTTGCTCCACAAACCAACTACTACTCTTACAATGTTAATGTTTCAGTCATTAATTTTACAATGCCAACAATAGAATATTATGGGTAAAACAAACCTGCCTTTATGACATCATATCGAAGTAGAGGTTGACTGTGGCATGGCAAAAACGTGTAGATTCCTTATCCTTGAAGATGTCAACTTTGGTGGAGCTGCAGTGCTCACACTTAATGTTGGAAACATTAAGTGTTTGCATGTAGTACGTTGGCTGCATACCTTAAAAATACTAAAAATGTTTTTAAAAAGTATATTTTTACCAACCACCAGCAATATGTCTTGTTCTGAAATTGCTAGGCTGGTTTAATTAGTTTCCAGAGATTTGTTAAGCATTTGGGAAGTCTGTCTTTATTTCTCTTGAATGAGGTTGAACAATGTATTGATTGGTATTTACCCGTATAACTATCTTCTCGGTTCCCTCAGGTGGTGTAATCTCTACGGTGGCCATTCCTTTTTCGTTAGGTGGTGTTTCTATATCATTCAGTCCTCCACCACCTCCTTGACCAGTGAAGCTCAAAGTGATGTTCGATTCTTTTAGTTTCTCTTCAGGCAGTTTCACAAGGTCATGGTAGGTCACTGCTACCTGCATGGCATAAGTAAATGCAAAAAGAGTGTTTCAAGGCAATTTAAAATGGTGATAACGTTCTCTAGTAAAATTCACTGTGCTGCGAGCTCAATCGAATTGGCTTTGTCACATCACACATCATTGGTTCAGGTTTCTTTATTAAAAAATCTGCTCTAACAAACCCACTGAGTTTCACTATAGGTGCTATACTATGTAGACTCTAAATATGAATCATGCGCTCTTTCATACATTTGGGGACTTTATGCTATACTATAATTAACAGGCCATGTAAATCTTCCTGGTACTTTACGAGAGTCAATCAGCTAGAATCTATGTTGTTAGTTTGGGCTGTTGGAGATGTAAAGTGCGATCACACAACTCTTAGGTGGTGTACTTATATAGAGGAGCTCTCCAAGTATTGTCTCTCACTTCTTATGACAGTATTGATTGAAAGGCTGTGACAAAAAAAATCTAAATGCCTTTTTTGCACAAACCTGATTAATACATAAAACACGTCTACACTGGTTGCTCCATCATGTGGCAGAATCAACCATTGCAGAAAAATTGTATTTACATATTTCATAAAATATAAAATAGGCTGCAATGAAATCATTGATGATAGTCTTTTTCACAGCTCCTGGTAACAAAATCATGCACTGAAAAATCAATGCCTACGTCACATTTTTTAGGAAACAAAAATGTGTCTAATTTGACCAGGTGTCAAAGCTCTTGGGTCACTCAAACTGCACTAATATTTTGAAATCACTTTGCTTAGTTGACATAGTAGTTGAGAAAATATAAGTTATCCAGGTATAAATCTGTGTTAAACTTTATCACCCGAATAAATATATTTCAAGTCTATGCCTGTTCATATATTAAAATTAATTTTATATTCATTATGCCCCCTCAGTACCGATTGGCAATTAGACATTCTAACAGAAGGAAAATATTAATAAATTAGTTCGTTATTAGATTCGGATTAGATGGCTCGAGCTTGACACATTACTTACATAGATGGTAAAAGTCATTCCTGGCTTAAAGACCAGAGGCTTCACCCCCAAAATTTTGAGGCTGAGTGATGAGTTGATTATTCTGGATCTTGCATAGCCGTGAACAATGATATCCAAGAAGCGTTCTCCAACTGCAGCCTTTACTTCAATCTCACACTTGTCCAGAGAGTGTGGTGCAGCCAGATCCTTTAGGTCGGACATTGGGAACTTGAACTGGTAGCCTGCTTGGAACTGCATACATGATAACAATCATTTTTGTTACAAAATATTTGTCACTGTTGCACTTGGCAAGATTGATTTCTGGCTGAGACATCAAGCTACTAACCCTGTCAGTGGAATTTCAAAGAAATTTGGCATGAGGTATGCAACTGCCTCAGATTGGCTGTGAGGTCTGGCTGGATATGTAGTAACTAGAGCTGGGCAATTGGTCTATTACACCAATTAGTAAATTAATGCTTTAATTGCGATTACTTTTTTAAACCTGTTAATTGGTAAAATTTTGACGAAACAAAAGAAACTAAAAATTTAACTTTCATTGTGCAGATGTGGATGAGAACACTTCTATGAAGGGCAAACTTTAGGTGAAATATTAACCTAAAGTAAATGTAGGGGCAAGATTTGTAACTCCAGACAAATGCAAAAGGCTACACGTATCCCGGCCACTTCGACATTGTGCGATTGTCCATTTAGCGCAGTAGAGCCTATTGTCAACAATCAAAGGAGGTCGCTCTTGCCGGAGAATATAAACAAACCTCTTTGCCTCATGCAGATGAAGTAACAATCTGTGAGTTGAGTATCTTCAAACCTGTTTCAACTACACATCGAGGTTGATTCATAATCTAAATGGTATATTGCCTTGTTTATCACATTATCAGCAAAGGCAAAACAAAAAGTAAATTTGACCTTTAAAAATATTATGGAGGGAAATGAATGAGACCGATTAATCAATTAAAGGGTGACGATTAATCGAGTTAAAAATTTTACTCGACGCCCAGCCCTAGAGTAACTAAATAAAGAGCTCTAACATTACCAAAAAGTGATGCAAGCGATATCCATGTCAGACCTCCAAACCAATGGGAGGTAGTGCCTTCTGTTGGAATTAAACAAACAAACAAAAAAACTTTTTCTGCCTTATGGCACAAAGACATCAAAAGGGACAGTGTCTCATGCTATAGCCAGATCAAATATTATTCTCCATTTCATCAATGCAGACTGCTAGAGATAATTCTATCTGGGGCCCAATAAGAGCTAAATACTGCAATTTATCTGCATCCAAATAAAACAACACTTGGAGCTACAGGGAGCTACGCTGAGGATATGTTTGACCCTCTGGACACCAAGTACCCACTACTGAACACAGTTCTAAGAAGTTCTGTGCAAACTTGGCAATAAACATTCCAAGATAAAATTTTGTATTTCATCAACTTAAGCGTCTGAAATCACAAACAACAAAATAGATGCGTGAATAGTGGAATTATATTACTAATTGTATTTAAAACAAATGGCTAGAAACTATGCAATAAAATGGGAGGGATACAGTTTAAATGGAAAGTCTAAGGTTGCTGTACATAGCATCGTCTTTGTGTTTTCAGTTTTTTTTGTTCTCCAAATGATATAGAAAGAATGAACTAGGACAAAGTCAGATATATAAAATACTCTGTGAAATGTGCTTTGATGATAATGTTTGATTTTTGCAATCGTCAATAGCTAGCTTATTATGCTTATTTGGCAAATTTAGCATCTAGCTGTCTTTCAAATAAGCCCTCCTTCCCCTCAAAAAAATTTTAAAATTAAATTATCATGTAGAAACCAAAAAGTGACCAAATTAGTCAGCATGTCACAATATAGAAATATACTGGACAACTTGTCAACAGATTGAGAACGTTTATGCACATTGCGATTATGCATGTCAATAAACTACTAGTAATTTTACGTTTTAAATTGGCAGTGAAACATTTGGTTTTAACCGAGAATACTGTTTGAGGTATACATCTTCATGTGCATGAAGCATGCTGCTCCATGTTTCACATATAACCAGATTATTGTACTTTTAAATGAATTAATTTCGATGAAGTACAGAATAGGGCTAGCTGGAAACTTGAAGTGTCAGAAATACACCAAAGCAAAAAAAAGAAAAAAAAGGAACAATAAAGATATTCCAAAGGGAAGAAACAAAAATACCGTTCCTTTCCTTTCAGCGCCAGTTTGTGCATAATTAAAATAACAAGCATCACATAAATTTAAAGTGCATACCTGGTGAACATATTCCTCGAGATAGCGATCGAAGATCTGAACTCCACCGTCATAGTCCTTGACGAGCGTGGGCCTCACATAGAGCCTGATAGTTGCGTTACCATATACAGGATTTACTGTTGTGAAGTTTGCTGAGACATCGCCTTCGTAGTATTCGTCGCTGTCCAGGACGAAAGGTGGTATCGTGACGTAAACATCATAGCGTTCAGTGTACCACCGCTCTAGAAGGATCTTCTTCTCTTCTACTTGGCTGAGAGCCACAACTTTCAGAGTCCAAAAGCCAACAGCAAAGTCGTGTGGGAGCTCAAAGTTTATCTTGACAAAGCCTGGATGGAATTGAAGAAAATACCGAAGCTTCAAAATCAACTACAGTCATACCTCGAGAGTTCGAGTCTTTCAGCAGCAATTACAGAATGTGCAACACTGTAATGTATGGCTTAGTTGCACCTATGGAGTTATAGTTTAAGCAACTGGTTGAGTTTTTTTATGGAAAGGAGAGAAGAAGGTACACTTAAAACCATGCCATCCTCCCCTGGAATTTTGATACATAGGCAGAAAAATCTGTTCAAATATTAAAATAAGACTGTTGTTATTTGCGTGCACACTCGGTCTAGCGGCACAAAGAAATGTCGAAGGTCAGAACAAACGCCAATGCTGCTTTATTCTATAGAATAAGTTTTTTTTTTGTCTAACTCTTTTCTTTAGCCTATGGCTTTTTCACGCAGTTTTAAATTAAGTTCCTCGTGTTACACATGGGTTACTTGGAACACTAACAACTCTTGAGTTTCTCTTTGGAAAATACAAAGATTTATTACTGCAAAGGAAAGCATGCTCATTCAGTCCACCATGCGTGCATACATTCTGACATGACAGTCGGTGATCCCAGTTGCATCATATTTGCTAAAAATGAAACTAAAATCAATGAAACCACCAACCTAAATAAGGGTACTGCGAGACCCACCGCTTCATTACAATGCCTCGAGAGTCCTGCAAGAGTAATAACATCCATCTTGTAATGCAATCAATATTTTCCTAGTGTCACGTAAGCACTACGGTCGCAATATTCACAAGCGGTAGGAGGAACAAAACCTGGTCTATGTGTGACGCTGTACAGTCGAGTGGATTTTGGATGAAACCTTACATTTGTGCATTTGAAATAAATTTGTTTCTTTGCTTTGTCTGCCACGGCCGACATCACCATTCCAAAAGAAAATGTCATTCTTTATCTTAAGTATTCCTTCTGGTAATATTTCTTAAATTGCAACGCTTACACTTCTCGGCGATTTTAACTACCCCTCCATCGGCTGGAACAAGTTAACAGCAAATGACAAAAAATCAAAATGTTTCATCAATATATGTTGGGACTTTAACCTTACATCAATATATGTTGGGACTTTAACCTCCAATTAACACTGAACTAGAAGCCTTTTATGAGTTTTTCAGGGAGGCGTTCCATAGTTACTCGATTAAAGAAAACTGGCTTAGATTTAAATATATAATTAGCATTCCTCGCGAGCAAATAGGTGCCTCTGGTTATCATCAAGACTGATAGTCACAGCATTTGGTATAGTAAAGCAATCAAGCGATTAGGTGATAATAAAAACAAATGATTTAAGCCTGCTAAACAGTCTCGCTCAAACATAGAGGTATGAAATAAATACGAAGAATGCGAAAAAAAGTGTATAAATACGAAATTTCAAAAGCCAAATCAAAATTTTATGGCATCGACTTACTAAAAATATTGTCTGGCAAACCCAAACCGTTCTTGAATGTAATCAATCCCCAACCGTTCACTCCTCTTGCTCTAGCCAATGACGAAGGCCAAATTCTGTATGACGACCAGTGTGCTGATTACCTAAACAACAATTTTTGTTCTATCTTCACCAGCGAAAATCTTAACGTCATTCCTGAGCTTCCTACCCTCACTCATCCATCTATGGAAACCATAACCATCGACTATTATGTGGTTATCAACGCCATTGAAATTCAGATACGTTCCTCAAGTTCTGGCGATGGCCTGATCACCAACTCAAAAATACAAAGCACGCGTCTGTTTTTAACCGTTATTTTTTTGTGAATCCCTTTCGTCTCGTAACGTCCCTCATGACTGCAAAATTGGCCGTGTCATCCCCATACTTAAGTCCGGAAACCGAAATTCACCTTTAAATTACCGTCCTATATCACTGACCAGAATTCTTTCAAAAATCTTGGAAGATATATTTTCTAATGTTATTAGATATACCGAATCTAATAACCTTCTAACCGTAAACCAACACGGATTCTGAAAAAGAATTATGCGAAATTCAACTCCTCGCATTTGTACATAACTAATTTTAATTTGGAACATAAACAACAAACCGACGCAAGCTTCCTTGATTTTTCGAAGACTTTTGACAGAGTACCTCATAAACGCCTTATAATAAAACTTCACCAGTTAAAAATTTACCACTTTATAGTTGCTTGGATTTCTCAATTTCTTTCTGATCGTTATCAACATGCCGTTGTTAATAAATCAGTGTCATCTAGATCGAGCGGAACGTCCGGCCTTCCTTGGGGAAGCGTGCTCGGACCGATTCTTTTTTAAAATCTACATCAACGATCTTCCTCTTCGTGTTTCTTCCAGAATCCGCCTTTTCGCAGATGACTGCGTAATCTACCGCACTATCTCCGTTCGCTGACGACCACTTATCCCTTCAGACTTCCTTGTCATCCGTTGCACATTAGTGTGATAATTGGCAGATGTCGCTGAACCTAGATATATGCAATCTATACTCATGTCTTTCGTCACCGTCTTCTTTTAACTACACTATTATCGATATTACACTCGGTTCATCCTCATCTTATAAAGAGCTTGGTCTTCATATAACCAGCGATTTAACATGGATCACCCCCGTCAATCACATTGTTGGTAAGGCAAGCAGCACACTTGGTTTTCTGCGACGGAACTTAAAGGTGCACTAAAGGCGTTTCTGAGATCGTCTGTTCTTGGTGATAATTAACTCATTCTACGGGATCTCAGCATCCCAGAAATCGAAAAATTATGCTCGTGCGACGTCCACTTCCCTACTAAAAATGTGATCGAAGTTCGTGCCACGCCCCTTTCTGAGCGGAAAAATCTGGAGCACAGAATCCAGCGGAGGCGTCGGCAGCGTGACGACGGGCGCGCGTCAGCCAATCGCAAGCCGCCTTTCCAAGAGAGTGAAAAGCGAAAGCGAAAAAAATTTCGTTCGACACTGTTTTACAAGATTTCCCAACATAACCCAACAATTAGAAATAAACTCTTTCCTCCCCCACTTCATTTTTTCTGAGATTAAATAACAACTGTAAAATACAACCCATGTATGCATCCACCACTTCTTACGCTAACTCTTCTATGCCATTCACAATAATTGAATGGAACGCTTTACCCGGCAACATAAGGTAACAATATAGACGTATTTAAAAAAAAAAAAATCCTAGGCGAATTTTCGGAATTTACAAAGGACTAGTATTTTTGATATAAGTGTGTTGGAACTTTTTGTCATTTTTGTTTTGCTTTTCATGTTTCGCTGATGCTTTTTTTTTGTTGTTGTTCATGAGTGTTTATGGTTTTTTATTGTCCCACAAATACGAGCTGCCCATCCCTTGTATACCGTTGCAGGGCCTTCAAGGCACTAATAAATAAATAAATAAATAAAAACAATGCATCGGAAATTCTTTTAGGGTATAACACAGTATTCTGTCGTCAGTGGAAAAAGGAACGAGAAATAAAAGTGCAGGGCTAATCAGGCAATAGAGTGCATAAAAAACAATAAAGTTACGCATAAAAAATACAAGGAATTCAGACATGCTGCTAGATGATGGTATGGTTATACACTCTCACTATGGGTCTAAATAGAAGGTGCTTGGCGAGGTTTGAAAACCATGAATCAGATATGTAATGAAATTAACTTTGTCCTTATCATTTTAGTTGTTACGAAAGTAAACATGCTCTGCTTGCGGAGTAGAGTATCGCAATACACTCCCATTTTGATCAAAGTATTACGGGAAGCGACCGTTGCTCTTGCAAGTCACCGGTGGCGTGCGGCGAGCGGCCTTGGTCAATACTGGCGCGGCAGTGCTCCAACGGTAACCCTCGAAAGCGCGCGCGGGCGTGCGTCGCATAGTCGTCGTCTGCTTGCCCACGGCCGTTTTAAAAGAACGCGTGCAATATTTAAAAAAAAACACAAAAAAACGCAATCACATTTTATTTAATTGGCACGCATAACGTTCAAAAGTTCAAGAAACTTCCTGCTCGTCAGACATCTGTGTTATATCTACATTTCGCGAACGCAAGGCAAAAAATATGTTCTGGCCAAAAAAACTCTGCGCTCCGCAAAGTCGCTTCCCCGCAAGCGCTTAGGATCGTTTTTGTGCATGCGATCGCTTCTCCGTCACTGAGAAGTTGACGACGAAAGGAAAATGTATGACACTCCGGCTTCGCCATTTAGTTACTCTGTATATAACAAGCTAAATATTATTGGGACAATTGCACCGTGTACCACAGAAGTAGTGGGGCGTGACAACGAACATGGTGCTCACCGTCAAGTACACATCGACCGGTTCTGTGTAGGGCTTCAGTTCTGTGGTGAGGAGTACGATCCTGGCCTTGACTGCAATAAAACAGAGGGTTCTCTTTAGAATTCTATTCGTGAAACGCTTAAAAAATAACACTGAATTTCTATTTTGTGAAAAAAAAAAGTCTACGATGTGAGCACCGTTAAAGTCATTCAAAATAACAGCAGGTTTGTCCTAACAGTACATAATAATCAAACCGTAAATTTAAGGGAACTATATCGTACTTTCACAAATGTACATAAAACTGCGCATTGAGAAAATCGAAATGGATGTTGAATAATCAATACCTCCTCTCGGGTTTTGAATAAGTGTCTATAGAGGCTCAAGTTCAGTCACTACACGCCAGAAATGTTTACACCCTTAAGGCTTTTCGTCTAATACCCAAAACTAACACCATTAGGGAGTTAAAGTAACACCCTTGGGATGCTGGTGAACGCCCTGAAAATAGGATGCTGGCAATCTTAGCAGCTTCCTAGGTCTATTTCCTTTACGACCAACAAGTTCACTAGGAACAAGCACCACGTTCAGTTCTCACATACGCAGAAAAAAGCTAATACGGTCGCAATGAATCGGGCACGAGAGAGGAATCACGAACCTGTTGACTCCTCCACCGCCTTCTATACTCGACAATTCAGACACTCATTCGCAGGTGACAGGCTCCTCAATTACGAAGGTTACAAGTATGTTGGTTTGTTCTCGTCAATGTTTCACCTAAAGCATGATATATCTAAGTTCAAGAAATGTATCTCCAAGTAAAAACATCGATACAGGCAATAATTACTCGACATAGTCGCCAAAACAACCGCTGCTAAAGTTGTTTGAAGCGGGTGTCAGTTAAGTGCGATGAACACCCGTTAAAAAAGGTGTTCTCCTCACTTCACCGTGGTACATTTTCCCACACCCTTTTACGCCATTTGAAAATTAGGACTATTATAAGCAACAGCACCCTATTTTGCTATTAAAACGGGTGTATTACTCGAAATAGGGGTGCTGAAAGGGTGTAGCCATGGGTGGAAGTCTTTGAAACTCCCTTTTTACACCCTGTAACATTTTTTTTTTTAAATCTGTAGGAGATTCGTGCATAAGATATTGACAGTTTTGACTAAAACAAGTTATCAGAAGCATGAAAACGCATATGTGTGTATAATATGTTACACCTGTTTCAGAGACAGGTACCACAACATATTCAGGATTTTTCTTAATCGCTGACCTATGCACAATAGTATTTTTGTACTTACTGGACTGGTCGTAGTTATACACAAACTGGTTGGTCTGGATGAGGATGGTGAGGAACTGGGGCTGGAATTCCACATCCCTTTCCTGTATGAAGCCTGTGCCTCCCAAGACTCCATTCACATTGCCCTCCACCCGAAACTTGTACTTGCCGGGCTTGGCACTCTGGGGCACCTGCCGCATCATGGAATACACATTGTCTCCAAACTCAATGAACTTGTTTAAAAAAGAAACATTGCCGACAAACTCCATGAAGAACACTTGGATGACGTATAGTAGATGCAAGCTTGCAACTGTCACTGACTATAGCATGCATTTGAAGTGACAGTTGTAATACAAATCTTTACAACTTCTCGGGGAAAAGGTTATGTGTGTGTGTGTGGGGGGGGGGGGGGGAGGAGGAGGAGGAGGAGGAGGAGGAGGAGGAGGAGGAGGGAGGAAGGAAGGAAGGAAGGGGGAGGGAGTTTTCTTTGTATTCCCTCTATTTTTATGAATCTCCGCGATAAGCAAAGCCGTTCCTTCCACAAGCAAACTGCTGTGGGAGGAACGATTCTCTGGTCTTTTGGACTTCAATAATTGGAGCAATAACCGCAGTGTGCATAACCTTCTACATAGGATGCACTTCGGGCGTAGTCTATTAGAGCTTTTTTGAGTATAGTAGTAGCATGTCTAGAAAAGTACGGCATCTTTCGAAGGAAGTGACCCGCTACAGTCAGGAACAAGGAAATACAATCAGTCACGAAGAAATTAGGAGGCGGGAAAAGGATTAAAATTCACGTGATGTGTTTTTTTTTTTTTTTTTTTTTGCGAGAAACAATTTGTTTTTTTCTCGGCTATATGTGCGGCATTGCACATTATGTGAAACTGCCTTTTCTTCCACCACTGCGAATGGAGCGAACATTCAATTACTGTAAAACCGTTCATTTGTGTCGCCCCATTTTTTTCCCCCAAATTGAACGCAGGGGACATATTCGCTTCCACCGCGTTTTCTATAAATTTCGAGAATTCTAGAAGGGAACGTTAAGCCCAGCAAACGAAGTATTGGGAAATTCCAATACCTCGCTTGCTGGAGTTCGCCTGCAGTGTCCTTTTTTTTTTTTTTTTATTGTTTCTGTCTTCTTAGGCGACGTGCCTAAGAAGACAGAAACAATAAAAACAAAAAACAATGAAACATGACGTATGTTTCATAATCATAATTTGTTATATTGAGGGCCCCTACGGGGCATTACACAAGGTGTGAGGGGGGTTGTGGAGCATCGTTATATAAAAGCACCCCCAAAAGTCGGTCTGAAACGTTGTTATACTAAACAATTAACTATTGTATTAGTTCCGTCAGAATAGGGGCGACATGGGGGTGGGGGGGGGGGGTATATCCCCCCTCCTGATATTTTAGATTTCTAATAAACAATTCGAGAGGTCGAAAGTGAAATCCCCCTCCCCCTATTTCCGGGGAACTCCCGATGACTTTGTATACATACGTATAATCCCATTTGTTTGATCACTTTGTACTACCTTAGACATATTCACATTTTTGGGTGAGATAGCAAGTAACAGGATACGTAAGAACTCATACTCTTACATAACTGGGCTGTCTATATATATTTTTTTACACTTTACCAGAAGAATAGCTGTGTTTGTAAGCTAAGCTGGTGCCATATCCCAAGAACTCTATTTTTTCGTGACTATAATCAAGATAAATAGATTAAACAATAAGTACTCAGTTCATACAACCGTTGCTTTTTTTTTCTTACTAAAATGTTTGTGGTTGACAAAACTCGCCTGGTGGTTTACGAATTCAGGAAAATTGCGTGGACCCTATGATCAAACTTTTTTCTTTGTAGAACAAATTTCAGCGATGCCGATTACACCCTTCCCGGAGTTTGACCGAGAACTTAACCCTTACACAAGTGATGGAAGCGTCATTTGAACTTTTGTAGTTGTATCTTTAGCAGGCAAAATATTGGTCTGGGGCAGCCACTGACGCTTTCGGAGCAGATGCCAACAACTGTTATCACATTACTTTACATTGAATAAAAAAATAATGCGTCGCTAAATGACTTCATCTTTGATAATGATTGAGGGTTCCTTTTTGATACTGGAGCATATTACTTTTAATGTTTTGTAATAACAAAAAGGCACAAAAAGAACACAGAGCCTTCTTTTTAGAAACAAGGCTCTGGTCCGTGTAGGTTCAATTTATAAAGAGTGCTAAAATTGATGAAAAATTAATCATAGTGCAAAACTTCAGTTGAGATGAAGCCTTTCTCTCCTCCCATTCTTACACGCGGTAGTTTATTTAGCCTGTAAATACAATTTTTGTAAACTGCCAGCAAAAACCATGCAGTATATAGCTAGCACGTTTTTCAATCAACGTACGTCCCCCAAGTTTTATGAACCAACCAAACTTAAGACTTTAATATTATAAACTGCAAAAACAACCACCCACAAATATTATGAAAACCTACACTTGTACTTTAACAGTGACACTGCTTTTAGCGGCGTTGGAACATCGATGCTCTTTCGATGTACAGCTGCACGGGAACTACCTTGACTTATTTATTCAAAGATAAACACGCGACTTTTTTTTTTTTTTTCTCTTTCTCGTCGCATGTCTTTCTTTCTTTTTTTTTTAAATTAGAGATTTACCTACTATCAAAACCAAAGAAGGTAGACCTGTAATAGTACCATTATAATACCATTATACATGTGGCATGTATAACTGATCACATCAACTTTAAGCGTTGCCTACATAGTCACATTCCTGCATCTCATTACAAATGTTGTGTTTTTGCCCTTAGGTTTTGTTTCTATTCTTTCTTTTTGTATTTGACCTGTTAACCCACTCCCCTCTGTAATTCCTTGGGGCCCTGAGAAATCGTTGAATAAATAAATAACTAGTTACACCCAGGCGCTCCCCCGTGTCAGCCGCTGCTCCTAGCACTCCGGTGCAAAGCGGTGAAGCTCGGAGCGCGCGCGCGCGCTGGTGAGAGGCGACACGGAGGCATGCGGCGGAAATGATACTCAAGTGAACTCATGAGGAGTACAAGAGCCTGGTTCTGTCTTATCACAGTAGCCGCCACCCTACTATTTTGCAATGTTTTCTCGCGAATTTTAGCTTCTGAAAATCGTCTGAAAACCAATCAAGTGCAGTGAATGTCCCGTGACTTGCGCTTTTAGTATGTGTGTTCGTTATTGTATATGTTCAAACCTTCGTCTGTGCTCTGACCTAAGACTAAACAAACTATACGTTGAGTAGAGACGCTGTGAAATACAAATTTGCACCATTTTTCTTTCGTCCTACTTCTCCGCATAATAAAATCAACCATCAAAAAAACCTTTTTTTTTTTGCTTTGTTAAAGCGAATTTTGGCGCAGGTTTGGCGCAATTCTTAGCAAAAGTAGCACTTTGGCGCAAGATGTAGCAAAACTTCGTTTGCGGCACAATTTCGCGCAAAGAGCGCAGCACTTCCATCACTGCCTTACACGAACAAACAGCTAGTCTCACCTGCTAAACACGTGGTGTCGCAATGCCCGCACCAGAAGTATTTCACGAGGTAATTTTTTGCGTGCCGCTCACGCGGTTCGTATCAGCGTCTAGGATTAGAGCGCGCTGAGTGAGAACGCGATTACTCCTACGGCGCATACGAGACATGCCCGCGTTCGTTTTCCACTTCGTACGCTTTGTTAACCTTACGCTGTTATACGGCATGTAAGTTCGTCTTCTCCTTGCGTACCTCGTGCGGTAATCTACCCGCCAAATACGCCCGCGTACTTTTGTTTCCCCCCGACAGCTCGCGCTGCAGTACTCAGAATACTGGGTTCAATCCCCACTCCTGCCCGTTTCGATCTGGATGAGCATCGTACCGGCGTGCTGTCGTGTATCACTACTGCGTGATGCACGTTAAAGACCCCAGGCTAGCGGTTGTACTGCACTGGCTAAATTGCTCATCTACAGCTGGGAGACTCGTCGCCCGTTGAGGCAGACCAAGTTCTAGGCTGTATAAACATACACACAACCCAATTTTTTTTTCCCCGACATCAATCAATGAGGGCGTGCTACGCTGCCATCATTGACGTGCCCCTCCTTGCGTTCCGATTCTCCAAGGACGCATTTTGGAACACTTGCTCACCGTATTGGTAGTGTGGTCTTGGGTTGTATGCTTGTTGTGTCTGCTTTTTCTTCCAAGGAATTTTTAGGTTGGACGACAGCCACGATTAAAAATGGCCACATGTTCAAGATACAACACGGGGGGTAGATATATTTTTGGAGTTACAAATTTGACGGAAACTTGGTAGGTTCTAAGTAAAATGGAAATGTTATGTAGATTTGTTTGTGTGCCAAACTATCTCCTATCGTGTAACGAAGAACAAAAAAAAAATCGTCCTTTTACCGTATTCGTGTGGCAAAGGCAGTGTTAAAACAGGATCGTTTGTGTGTTTTGCTTCGCAGTGATGTTGCACAGATGAACTTGATATGCATTTTGTGTCTCAACATTGCGAACACCGTCGTGCGTACCGTCTCTGAAAGAACTCCCTGCCAAAGCTATAGCGCTCCAGCGGGAGTGGGGTACGCGAAATTCAGGTCTCGTGCGGATGCATGTCCCTATTTTTTACCCTGCGTACATTTCTTGTCTCCACTTCCTCCGATGCATGTGCTTGTTCTCTCACGTTCGAGAGCGCTCGCCCACTCGTTTTCAGCTTAAAGGAGGTGCTGAAATTAAAATTGAAATATACCTCTCACGTTCAGAAATCAGTTAAACATGATCAACGAAATCTTCTAATGACAATCGCACGTTTATATTTTCAACGGATGGCTATATTTTTCATTCCTAACGGCCGATTCCAGCGAGCGCTTGAAGAGCAACCATCGGAGAGCGCGATGCGTCTCGGGAGATCCGGCGCATCCGGCGCGTTCGTGACGTCATGTTTTCCTTCACGGGCAAGGCTACAGGGAGGCTAGTGTGGTTGTGAGCTTCGCCACTTGGTGGCGTCAATGCGTCCTGGCCGTTCGAGGTGCCCGCTCCCCGCTCCCCGTTCTCCGCAGGAGTTGAATAGCCTCCGGAGAGAAGGAAAATCCGCGGTTCGGTTAAGTTTGACAGGCCTCGCACGCTCCCAGCTTGCCGCCGTACTTCCGCGGTGGCGCTGCTTTTATGGGGTGTTTGACGTACCGATATT